TCTAGTCTAGTCTAGTCTAGTCTAGTCTAGTCTAGTCTAGTCTAGTCTAGTCTAGTCTAGTCTAGTCTATCCCATCCCATCCCATCCCATCCCATCCCATCCCATCCCATCCTATCCTATCCCATCCTATCCTATCCTATCCTATCCTATCCTATCCTATCCTATCCTATAAGCCTCCCGTTGTATTGATAAAGTGACTCTGGAAGGCTTACAAACAGTAAAAAGATTTTTAAAAACCAATTAAAATTAAGAAAAGTTAATTAAAACTAAGGGGACAGATGGCAGGAGGGTGCGGTCATCTTCTTACCCCATCAACCACCTCCAGTGGAGAGCGCCCCCTACAGGAAGCCCGCTTTAGCTTATGACTCAGTGCCTAAGCTGGAAGAAGTCGGAAATTTCCATTTCTGTAACAACCGTGAAATCCAGGATTTTTAAGCAAACGATTAGCTAAGCTCTTAACATCCACTCTGATTTCTTACATTCGGTGATTAAAAGGAATTCAATCCAGAGAAATGTGTGCAAGCAATCTACTTGATGGGGATATAATGGTCTTTCGCTTCCCGAATCTGTTTTACCAAGTTGTTGCATGGGAACCTACGAAGAAAATCTATCAGAATCGCAGGTATTTTCAAGGATAATTTGAGAGCCGCAGTGGAAGGTTGGGGGGTGGGGGGAATGAGTCAGTTTTAAACAAATGAAGTGAGCACAAAGAGCTTGGAGCATTTTAATGTGTCATAAGCGTGTGCTATTATACCATCGTGGCTTGCTTTAAGAGCAGCTTCCATTCTTCCTTTCGCCTCCAGTATCCGCACGCAAAGCCGTGTCCTAATGGGACCTATGGAGATCAAAGGGGGTTAAGCAAAGCAGAACAATGCTTGCTATGTCCTAGGGGCAAGTATTGTTATGAAGAAGGACAAGAACCCCAAGGAATATCCCAAATTGTGAGTACCTGTGTCTCAGTCAAGAGACTCCAGTCTTGATTATCTATGTCCTCTCCTAGATGTTCTTCCCCAATTTCATTCCTTGCATGTCTTCCCACCCGTCCTCTGATACCAGATAGTATCAGGTCTTCCTATCTCCCCCGCCCTTGTATCCGGCAGACTGAGATACTTTTAGAAGGGCAAACCCAAGTAACCATCACATTGGGCATCTTAGTTTCTGTTCTGACCTAGGCTTCCTTAGAAAGTATACAGCACAATCTTAGTCCCGGCAAACCTCTTTTATTCATATGGCTGTGAATTATTGTCATTTCCAGTCCGAAAGGCTTTTCAAACAGTCTTTCAGGGGAGTGTTTATAAACACCCACCTTATCTCCCTTGGAATGCTGCCATTCTGTGGGCATGGCTTGGTGGGCATGGTGTGGCTTGGTGGATGTGGCTTGGTGCACGTGGCAGGGGAAAGATACTGCAAAATCTCCATTCCCACCTCACTCAGGGGAAGAATATTGCAAAATCTCCATTCCCACCCACTCCTGGGAGAAGGATACTGCAAAATCTCCATTCCTTCCCCATTCCTAGGGGAAGGATACTGCAAAATCTCCATTCCCTCCCCACTCCTGGGGAAGGATACTGCAAAATCTCCATTTCCTCCCCTCTCCAGGGGAAGGATACTGCAAAATCTCCATTTCCTCCCCACTCCAGGGGAAGGATACTGCAAAATCTCCATTCCTTCCCTACTCCTGGGGGACGGATACTGCAAAATCCCCATTTCCTCCCCTCTCCAGGGGAAGGATACTGCAAAGCCTCCATTCCCACCCCACTCTGGGGGCCAGCCAGAGGTGGTATTTGCTGGTTCTCCGAACTACTCAAAATTTCCGCTACCGGGTCTCCAGAACCTGTCAGATCCTGCTGGATTTCACCCCTGGATTTCTTGCTGTAGTCTATGCACAAGAATCTTTTCAACTAAGAGTGAATACCTGGTTAGAGATAGGTAAGGGCCAATGGCACTCAAGGAGGGTTTAACTTATCTTGCTTGTGGCAACATACGGATTCTAGACTGATCCCTCTTTTAACTCCGCCCCTGGTTATGCCTGTCCTTCTCCTACATGTGTGCATGTTTTATTTTAGACTGGAGATTGCCCCTTGGGCTATGCATGTCCCTCAGGGACAGGGTTTCCCTTCTCTTACCCATGCCTACCTGGCTTCTACTGGGACAATTCCACTCTGAATGGAGGAGATGTATGCCAACCTTGCCCAGCTGGATTCTACTGTGATTCTGTAGCAATGATCCTACCTAAAATCTGTCCAACGGTAAGTTGGTAGAAAACAAAATATTGATTGCAAATAAATGGGACATGGTGTGCTTCTGTTCAGGATGCTGAGCATCTATTTTTCAGGATCCTGCAGATCTGTTTTCTATCTTCTTTGGAACTTCTTTGTTCCTCTAATAGTCAGGTTCTTCAGCCTTTGTTGGACCTAATTAGAAATTCTTTTTCCCGCCTAAGGGCAGTGGTGGAATTCAATTTTTTTTTTACTACCGGTTCTATGGGCGTGACTTGGTGGGCGTGGCAGGGAAAGGATACTGCAAAATTTCCATTCCAACCCCACTCCAGGGGAAGGATATTACAAAATCTCCATTCCCACCCTACTCTGGGGCCAGCCAGAGGTGGTATTTGCCGGTTCTCTGAACTACTCAAAATTTCCGCTACCGGTTTTCCAGAACCTGTCAGAACCTGTTGGATTTCACCCCTGCCTAAGGGGCATTTCCTCTTTTCTTCTTTTATTACGGAAGATAACTCAGGAAACTCAAACTGCCCAAGGAGCTGCTGATACAGTTCTACAGAGGAATTACTTAGTCTGTGATCTGCACCTCCATAACTGTCTGGTTTGGTTCTGCAACCCAACGAGACAGACACAGACTTCAGAGGATAATTAGAACTTCAGAAAAAACAATGGCTACCAACCTGCCTTCCATGGAGGACCTGTATACAGCACGAGTCAAAAAGAGGGCTGGGAAAATATCTACAGACCCTTCGCATCCTGGACATAAATTGTTTCAACTCCTACCCTCAAAATGAAACTATAGAGCACTGCACACCAGAACAACTAGACACAAGGACAATTTTTTCCCAAACGCCATCACTCTGCTAAACAAATAATTCCTTCAACACTGTCGAACTATTCACTAAATCTGCACTACTATTACTATTAGTCTTCTCATCATTCCTATCACCCATCTCCTCCCACTTATGACTGTATGACTGTAACTTGTTGCTGTATCCTTACGATTTATATTGATTGTTTCCTAGTATGATTTGATTGCTTATTTGTACCCTATGACTATCATTACGTGTTGTACCTTATGATTCTTGATGAATGTATCTTGTTTTTTATGTACGCTGAGAGCATATGCACCAAAGACAAATTCCTTGTGTGTCCAATCACTCTTGGCCAATAAAGAATTCTATTCTATTCTATTCTATTCTATTCTATTCTATTCTATTCTATTCTATTCTATTCTATTCTATTCTATTCTATTCTATTCTATTCTATATCCTTTTGCTTGCCTGAGGATCTGCAGATATTAAATCAGATTGAACAAAGGAGAATATTTGTAGCTCGGGGTTGAGATTTATTTTATTAAATTTATTTTATTAAATTTCTATACCGCCCTTCTCCCGAAGGACTCAGGCTGGTGAACAGCCACAAGATAAAACACATAAATACAAAAATTTTAAATAGTTTAAAAATGAATTAAATAATTTGTCTGAATTAAAAATACCCCATAATTTAAAACAAATTAAAATTTATATTTAAAATTTATATTTAAAAGGGGAGAAGATTTAGGCCAGGCCAGCTTGATGAAATAAAAAAGTCTTAAATGCGCGACGGAAGGTGCGCAGATCCGGGATCCTCCGTATCTCCGGGGGGAGCTCATTCCAGATCGTAGGTGCCCCCACAGAGAAGGCTCTCCCCCCTGGGGGCCGCCAGTCGACATTGTTTGGCCGACGGCACCCGGAGGAGCCCCTCTCTATGGGAGCGTACTGGCCGGTGGGAGGCTATTGGTCCCGTAGATAGCCAGGTCCTAAGCCATGGAGCGCTTTAAAGGTGAGGGTTTTTTTGTGAACTCTGAGCTTAGCTGTTTTCTTGCAAAGTGTTTATTACCCAAACTAGGTATGATGATGTTGCCAGTCTGAATCATGAAACATCTGCATGAAAAAAACCAAGCTCGGAGAGCACCAAGGACCCCTCAAATTGGATTTAATTTACAGGAGACACACTAACTTTAAACACCAACATTGTCTTTGTTTTTCAGGGGTTTTATTGTCCTCCTGGTAGTGCACAGACGGAGGCTTGTCCAGAAGGAACTTATGGGATCAGGAAGGGGTTGAGAAGCCTTCAGGAATGCATCCCCTGTAGAGCAGGGTTTTTCTGTGCCATTCCAGGGCAGACTGCCCCGAGCGGCCGGTGTGAGGCTGGGTTTTATTGCTGGAGAAGAGCAGTGTCTTCGGTAAGTCTGACTCTTGCGTAGATATTTTCTGTCCCTCTCACCATGCATTCCCAAGAAATAATAGTGACACATCTTCTTGTGTACATATTTGTCTGCTCCACTTAATTATGCAGGAACCCAACTCTCTTGAGAAATTCTGGGAAAAGTAGAAGGAAAATGAACAGGGCAGCCAGAAGCAGAGTACATAAATTCAATTAGGGCAGGACAGTGGTGAAATCTGAACCGGTTTATTAGCGGTTCGCTGGATGCGTATGCGCAGTGCGCAGTGCGCACCATGCACCAAATGCGAGGTGCGCACACGCAGTGCATGCCAAAAGGAGACATGCGGTAAGTAGAACAGCTCACGAGGTGGGGGTTGATCAGCTGTGGCACGCAATCTTTAAAATCTTTAAAAGCATTGCTTTTAAAAGTAAAAAAAAAAAGCCTCTGACGATCGCGCTGCTCAGCTGGGATCGAAGAGGTTGTAAAAAAAATGCTTTTAAAAGCCTCTGATGATCAGGCAATTCAGCTGGGATCGTCAGAGGCTTTTAAAAGCATTTTTTTTACAATCTCTTCGGCCGAAGAGGTTGTAGAAAAAATGCTTTTAAAAGTAAAAAAAAAAGAAGCCTCTGACGATCGCGCTGCTCAGCTGGGATGGAAGAGGTTGTTTAAAAAAATGCTTTTAAAAGCCTCTGATGATCAGGCAATTCAGCTGGGATCGTCAGAGGCTTTTAAAAGCATTTTTTTTTACAATCTCTTCGGCCGAAGAGGTTGTAGAAAAAATGCTTTTAAAAGTAAAAAAAAAAGAAGCCTCTGATGATTGCGTAGCTCAGTTGGGCATGGGGAAGGGGGCAGGGATTTTTGCTACCAGTTCTCCGAATCACCCGCCGCCATCAGTACCAGATCAGGAGATCCGGTCCAAACCAGGAGCATTTCACCCCGGGGCAGGAATGGGAATGCTATGGAAAGAATTCAAGGGCCATTCTGGAGAAGATAGAGATTCAGCATTATTCTCTCTGGAAAATTAAATAGGGAGGAATGCCTCTGTCCTTTATTATCTTTTGCTCTGGTATATACTGTATACCGTATTTTTCGGAATATAAGATGCACTGGAGTATAAGATGCACCTTAGTTTTTGGGGAGGAAAATAAGAAAAAAGCTGATTGGCAGGTGGATCGGCCTCCCGGAATACCCCCAATCAGCTCTTCCCAGAGGTGAATTTTAGCAACAGGTTCCTTGGTTGTGAGCTCCGTGCCTTGCTTATTTTTTTGTTTTTTTCTGCCTCTGAAACTTCTGAAACTCTGTTTGGGGGCTTCTTTTCCGAAGCTCTGTTTGGAGGCTTCTTTTCCGAAGCTCTGTTTGGAGGCTTCTTTTCTGAAGCTCTGTTTGGAGGCTTTTTTCTGAAGCTCTGTTTGGAGGCTTTTTTCTGAAACTGTTTGGAGGCTTTTTTTGATGCTCTGTTTGGAGGCTTTTTTCTGAAGCTCTGTTTGGGGACTTCTTTTCTGAAGCTTCGTTTCTTATGCTTTTTTCAGCCTCCAAAATCTCCCTTTGAGAAGCTGGGCGGGGCTACATTTGGAGTATAAGACACACCCAGATTTTCACCCTCTTTTTTGGGGGGGAAATGGTGCATCTTATACTTTGAAAAATCTATGTATCTATGTAGCTCTTCTTCTCTTTCAGGTGCCTACCGATGGAGTCACTGGGAACATTTGTCCACCAGGCACCTATTGCCCCATTGGATCATCTGCCCCCATCCTCTGCCCTGCAGGAACCTACAGTAACACCAGCGGGTTGAGATATCAGAAGCAATGCTTGGACTGCCCACCTGGGTGAGTGTCAGCCTCCCCATGACCAGATGAGCTAATTCTACCTCATTATAAGTGTAAGGGCCTGCCTCTCCACTCCATGTCAAGAAAGCAGAACTCTTGAAACAATTTAGCATTTCAAAAGGAACCTTTCATTGAAAGGGAAGTGATAGCAAGACAAAGGAAGCAGGATCTGAGAATTCCTTGTGCAATTCTGTTAGGGTAAAGCAGTAAGAAGCCCCTCCCCTCAGTCCGGTGTTGAATAGGCCAATCCACAGGCACGAAGTTGTTTTGAGAATCGCCGGCTGAGAAGGTGATAAGAAGCTGTTCTCAGGCGTCTCTTGCTGGAGCCTCCGGAGCTGAGACAATACAGGTGGACCTCCCCCTCTTACATTCCCATGAAGGTAAATCAAAGCACAGGATAGATGGGCACCAGGAAAAAGGCTATAAACTAAAGAATGGACCCAGGCTCCCTCCCCACCAAAATGGCAGAGTCCTGATATGGATCTATGGGACCTGACAATGTTGTTATTGTTGTTGTTAGTTGTGAAGTTGTGTCCGGCCCATTGTGACTCAATGGGCAACGTTCCTCCAGGCCTTCCTGTCCTCTATCATCCCCTGGAGTCCATCTAAGCTCACGCTGACTGCTTCAGTGACTCCATCCAGCCACCTCATTCTCTGCCATCCTCTTCTTCTTTTGCCCTCAATTGTTCCCAGCATTAGGCTCTTCTCCAGTGAGTCCTTCCTTCTCATGAGGTGGCCAAAGTATTTGAGTTTCCTCTTTAGGATCTGGCCTTCTAAAGAGCAATCAGGGTTGATCTCCTCTAGGACTGACTGGTTTGATGGCCTTGCAGTCCAAGGGACTCGCAGGAATCTTCTCCAACACCATGCACAGAATCATGCAGATCTGAAAGTACAATTCTTCCGCTGTCTCTTTTACAGCCTGAGAAGTTAGGGAGGATCCTTTCTGAGTTTCTTTCTCTGCCCCTTATACAACTGCAGACTATGCCTTCTCTTACCTGATCATTCTTAGGCAGCCTCTCTTCCCCTTTTCCCAAGCTCATCCCCACATACGATTACAGTGAAAACATGCTGTTCCTGAAAGAGGTAGAAATCAGCTTCATGATCATCCACAAGGTGTAAAGCAATCTTCTATGTGCTGGACAACTGTATGGGGTGTTGTCCAGGGATGGTATTCACTTACTTTCACTACTTGTTCACAAATGTGAATGCACGTGCCCCGTCCATGCATGCGCCTGGCCTTCTGTGCATATGCTTTGCTGGCACGTGAGGCTTCCGTGTGTGCACCTGGCCTCTAAAACATGCCTAAATAGGAATGGCATAGAGCCGGGGCAGGTGGGCGGATTTCTGCTACTGATTCGGGTGAACCAATCCGAACCGGCTGAATACCACCTCTGATGTTTTCAAACACATTGGGAGGATACTAAGTTAGGGAGACTGGATTAGAAACCTGTAGGAAAGTTGAGTCAGGTGAAAAAAATAACCTGAATAGCTCATGAATTACACTACGCAAAAATCGACATGCTAAGTATTATATCTGTTGGAAGTGAAATTTCAATATTCTGGTGCAAGCTTCCAAATTTACATCACTGTTGGGGAAATACAATTCCTGTTATAATGTATGAGATGCATTAATTCTCCAGTTTCATGTTTCAAGGTGATTTGGGGGAAAAATGGTAATTGGAGCTGAAGAATTAAGTTATGAGCCATGCTTAATCTCGGGTTGAAGTCCAGTGATGAATAGGGCTGCAATGTCATCTAGATTAAACATATAAGGAAGCGAGGCTTGGCTGATCAGACTAAAAGTGTGTCTTTTTCAATATTTCTTTAATCTCTTTTTTGTTTTTAAAGTCAGATGCCTCTGGAAAGCATACAAAGAAGATCTCATGGTCATAATTATTCCGTATTAGTTAGTCACTTTTCCCCAGTGCTCAATAGTCAAAGTCAAGTTGTCCCTTTTTTATGATTATGATTATTGAAAGCATTATTAAGACAACCCTTCATCTATTTGTTAAACCCTTCTTTAAAACATCTGTATTGCATTGGTTCCTTTTACTTTTCCCATGGAAACACAGGATAAGAGCTTAAGGATAGCCAAGCTGGGTTAGGTTAAAGGTCACTAACAATTACTGCATTTTCACCAAGGGCAAACAGATGTTTCTTGGTACTCTAGCTACAACTGGACATGAAAACATACCCTCCTCTTCCATTGTTGTCTGAAATTGTGCTTTATAGGCATGTTACCTCCAATCCAGTGGTGAAATCCATTTTTTTTTATTACCGGTTCTGTGGGTGTGGCTTGATGGGCATGGCTTGATAGGCGTGATGTAGCTTGGTGGGCATGACAAGGGAAGGATACTGCCAAATCTCCATTCCCACCCCACTCCAGGGGAAAGATACTGCAAAATCCCCATTCCCTCCCCATTCTTGGGGGGAGGATATTGCAAAATCTCCACTCCCACCCCACTCTGGGGCCAGCCAGAGGTGGTATTTGCTGGTTCTCTGGACTACTCAAAATTTCCGCTACCGGATCTCCGAACTGCTCAACATTTCTGCTACCGGTTTTCCAGAACCTGCCAGAACCTGCTGGATTTCACCCCTGCTCCAATCCTAAAGTTACAGTGAATCTTCCTTGATATACTTATCCTCCGTAAGAAAGCCAGTTGATTCTAGTGGTGAAGGTACCAGGCTAGAAACTAGGAGACTGTGAGTTCTAGACCTGCCTTAGGCATAAAAGCTGGCTGGGTGACTTTGGGCCAATTACCAGGGGAAGGTGACTTCTAGTCCTGCCTCAGGCATAAAAGCTGGTTGTGTAACTTTGGGCCGATCACCAGGAGACTGTGAGTTCTAGTCCCGCCTCAGGCATGAAAGCTGGCTGGGTGACTTTGAGCCAATCACCAGGTGAGAGTGAGTTCTAGTTTTGGCTTAGCCATGAAAGACAGCTGGGTGACTTTGGGTCAGTCACAACCTTCAACACCACAATTATGTAGCAAGCTGCTCTGTCATTTCCTGTCTCAATCAATATATCACTATTCAGTGGATTTGAAAAGTCATTCCTGCATTTGCAGAAAAACTCTAGGAAGGTGGGGGGGGAGAAGCCCTTGTCCTCCATGAGTTTTCCTAGCCCCCCTTTAAACCATCCAGATTATCGGACATCATAATCCTAAAATTGCATGTGTGACATTCAGAGGTGGGATTCACTGACCTTCCCTACCGGTTTGCAAATGTGAGCGCATTACATCCAGGCGGATGGACGGAGCCTCCTGCAGTTGCCACAACCGGTTTTCCCAAACCGGACAGAACCAGTTGAATCCCACCTCTGGTGATATTCAAATAATCCCACCCAGTCAAAGCTACCTTGAAAAATGTCCTGCCTGACTGATCGATTCATATGAGGAATGTTCAAACACAGGAACACTTTTTATTTACCTACTATGAGCTGCATTTATATTCTGCGTAAGTTAGCTTGCCTACAAAATGTAAGAGCGAGCAAATGAGTACAATAAAGCTTTTTTTCCCCCATTCTAATATTAGGCTTTACTGTGATGGAACAAATACCATAGCTCCAAGTGGGCCATGCAAACCTGGTTATTTCTGCACCGGCTCTGCCAGAACCGCTACCCAGATGATGGTCAAAGAAGGGCATTATGCCCTAGAAGGGGCTTTTCAACCTGAAGCGTGTCCTCCCGGGACTTTTCAGCCGGTAAGAAGAGTCAATGGAATACAAATGATTCAGAGGTGGTATTCAGCCGGTTCGTACCGATTTGGGTGAACCGGTCCTGTCCTGTTTCGCTGCATATTTGACACTGTGTGCATTTACGGATGGTGCGCGTGAGCGAATTGCCATGTTGTTTGATGTCGTACGTATGTGTGGATGGCATGCTCAAGCCATCCACACATGCTTTATGGCATGTTTTGGGACATCACGCGCGGTCTCCCATTTCCAGCGTTGGGCGAACCGGTTGCTACAGTATCTGAAGCCCATCTCCGAAATGACTGCATTGAAGCTTCAGTTAGCTAATAGGCAGCCAGCATATTTTCAGCATGGAGCACAAAAGGAAACGATAGACTTATTTGTTTTGGAGTGTGCTGATGTACAGCCCTAATTAGGAATAAAAAGCAACATAGGAAAGACAGCCTACCAGTTAATGACCGTCGCTTTGGGTGATTAAACAGGAAGTTGGCTCATCTTTTGATATCTCAGAAGAAGCACTTGCTTTGAGTTGTTAGGCCTGCTACTTTTCTCATAACCAATGACTTGACTAATTGCTTAAAAGGCAAATTATCAGGTCATTATAAATCTGTCCTGGGTTCATTGCCCCGTCTCATCTACATAGGATGATACTGATTGCCTTGCCCACTTCTCCTCCTCCTCCTCCTCCTCCTCCTCCCTCCTCCTCTTCCTCCTCCTCCTCCTCCTCTTCCTCTCCTCCTCCTCTCCTCCTCCTCCTCTCCTTCTTATAACAGAGTTGGAAGGGATCTTGGAGGTCTTCTAGTCCAACCCCTGCTGTCAGTGTTCCAGAAACAACCCCCCCAACCCCAAATTAAAACTCTGAAGCAAACATTTTTCAAAGTTCTGTTTACTAGGATAAGTAAACTGGCACATCTGGGAAAACACAAATCTGAGAGGTCCGGGTTTTCCCTCAGTAAATCAAAACCCCAAAACCATCCCCTCACTTCTCAATCGATCACATGCTCCAATCACCATCCATCCCATCTCGAGATATCACTCCGACCATTCCTTCTCCAGATGCAGGATCGGCCTGACCTCGACCAACAAGAAGAATGCTATTATATCTAAAGACAACCCCTCTACTAAATCTCCCCTCCTACTTTCCCTCACATGAGAAGGTGGCAGCATGGAAGCTTCCAGCCTAATATGGCTTCCAAAGCTGACACCTGCTTAGGCAGGGAACGCTATACCAGGGGTGTCAAACTCATGGTGTCACATGACGTATCAGGACTTTTTTCTCCTTTGCTAAACTGGGTGGGGGCGGGGCCAGCATGAGAGATATCCAGACCACAGGCCGCAAGTTTGACACCCCTGCCCTATACCATTTCAGACAGATTGTTATCCAAATCTTCTTAAAAACTTCCAGTGTTGGAGCATTCACAACTTCTGGTGGCAAGTTGTTCCACTGATTAATTGTTCTAACTGTCAGGAAATTTCTCCTTAGTTCTAAGTTGCTTCTGTCCTTGATTAGTTTCCACCCATTGCTTCTTGTCCTGCCCTCAGGTGCTTTGGAGAATAGTTTGGCCCACTCTTCTTTGTGGCAGCCTCTGAGATATTGGAACACTGCTATCATGTCTCCCCTGGTCCTTCTTTTCATAAGACTAAAAGGGAAAGGTTCCCCTGGCACATATGTGCTAGTCATTCCCGACTCTAGGGAGCGGTGTTCATCTCCATTTCAAACCGAAGAGCCAGCGCTGTTCGAAGACGTCTCCGTGGTCATGTGGCCGGCATGACTCAACGCCAAAGGCACACAGAACATTGTTACCTTCCCACCAAAGGTGGTCCCTATTTTTCTACTTGCATTTTTTACGTGCTTTCGAACTGCTAGGTTGGCAGAAGCTGGGACAAGTAATGGGAGCTCACTCCATTACATGGCCCTAGGGATTCGAACTACTGAACTGCCGACCTTTCAATCGACAAGCTTAACATCTTAGACACTGAGCCACCACGTCCCTTTTCATAAGACTTGACATACCCAGTTCCTGCAACCGTTCTTTATATGTTTTAGCCTCCAGTCCCCTAATGATCTTTGTTGCTTTTCTTAGCTCCTCCTGGTTGTTGATTAGCAAGAGGGTCATGAATGAAAGAAAGTTGCTCTTGAAGGACATCAACCTCATCTCTTTTACCCCACTTCAGAACTATTGAGCCTGGGAAATTAGTCTTTTTGAGACTGTTGTTCATTGAAACGTAAGTTGGATTTGCCCTTTCAACCTTCTCTACTTTGTGTCATTCCAGAGCCTGGCTCAATCCGCCTGCAGAGAATGCCCAGCTGGCATGTTTTGCAATCACACTGGTCTGGTGGAACCATTGGCTTGTCCCAAAGGGCATTACTGTCCAACTCGAAGCATCCTGCCTCTTCTTTGTCCGGTGGTAATTTCTAAATAGGACTTAGACTTCTATACCACTTCACAGTGCTTTACAGCCCTCTCTCAGTAGATTACAGAGTCAGCCTCTTTCCCCCAACAATCTGGGTCCTCATTTTACCCACCTCGGAAGGATGGAAGGGTGAATCAACCTTGAGCTGGTCAGGATCAAACTCCTGGCAGTGGGCAGAGTTGGCCTGCAATACTGCCTTCTAATCACTGAGAAGGGAAGGGAAGGGAAGGGAAGGGAAAGGAAGGGAAGGGAAGGGAAGAGGAGGGGAGGGGAGGGGAGGGGAGGGAGGGAGGGGAGGGAGGAAGGAAGGAAGGAAGGAAGGAAGGAAAGTAGCTATACCACTTAGATATATACTACTTCACAGTGCTTTGCAGCCCTCTCTATGCAGGTTTATAGTCAGCATATTGCCCCCAACAATCTGGATCCTCATTTTACCCACCTCGGAAGGATGAAAGACTGAGTCAAAACTTGAGCCTGGTGAGATTCGATCTGCCAAATTGCTGGCAGACGGAAGTCAGCAGAAGTAGCCTGCAGTACTGCACTCTAACCACTGCGCCACTGCATCTTACCACATTAAAGAGCCACGGTGGTGCAGTGGTTAGAGTGCAGTACTGCAGGCTATTTCTGCTGATCACTGGTTGCCAGCAGTTTGGCAGATCGAATCTCACCAGGCTCAAGGTTAAACTCAGCCTTCCATCCTTCCGAGCACCCAACAAGTAGCCATGGGATCATGGGGAGGGGGCAGCCATTGGAATTTCAGAACCAGGTTGTAAGTACCTCCAGATACATCTGTGGTAACTTCACGTGGTCACTGAATGGCCAGTTGTAAGTCAAGGAAAAACCTGTACTGGCCCTTAAGAAAACTTCCAAACCTTACAGAAGACCACACTGATTGCTCAATTGGCCAAGTACCATCAATTTTTTCACTCTTTTCTTCTGGGACTACAGTCTATGAGTGTCCTGAAAATTCCAGTGAATATTGGAAATTCAAACCCAAGTTCCAAATTTTCCAGGTACCCACACAATCTTGGATTTTTGGCTCGATGAGTGAAATAAAATTGTCTTTTGTGTGCCTATGATTTCCTTTGGTTTCTGACACATCCCCCCCCCCTTTTGATTTAGGGCACTTATTCAGATACTTTACATGGCACTGGTCCAGGATCCTGTAAACAATGCCCAGCGGGCATGTACTGTAGCAAGCTTGGCTTGGTGGCACCTGAAGGACTTTGCCAGTCAGGTTATTATTGCTTCCAAGGATCTACAAATGCCTCTCCAGTAAGTCGGTGCTGATATCCCCTCTCCTGTTTTGTTTTGATAAGCTTGCAACCATTTGTCAGTGGCCAAGATAATGCGAGTGATTCCTTCCAGACATAAGATTGGAAACGTTCAGCTTGGACAATCTTCATCTATCAAAGGCCTGGAGACTAAACCATATGAAGAACAGCTGCAGATTTTGGGTCTGGCTAGTCTAAAGAAAAGAAGGACTGGGGGGGAAGGGGGGCATGATAGCAGTATTTCAGTATTTGAGGGGCTGCCACAAAGAAGAGGGGGGTCAAATTATTCTCCAAAGCACCAGAAGGCAGGACAAGAAATATTGGTTGGAAACTGATCAAAGAGAGAAGCAACCTGGAATTAAGGAGAAACTTCCTAACAGTGAAGACAATTAACCAGTGGAACAGCTTGCCACCAGAAATCAATGGTGCTCCATCACTGGAGGCTTTTAAGAAGAGACTAGACAGCCACTTGTCTGAGGTTCTCCTGCTTGAACAGGGGGCTGGACTAGAAGACCTCCAAGATCCCTTCCAGCTCTATTCTGTTCTGTTCTATCCTGTCCTGTCCTGTCCTATTTTATTTTCTATTCCATCCCATCCCATCCCATCCCATCCCATCCCATCCCATCCCATCCCATCCCATCCCATCCCATCCCATCCCATCCCATCCCTTCCCTTCCCTTCCTTCCCTTCCCTTCCCTTCCCTTCCCTTCCCTTCCCTTCCTTCCCTTCCCTTCCCTTCCCTTCCCTTCCCTTCCCTTCCCTTCCCTTCCCTTCCATTCCATTCCATTCCATTCCATTCCATGTGGCTGGCCCCACCCCTCGCCCTCCCCTCCCAGTCACTCCTCACCTGGCCTGAGAAGGTAAGGGTGACAGTGGGGGATGGAGAAGGGGCCAGGGCAGAGACAGGGAAATACAGAGAGAGGGGGAGAGAGAGATACAGAGAGAGAGGGAGAGAGGGAGAGAGGGAGTGGAGAGACGGGAGAGAAAGAGATGTCAAAAGGATTTTGTGGTTCCCGGTGGTTCTCTCTAATGACCAGCTGGTTAGACATGGCTAGGGGGTCATGTGACTGGTGGAAGTGAGTGACATCAAGTTGGCCACGCCCACTCAGGTTTTGTGGCTCCCGGTGTTTTCTTTTCTGTGGGAAACGGGTCCAAATGGCTCTTTGAGTATTTAAGGTTGCAGACCTCTGATCTAAACCCTAAGTTTTGAAGACTGCGTGCTTTGCACAGTGGTGGGATTCAATTTTTTTTATTACTGGTTCTTTGGGCGTGGCTTGGTGGGCATGGCTTGGTGGGCATGGTAGGGAAAGGATACTGTAAAATCTCCATTCCCACCCCACTCCAGAGGAAGGTTACTGCAAAATCCCCATTTCCTCCCAATCAGCTGGGACTCGGGAGGCAGAGAATAGATGGGGGCTGGGCTAGTCAGAGGTGGTATTTACCGGTTCTCCGAACTACTCAAAATTTCTGCTACCGGTTCTCCAGAATTGGTCAAAACCTGCTGAAACTCATCTCTGGCTTTGCATTAGAATGACTTTCTCATGTATAAGTTGGCTTCTTTCTCTTTTCTAAGACCGGACCTCCCTTTGGGGGTCTATGTCCTGCTGGGCATTACTGTCCAGCTGGCACCAAAGACCCCAGGGAAATGCCCTGCCCAGTTGGGACATGGAATGAACAGAAAGGAGGCCGAGATTCCACCTGGTGTCGACTATGCCCACCTGGATATTTCTGTAGCAGCCCCGGACGTATCTCCCCTACAGGGCCTTGTGCTCCAGGTGAGAAGATAATGGTGAAATTGCAAGCGCATCTTTGATTGCAATTTGGAAAGGAAGTCTCGTAATACGATCCCTTCCCTAGAGGAAAGCTGACAGTTTTGCTCCTATAAGTGGTTCGGCTTATACTGTTGCATCCAGCTTTAGTCATTTCAGCTTTGCAATCTTAATGTATTGAATTTAGTATGGTATGTGCTTGGGCTAGGAATGCTATGGGTTCTACTGCGTTCAAAGCTGTGAAAGCCCACTTCAAACTAACTTTTCTCTCTTTCCCCTTGGATTATTGGGACTCTGAAGATAATTATCCTGAATCAAAATGTAATTTAGAGAGGTTGAGCCCTGGATTTCAACAGAGGAATTAAGCCTTGAGCTGTTATATATATATATTTTATACTTCCACCTGCTTTGGATTTTAATATAATATGCATTGTAGAACATCCTAACCGATTGATTTGGGGGATAGTATTGTGGTCTGCCAGCAGCCTGCAGAGCTGTCAGTGAAGTCAGACGGTGAGGAGGCTGGGGAGGACAATGGGCCAGTCCTGGAGTCAGGGAAAGGCCCGGATGAGGGCTCTGCATCCGAGGCAGAGATGGGGCCAGGGCCATCTGGGAGCGATGCGTGGACTCCAGAGCCTCCAGAGGCAGATAGCAGAGAGGCAGAGGAACAGGAGGAGCCCGTTCCTAGTACACGCATGCAAAGAGCTGCCAAAAGGCAAGAGCTGTTAAAGCAAAAAGGATGACTCGGGAGTAAGGCCAGGAGATGATTGGCTCCTCCCAGAAGGCTTAAAAGAGCAGCAACTGCTCTTGGGATGTTTGTAGGAAAGCAACGTTGCTACATTTGTTTCTTGTCAGTGTCTCTTGCTTCTGAACCTTTGCCAAGAAAAGCCTTTGGCAGGGTGCCAAAGAAGACAAAGGTTGGTCATAAGGCCGAAGGACTGTTTATGAAGGATTTGTTTTGGAGTTAATTTGGACTAAGCTGAGAATGAAGTAATTCTCAGCTGTTCTAATAAAATATGTTTGTTTAGGACTGATTGTGTCTGATAATAGCTACTTGGGCCTAGGTCACAGCAGATAGCTACTTCTAGAATTCCAGTACTAGGAATTGTGGGAGCTGATGAATAATTTTTCTGTTCCTTGTAATTTTTTTTTTTTTTGCAATGAATAGTATTTGCCTTCCAGTTTGTGATAACAAACTTAATTCTTGAGTCATTTGGCAATAGGCAAATCGATACATAATAGAGAACTTTACAAATCTGAAGTTTCGGCATTTCCAGGGTAAGTTTGTGTTTCTGCTTGCTTCTGCAACGAAATATGATTTAATGCGATTGATTTTCCCTCTGTTTTCAGGGTTTTACTGCAGGGGTGGCACACGTGCCGCAAGACCAATGGACAGAGTAACCGGAGACTTGTGTCCTGAAGGTCACTTCTGCCCTGTAGGGTCAGCCATGCCATCTCCATGCCAAGATGGGGAATACAGTGCAATAACAGGTTAGCTGTGAAAAGGAGGGTTCATGCTTCGCTGGTAGGAATTGCTGATGGATTTCAGCTGGTTTCCTTCACTTTAAACCTCAGAGGCTCAGAAATGAACCTTACTATGCTGTAATTCTGTAATGATCTTAAATCACTTTAAGAGGCTGTTTTATAAGAGAGGCCCTGTGAAGACATCTCTCTATCCATGTGTGCTTCCGTGCTGTAGTTGATGATTGATTGCCTGACTTTGCCTAGTACATGTATGTATATATTCCTTGTAGATAAACCACTCTTTGAAAGAGAAACCTCTGTTTATTGTATTTTGCTCTGGGTTGTCTCAAAATAGTCACACTGTATACACTCTGACATGTAAATGTATTAAAAAGCCAGTTCTAACTCTGTCTAGGTTCTCCCAAAGTCCTACGGGTGCTTCTTTGGAAGTTCTCCTTCTTCTTCTCCAATAAGCCAACTTAGACTGTTGTGCTAGTATCTCCACTGACAAAGTAGGAAGAAGCATGGCTAAGCAGCTTTGGAATCCATGTGTAATAAATCTAGATACGATCTTGATATTTAAGCTAAAGGAGAAGTTGATTGAATTCACAAAGAAGAACCAGGAGGAGAAGACAATGGCTTACTTCATCTTTTCTCTTTTCTCCCAGGCCAAGATGAATGTTTCCCCTGCCCAGCTGGTCTTTATTGTAAAAACGGTGTAAGATATCAATGCCCACCTGGATTTTACTGCCCACCAAGGACTGGGGTCTCCTATTATCCCTGCCCCCCTGGGACTTACAATCCATCTGCTGGCATTGACCAAGCTCAGAGATGCCAGCAATGCCCTTCAGGTGAGCTCTCCTGTCTCTGAAACAAAAACCACTTTCATTTCAGTCTATTTAAACTTTGACCAAGATCTCCAAGGCTGTCGGGGTTTGGTTGTTGTTTCTTCAAGAACTTACCACAGTGATGGCTAATCTTTTTGCCATCGTGTACAAGGAGAAGGGGACAGGGAAGGTTTACGCGCGTGCCCACACCCATAATTCTATGCACCCCACCCTGCGCATGCACACACACACCCCCTCCTCCCCCCGCTCCTGGAAAGCGATGGCCCGGTAGGCCCGTTTTTCTTTCTCACCTGGCTCCAGATTCTCTGTATGCATCTGGGGAGGGCAAAAACAGCCTTCCCCACCCCCTCGGAGGCCCTCCGGAGGCCTGCAATGGCCCATTTCCCAACTGGTTGGGAAAGGAAGTGACTTTTTTGCTGTCCTTAGCCTCCAGAGCCTCTCTGGAGGCAGGAAACATCTTGCTTCCCTTCTTCTGGTGGGCCCAGAAGGCCCAAAAATCAGCTGGCCGGCGCACACAGAGCTGAGCTGACATGCTCACTGATATAGCTATGCATGCCACCTGTGGCATTCATGCCATAGGTTTGCCATCACAGACATAGCATTTGCATTGTTGAATGCGGCAGGGTCAGAGCAGAGTATACTGTATATCCTTCTCAGTTGGGAAAAAATGGATCGATTTTACATTATTCAAATAGCTTTGTAAGTTGAAAATAGATTATTTCTGTTTCTATCCAGGGATGTTTTGTGGAGAATCAGGATTATCTTCTCCCAGTGGTCCCTGTTTGCCAGGATTCTTCTGTAGTACAGGTAGGTTGTGTGTATCGCCCAGTGGTGAAATCCAATTTTTTTTACTACCGGTTCTGTGGGTGTGGCTTGGTGGGCGTGATGTGGCTTGGTGGGCGTGGCAGGGGAAGGATACTGCAAAATCTCCATTCCCTCCCCACTTCTGGGGGAAGGATACTGCAAAATCTCCATTCCCACCCCACTCCTGGGGGGAAAATATTGCAAAATCCCGATTCCCACCCCACTCCTGGGGGAAAGATATCACAAAATCCCCATTCCCACCCCACTCCAGGGGAAGGATATTGCAAAATCTCCATTCCCTCCCCACTCTGGGGCCAGCCAGAGGTGGTATTTGCCAGTTCTCCAAACTACTTAAAATTTCCGCTACCGGTTCTCCAGAACCTGTCAGAACCTGATGGATTTCACCCCTGGTATCGCCTCTTATTTTAAATTCCAGCTGTACGTACCGCGTTTTTCCGAAAATATATTATATTAATTTTTGCTCCAAAATATACATTAGGGCTTATTTTCTGGTTAGGTTTTATTTTTTGGGGGGGGGGAAACGGTACTAAATGCATCCATCTGGCTGACAATCTCCAATGGTTGGAGGCTTTTTTTTCGTAGCTCTGTTTGGAGGCTTTTTTTCCTGAAACTTCATTTCTGATGCTTTTTTCAGCCTTTGAAACCTCTGTTTGAGAAGCTGTGTGGGGCTACATTCGGAGTATAAGACGCACCCAGATTTTCACCCTCTTTTTTGAGGGAAAAAGGGTGCGTCTTATACTTCGAAAAATACGGTATATCTTTAGTGATGTAAGTAATTGTTTTAGTTTGGCAAGATTTCGGTTTACAGTTGAGGAACCGTAAAGAAAAATGCTTAGAAATAATTCAACATGTCTTTCTTGGTTCTTGGTGTTCCTGACTATAACCCTATTTCCAAACATCTAACAGCTAGTATTTGATGTAGGCTTCTAAGCTAGTTACCACTATTTCTGTTCTAGTATTTTTTGTCTTGGCTTTCTCTTCAGGCTCCAGTGTCCCAAATCCTGATGGAATCACGAATATTAGTGCTGGAGGCCCATGTCCAGTGGGGCACTTTTGCCCAGCAGGCACTAGAATCCCTCTGCCATGTCCGGCAGGTACTTTTTCAGACAGGTATGTATCTTAAGAGCATATGGACTCTGATTACTTTGTCCTCTTGAGAAGGAAGTGCCTCCAGAAGTTGTGGGTGCTCCAACAATGGAGGTTTTTAAGAAGAGATTGGGACAACCATTTATCTGAAATGGTGTAGGGTTTCCTGCCTGAGCAGGGGGTTGGACTAGAAGACCTCCAAGATCCCTTCCAACTCTGTTACTGTTCAATCATGGCTCTAGATTGGCAGAGCCAGAAGTACTGATTTTGCTTGGTCAACGTACTATTGGTATCTCCAACCCAAGTCACCAATTATAGGGTGTCAAATAAGAGATTTGGTTGCAAATCCAAGTCTCCTGCTTGAGGAAGAGGTTGCTTCAGAAGACTTCCAAGGTCCCTTCAAACCCTATTATTCTTTTCTTTTAATTAAATACATTTTTATTTGTTTAAAAGTACAAACAAAACAGAACTAGTGACAACAAAACATACAGAACAAAACATGCAAACAAAGATTTCAAATATACATTTTGTCAAATATATATTGTCAAATAAACAACAGTAATGTATGTTCTTATTTGTGTTTTGACTCTTCCTTGTTTGATCTTACTCATATATCTATCTTTATGATTCATTGTTAATTTATGTTAGTGATTTATGTTCCTGTTTCTCTAACTCCAATTACTCCCTATTCTTTTTTCCTTTTTCTATTTTTCAACCAGGTATACCACTTTTCCCATACTAGATAATAATCAAGTTCCTCTTTATCTTGTAATTCTTTTGTAAGTCTGTCCATTTCTGCACATTGCATAATCTTATTAATTACTCTATCTTCTCTAAAAGATTAGAAATGGGACCGGAAACCTTTCTTCTAGGTATAATAAATGGACAATATGAAAAGGAAATAAAATATTTAACCATCCATATAATAACAGCAGCACAAATAATTTTTGCACAAAATTGGAAGAGTAGTGACACACCGACAGAAGAAACCCTATTATTCTATCTCCTAAGAAATTAGCTGGGAATTCTTGTCTCCCCAGACTGTATCTTTCTCTTGAGACCAGCTGCATTGCATGTCCACCTGGATACTATTGCTCCTCTGTTGGCCTCTCGGCAGCCTCTGGACCCTGCTTGGCTGGCTACTACTGCCTACCTGGAGCCACTACACCTACCCCAGCAGGTGAGAGGGCCAGCTGTATGTTCTGTCAAGCAGGGTACAAATCCGTCTCTTCTCTGCAAATGGGAATCAGATTGCATTCTTCTTTCCTTCCAACCCAAAATCAGCTGTTTGGGTGTTAAGCTAATTTCATTCACATTCCTATCCTACCCAATCTGGTCTGCAGCACTTAATAGATTAATCAGGTGAATTGATTAAAACTGCTTTGTTTACTAATGAGGCATCCCAATTAATCAGGACCTGGTGATGGGTGAGTAGTCTCAGGCACATACATATAAGCATGCCTGTGTTGTGTTACCTTTAGTACAGGTTATTCTCTCTTCGCCTACGGCAGGTACAGGCATAATCTAAGCCGAGCGGTGCGGTGGCCTAGAGATAGAGCTCTCGCCTCACAATCCGGAGGCTGCGAGTTCAATCCTAGGTAGAGGCAGGTATTTCTCTCTCTGGGCACAAGGAGAATATGTCTGCTGAATATTACTCCGCATTGGTGACAGGAAAGGCATCCGGCCAGTAAACACTCTGCTAGCTCTATTCAGTTGCCCAGACTTCACCCCGCAAGGGATAATGGGGTCATTAAAAGAAGAAGATGATGATGATGACAGTGTCAGGTTTCGATGTCATCTCAAATAAATTGCACTCCCAAACAATTAATCTTTGCTGAAATATTCCATTTATTGAGTACGACAGATCTGGCCCCAACTTCGTCGTAGCCGATACTAACCCTCTGACCCCCAAACCCTTCCCTTTCCGTTCCCCAATTCTCATCTTCTCATTGGCCATCTTCCAAGTCAGTGTCCCCAGCTTCTGACCTCACCCCACAGGAATGTTCCCCCCACCCATCCCATCTCCTAGGGGATATTATCTACAGAGAAAATAAGTAGGTGAAAAGTCAAGCCTCGTCTTTTTATAGCAGCATCAGGATGCTGACAGACAGTGCAATTCTAGCCATATTTGCTTAAGAATATATCCTGATAGAGTTTTTGCTCCTACCAAAAGACTGTGTAACACTGCAGTCTTGGCAGTCTGCAAATGTAGGTAGATTTGCTCCACTGATTACTCATCAAATCGGCTTAGTTTAAAATAATTTAAACTGGAGTGGGGAGGCAGGGGAAAAAATAATAGAAAAAAGAAGCTAATACAAAATGGCTCTGGCAGACCACTGTCCCAAATTGCAATCTTCCAAATCTTTTTTTTTATTATTATTATTTTGTCAAACATATATAAGATAACAGGTAAAAGTATAAACATAATTTGAATACATGAAAAGAGTAAGTAAAAAGGAATATTAGGACAGGGACGGTAGGGACGCTGGTGCACTTATGCAGGCCCCTTACAGACCTCTTAGGAATGAGGTGAGGTCCACAGTAGACAGTCTAAGGTTAAAGTTTTTGGGGTTTGGGGAAGAAACTACAGAGTCAGGTAGTGCATTCCAGGCATTGACCCCTCTGTTGCTGAAGTCGTATTTTCTGCAATCGAGTTTGGAATGGTTTACCTTAACTTTGTATCTATTGTTTGCTCATGTATTGTTGTGGTTGAAGCTGAAGTAGTCGTTGGCAGGTAGGACAATGTGGCAGATAATTTTATGTACTACGCTTAGGTCAGACTGAAGTCGGTGTAGTTCTAAGTTGTCTAAGCCCAAAATTTGGAGTCTGGTGGCATCAGGTATTTTATAGCGGGTAGAGGAATGGAGGACTCTTCTTGTAGAATATCTCTGGACTCTCTCGATTGTATTTATGTCCGATATGCAGTGCGGGTTCCAGACAGATGAGCTGTATTCAAGAATTGGTCTAGCAAATGTTTTGTATGCCCAAGTCAAGTGAAAACTAAATTGGGTTTAGCTACCATAAGAATTTGAGGATGGAGATTAATACATGAATGCTGATTTTTGTTTTCGAGCTTCTCTCTTCCTCCCTGCCACTCCTTTCTCTTATTTCTTGAGGACTAGAAGCATCACTGTAGATTTTCCTATTCTTTCATTCTTACAGGATTTCCAGAACAGGGAGGATTTTGTCCTGTGGGTCACTATTGTCCAGAGGGAACCAGCCACCCTCTTCCCTGCCTTGCAGGAACTTACAATAATCTCACCACACAGTCTGTTTGCTCCTTTTGTCCAGCTGGTTACTACTGCCCTGAAAACACCACCAGCTATGATGGTTTCCCATGTCCTCCTGGCTTTTATTGTCCTGAAGGTAAGCTCAAAGCTGAAGTCCTTTTTTTAAAAAAAACCCACACATTTTTCTGATGAACTGGAAATAAATTCCCAGTGGTCCATTTGAGAAAAGAGGCGAATCTGATTCCAAAAGGGAAATAAATACAGGGGCAACATTTCAGAGTTTCAATATCTATCCAGATACAGGAGTGCCATCTGCTGACAGTTAGGCTCAGTTGTGCAAAGCATCAGAAAGAAGCATGCAACAGAAGCACTAGGTTTCATGGCCTGCATCTGAAGGACCTGTAAGGTCTCCGCACTTGATGAGAGATGTGGTTGGTACTCTTTGTTATCAGCCTCATCCCTGCTTCAAGGAGGAACACTGACAGGACAGTGCAAGAGATGGGTGAACAATTTATGCTCTGTGGCAGTAGATGATCTAAAGAAGAAGCACTAAAACAGGTCAACTGAATTGAAGCAGCTTCAATTCTAGAATCCTCAAGCGTTCCCATTCCTGAAATAGAATTTCCTTCATTTATATCTAAAATCTTCCAGAAGAAGTTGGGTTTGGAAAGTTGAGACGAGCAGCAAGGGATGGATGGATGGATGGATGGGGGGGAGAGAGAGAGAGAGAGAGAGAGAGAGAGGGAGGGAGAGAGAGAGAGATTAGATTGGGGTGAAATCCAGCAGGTTCTGACAAGTTCTGGAGAACTGGTAGCGGAAATTTTGAGTAGTTTGGAGAACTGGCAAATACCACCTCTGGCTGGCCCCAGAGTGGGGTGGGAATGGAGATTTTGCAATATCCTTCCCCTAGGAGGGGAGGGAATGGAGATTTTGCAGTATCCTTCCCCTGCCACGCCCACCAACCCACGCCCACAGAACCAGTAGGGTAAAATTTTGGATTTCACCCCTGTATTAGATAGATAGAGATAGATATTAGCTACCTAGCTAGCGAGAGAGAGAGGGGGGGGAGAGAGAGAGAGAGCGCTATAGAACAGTGGTGAAATCCAAATTTTTTTACTGCCGGTTCTGTGGGCGTGGCTTGGTGGGCGGTGGTGTGGCTTGGTGGCCATGGCTTGGCGGCCATGGCAAGGGAAGGATACTGCAAAGTCTCCATTCCCACCCCACTCCTGGGGGAAGGATATTGCAAAATCCCCACTCCCTCCCCACTCCTGGGGGAAGGATATTGCAAAATCTCCATTCCCACCCCACTCTGGGGCCAGCCAGAGGTGATATTTGCCGGTTCTCCGAACTACTCAAAATTTCTGCTACCGGTTCTTCAGAACCTGTCAGAACCTGCTGGATTTCACCCCTGATATAGAGGCAGGCAGGCAGGCAGGCAGGCAGGCAGGCAGACAAATAAATAATGGATTTGAAATGTAGTATTGGTTTTTGTTTGAAGTCTTTTTATTGTTCATTCAGATTGTTGGGTTTTCTTAGAATGACATATCTCATTCTTTTTGCTTTCATGATCAGTAGCCAACTCTTTTGAGCAACCAGAAAGAAATCTATCAGTATTTTCTTCAACAATGCTCTGCTCCATTTCTGCCAGCAGCAAAGGAAGGAAAAGCCATTGTCTAGAAAATTAGCATGACAGGAGAAAATGTTTTCGGGGCTAACCTCCTAGGAAAGCTGCTGTTATTACTGTTTTTTTTTTAAAAAAAAGTTTGTTATAACTGTTTTTGAATCCCGAAGTATTCGATTTAGCCCGGAGCCTGTGATCTGGATCTTAAGTTTACTTCCAATCTTACAACTAGGCCAAAAGCAATATTGCAAACATTACACTTGTTTGAAGAAGGATTTTGGTTCTTGCTTCTCTTTTATTGTTGCCCCAAAGGAACCAGATATGCCATCCAGTTTCCATGCCCTAGGGGCTATTATAATCCAGACCCCATGGCACAAAGCTTGGACAGCTGCTTACCCTGCCTTCCAGGACACTACTGTGGGAAGGAAAACTTAACTACGGTTTCAGGGAAGTGTGATGCAGGTGAGGTTACATGTCGAAGAAGAAATGTTTCTGTACATCAGCCAAAATTATCTTCATCTGTATCTCTCTCCCCACTTACAACTCCACCTCCTTCTCCATCTCCATCTCCATCTCCACCTTCGTTTCCTCCATCTCCACCTAAATCTCTATCTCCGCTTTCACCTCCATCTCCACCTCCTTCTCCATCTCCATCTCCATCTCCATGGGAGCAACATGGCGTTCCCATGTAACACCCCTCCTGCGTGAGCTGCACTGGCTCCCGGTGGTCTTCCGGGTGCGCTTCAAGGTTCTGGTTACCACCTTTAAAGCGCTCCATGGCTTAGGACCCGGTTACTTACGGGACCACCTACTACCACCAATAGCCTCCCACCGGCCGGTACGCTCCCATAGAGAGGGGCTCCTCCGGGTGCCGTCAGCCAAACAATGCCGACTGGCGGCCCCCAGGGGGAGAGCCTTCTCTGTGGGGGCACCTACTATCTGGAACGAGCTCCCCCCAGAGATACGGAGGATCCCGGATCTGCGCACCTTCCGCCGCGCCTTAAAGACCTTACTATTTCACCAGGCCGGCCTGGCCTAATTTTCCCCCTCTTTTATAAAAGATTTTTAAAATTTTAAATATCTTTTAGTATTTTATATATTCAATTTTAAATTGGTTTTAAAAGTTTGGGGTTTTAAATTTGTCGGGGCCAAAATTATTTAATTTGATTTTATTCTATTTTTAAATTTTGTATTGTATGTGTTTTTATTGTTTGGCTGTGCACCGCCCTGAGTCCTTCGGGAGTAGGGCGGTATAGAAATCAAATAAAATAAATAAAATAAATAAATAATAAATTCGTTTCCTCCATCTCCACCTAAATCTCTATCTCCGCTTTCACCTCCATCTCCACCTTCACCTCCACCCCCACTTCTATCTCTATCTCCACCTCCATCTTCACCTTCCATCTCCATTACCATCTCCACCTCTGTTTCCACTTCCATCTCCACCTCCACCTCTATCTCCATCTTCACCTTCCATCTCCACCTTTGTTTCCATCTCCATCTCCACCTCCACCTCCATGTCCACCTCCATTTCCATCTCCACCTTAATCTCTATCTCCATTTCCACCCCCACTTCCATCTCCACCTAAATCTCAATCTCCACCTTCACCCCCACCTCTACCGCCATCTTCCATCTCCATCTCCACCTCCATGTCCACCTCCGTTTCTACCCCACCTTAATTTCTATCTCTCTCTCCTCCACCCCCACTTCCATCTCCACCTAAATCTCCATCTCCATCTTCACCTCCACCTCCACCTTCCATCTCCCATCTCCATCTCCACCTCTGTTTCCACTTCCATCTCCACCTCCACCTCTATCTCCATCTTTACCTTCCATCTCCACCTCTGTTTCCATCTCCATCTCCACCTCCATGTCCACCTCCATTTCCATCTCCACCTTAATCCCTATCTCCATTTCCACCCCCACTTCCATCTCCACCTAAATCTCAATCTCCACCTTCATCCCCACCTCTACCTCTACCTCTATCTTCCATCTTCATCTCCCTCTCCACCTCCATGTCCACCTCCGTTTCTACCTCCACCTTAATATCTATCTCTATCTCCTCCACCCCCACTTCCATTTCCACCTAAATCTCCATCTCCATCTTCACCTCCACCTCCATCTTCCATCTCCATCTCCACCTCTGTTTCCATTTCCATCTCCAACTCAACCTAAATCTCCATCTCCACTTCCACCTTCCATCTCCATCTCCATCTCCACCTCTGTTTCCACCTCCACCTTAATCTCTATCTCTATCTCCATTTCCACCCCCACCTCAATCACCATCTCCATCTCCACCTCCATCTTTAGTCCCACCTCCACCTCCATCTATTTCCAGCTCTATCTCCCAATTTCCTTAATCTGAGGAACCACTAACCTGTCTTCCTCTGATTTTCTTCCTGATTTGAACCAGTTCTTCTGTGATGTGTTCTTTTTTTTTGTTTGTCTCTTGTAAATCTCACCTTAAAGTAGGAACGAGATAGGTGGGTGAATCTTTTGCAAGACTCTTGAGTTTGGGATTTGGGAATAATCCCATGAGCGTTGGGTTTTGCTTGGTTTTGCTTTGCTTTTATAAAACATGATTTGGTTAAAAAAAATTAATGATTTTATTAAAGAAATTAAAACGGATGGTCAAGTACTCTGTCTCCTTTGGTTGACCAAATTCAAAAAGAGTTTAGGTGTGCTCATTGAGGATTAGTTGTTCATAGTGCAATCTACCCTTACTTCACATTCTCCTTATTTCTCCCCTAGGCTGGTTCTGCATTTCAGCTGCTTGGACCCCTCAGCCCTTCGATCTTGATAATTACACCAATGGCAACTGTCTCTGTCCAGCGACAGCCACAGGGGCAAAATGTTCTCCTGGGTCCTACTGTCCAGAAGGGAGCCTTGAGCCCATTCCGTGCCCACCAGGACTTTACTGTAATGCACCAGGTAAAAAAAGGCACCTAAGGCATAGGGACTGAAAAGGTATGTGTTTCATTTCTGATTCACATCATTCTTGAGTATGAGGTTAGACCAGCGGTGAAATCCATTTTTTTTTTACTACCGGTTCTGTGGGCGTGGCTTGGTGAGCGTGGTGTGGCTTGGTGGGCATGGCTTGGTGGGCATGGCAGATATATATATATATATATATATTAAATTTTGATTTATATGCCGCCCTTCTCCGGAGACTCAGGGCGGCTTACAGTGCGTTAAGCAATAGCCTTCATACTTTTGTATATTTATACAAAGTCAGCTTATTGCCCCCACAAACTGGGTCCTCAATTTACCTACCTTAGAAAGGATGGAAGGCTGAGTCAACCTTGAGCCTGGCAAGATTCGAACTTACTTTAATTGCAGACAGCTGGTATTAAATTGCAGTGCCTTGTCTGCAGAGCTATCCAGGCTCCTATTGCAAAATCCCCATTCCCACCCCACTCCAGGGGAAGGATACTGCAAAATCCCCATTTCCTCCCCACTCTTGGGGAAAGGATATTCCAAAATCTCCATTCCCACCCCGCTCCAGAGGAAGGATACTCCAAAATCTCCATCCCCTTCCCACTCCAGGGGAGAAGGATACTCCAAAATCTCCATCCTCTCCCCACTCCAGGGGAGAAGGATATTGCAAAATCCCCATTCCCACCCCACCCCAGGGGAAGGATACTGCAAAATCCCCATTTCCTCCCCACTCCTGGGAAAAGGATATTGCAAAATCTCCATTCCCACCCCACTCTGGGGCCAGCCAGAGGTGGTATTTGCTGGTTCTTCGAACTACTCAAAATTTCTGCTACCGGTTCTCCAGAACCTGTCAGAACCTGCTGGATTTCACCCCTGGATTAGACGCTTCATGTGCCCAGAGATTCCTTTTTTAAAAGAAGATTCTTACAGAAGTATCCATCTGTGTTCTTAACGAAGGGTAGATTTTGTTTTTGTATTAAAAAAAAACCCCAATGTTTCGTCTTATTCTATGTTAGGTTGGGCCTTAGCTAGGATACCTTGTCCAATGATGGTCACATTTTAAGACAGTCTGGAGCAGGTTCAGAGATGAGTTATGAGGCTGATTAAAAATATTAAATTGTGGAGTCTTGGTGCTCTCTGAGCTTGGTTGTTTTCTTGTAGAGAGTTAGATAGCATCATCGGTGCACTGAGGATGTTACTTCATTGTGTAATGAAACACAATGTAAGAAAATCTGTAAGAGCCTTGGTGGCGCAGCAGACTAAAGTGCTGGTAAAGTAGTATTTAGCTGCCAGCTGCCAGCTGCCTGCAATTACTGCAAGTTCAAATCTCACCGGGCTCAAGGTTGACTCAGCCTTCCATCCTTTCGAGATAGGTAAAATGAGGACCCGGATTGTGGGGGCAATAAACTGACTTTGTATAAAAAAAGAACACCGCTTGGGGGAGGGGGGCAAAAGCCCTACTAAGCAGGTATATACAAAAGTATGAAGGCTATTGCTTAACGCATTGTAAGCTGCCCTGAGTCTCCGGAGAAGGGCGGCATATAAATCGAACCAACCAACCAACCAACCAACCAACCAACCAACCAACCAACCAACCAACCAACAAACAAACAAACAAACAAACAAATAAATAAATAAATAAATAAACAAACAAACAAACAAACAAACAAACAAACAAACAAACAAACAAACGAATGAATGAATAAAACAATGAAGCTCAGTATCTCCACAGTTCAACCCAAAGCTACAAATGTTCTCTTCTATCAGAATTTAAAATTTATACAAAGAATTTGAAGGATTCAGGGATGCTCTTTGCCTTGAGAAGATAAGACTGTAACGTCACCCTCTTTAAGTACCTGGAAAGATTTGTGTCATATGAAAGCCATGGCCTGTTCTTAGCTCCTCCACCAAGTTCTGACCGTAAGAAGAATTGCTCCAGAGGGCTCACAATCACAGTTTATGACAGAATACAGATGTGAGGAAATTTGCAAGTTGTCTTATAATTGCTTTTCTAATTGATTACTCCTGATATCCAGATATACAGTTTCTTGCATCGTTAATCCTGATATTTTATTGTCATTTTTGCCGGCAAGCCATCTGGCAATCAATTAAGCAACGGATTGCACTTAAACACAAGTGGCTATTGCGCAAACGTCAATGGAGTTGGCATTGAGCTATTGAAGGAAGAATTAGACGACTTATCATCATGGGAGGACAGTAATCACAGAGACCATTTCAATATTGCGGGTTGGTTGGTTAAACGCATAGGCCTCCTGACTCCATCCCAACTTTTTGTTGCAGAAGATACTGAGTATGTAAAGAACTCCAGATGTACGCTGTACTTTACACACTGCCTTTGTTGTGGCCGTCAGCAGCCTGTGCGGATTGTAGCCGATTCCGACGAGGAGGAGGCTGGTGTGGTGCTGCACCAGTAGCCTGTGCAGCTGCTGCTCGAGTCGGACAGTGAGGAGGCTGGAGAAGATGTGGTGCCAGAGGCGGGGATTCAGCCAGAGCCTTCAGAACCTCCAGAAGCTCCCATAAGTGAAGAGGACGAAGGGAAGGAGCCTCTTCTCAATGCACCAGTGCACAGAGCTGCCAAAAGGCAGGAGTGGCTCCTCAGGAGGAGGAGAGAGTAAGGCTTGGGGCTAATTGGCCACTCCCTTAGCCTATTTAAGAAGGAATGCCACTTGCAACAAGCTGTAGAGAACAACTTTAGTTCACTCTCTTTCGTGTCTGCAAAATTGCTTCTGGGCTTTCTGCCAACTCTAGTAAGACTGTGATTACCTTATCTTAGAATTCTGGTAGGCTGTTAAGACAGTTCATTAACAGCCTTTGAATGATAAAGACTAAGTTATTTGAGTAAAATAAGCTTTGTATAGAGTTTGTGCGTGCTGCGTTCTTTGGGGTCCGTAGATGGGGCAGAACAGCCTTTGAGTTAATGTTGACTCCTAGTGATTGCCTGGAGAGCCTTTGCAATGTTCTTGGCAAGATTTTGGAAGTGGTTTGTCATTGCCTGATTCCTAGGGCTGAGGGAGAGGGCCCACCCAGTTGCCTTTGTGCCTAAGGCAGGACTAGAAATCACTGTCTCCCAGATTGTAGCCTGGTGCCTTAACCAGTAGACCAAACTGATTCTCTTTAACTTTACGACTTCTTTTTTTGTCTTTTAATGACCCTGTAATCCAGAGGTCTTTAAATTTGGCAGCTTTAAGACTTGTGGCTGGCTGGAGAATTCTGGGAGTTGAAGTCCACAAGTCTTAAAGCTGCCAGGTTTGAAGACCTCTGCCGTAATCCCTTGCATCGGGGTGGAGTCGGGGCAACTGAATGCAGCTGAGTGTTTACTGGCCGGATGCCTTTCCCTGTTGCCAATCTGGAGTTCGCAGCAGATATATTCTCATTGTGCCCAGAGAGAGAAATATCTGCCTCTACCTAGGATCGAACTCACAGCCTCCTGATTGGGAGGCGAGAGCTCCACCTCTAGCCTACCGCACTACTCTTCCAGGGATGAAATACTCCCAGTTTGGACCAGTTCGGTCGAACCGGTAGCGATTGCAGCCGGTGGTTCGAAGAACCGGTAGTGATGGCGGCGCGAGGCTCCGCTCACCTGCCCGGTTGTCGTTACTTCCAGGTTTTAACCAGGAAGTAACCTGTTTTTTACCCTCTGCGCATGCACAGAAGGGTTTGCACATGCGCAGAGGGTCTGCACTTGCAAGTGATGTGCGCACGAGCGAAGCCAGCGCACGCGCATGGCATGTGCATTTTCAAACTGGTTGGGAAGGTAAGTAGATTTCACCCCTGCATTATTCACTTTAACTTTAACTTCCCTTTAACTCCATGGCTTAGGACCTGGGTACCTATGACACCGTCTTTTGTCACCAATAGCCTCCCACCGACCAGTTCGTTCTCACAGGGAGGGACTACTCAGGGTACCGTCAGTCAAATGATGCCGACTGGCGACTCCCAGGGGGAGGGCCTTCTCTGTGGGGGCTCCAACCCTTTGGAATGAACTGTCGCCTGAGATACGAAATATCCCTGATCTCCGTGCTTTCCGCCGTGCCCTCAAGTCCCTGATGTTCCAACAGGCGGGGCTAAACATATGAACATGTGAATGTTTTTAAAATGTTATTTAATTTTAGGTTCTATTTAATTGGGCCAAACTATGTTATAATAATAATTTTAATTAGCAATTTTATGATGTTTGTGTATCTATATTTTTCTTGACTGTGCACCGCCTTGAGTCCTACGGGAGAAAGGCGGTATAGAAATATAATAAATAAATAAATAAATAAATAAATAAATAAATAAATAAATAAATAAATAAATAAATAAATAAATAAACAAACAAACAAACAAACAAACAAACAAACTTTACAATCCTGCTTCGTAAATCCTGGTCCAGTTGTTGCATCAACTAATGGCTTATCTGACCTCTCTCTCGATTTGTTTATTACAGATTTACCTTTTCTTTGCTAATATTTGTGCAAGTTAATGCTAAGAATCACCCTAAGTTTCTGTTTCGCTTCTTTCCTGCTTCTTCCTCAGGTTTATCAGCTCCAAGTGGTGAATGCGCTGCTGGGTTTCACTGCATTGGAGGGTCAACTTCTCCCAAGCCACTTGATGGGATTACCGGCAACATCTGTCCTCCAGGGACATATTGCCGTGAGTTGCATTATCACTTGTCTGGATACTTAAAGTGATCAGATTTCCAAGACGAAGAACCAGGACTAGGTTTAATTAATAAATTAACCAGGATTCATTGATAAAATTGTACACATTGATTAATTAAGCGGTAACCTCAAGTATTAGCCCAGGTACAATTTGGATGAAACTATCATCTTCTTTTAATGACCCCATAATCATGGGTGGGCTGCTGGGGGTTCGTAGGGGTTCGGGAGAACCTCTAGCTAAGATTCTGTGCAGTTCGGAGAACCCCCAAATCCCACTCCTGGCTGCCACTCCCACCCTGCCCATTCCCCCCCTCCTCTCCCAGGAGTTTTGGATGCCGGTAAGTGCAGGGCACATGTAGAGGCTCAGGGAGGGTGAAAAATGGACCTACCAGAAGTTCGGGCCTGTTTCCGGCCTCCAGAGGGTCTCCGGAACCAGGGGAGGCCGTTTTCATCCTCCCAGAGGCAGGTTCGAATCTCTCCAGGCTCAAGGTTGACTCAGCCTTCCATCCTTTCTAAGGTAGGTAAATTGAGGACCCAGTTTGTGGGGGCAATAAGCTGACTTTGTATAAATATACAAAAAGATGAAGGCTATTGCTGAGCACATTGTAAGCCGCCCTGAGTCTTCGGAGAAGGGCGGCATATAAATCAAATTAAAAAAAAAAAAAATAGCAAGGGGTTCTCTGCTCATTTGCTGGGTGGGCGTGGCCTAGTTGGCCTCCTGCATCATGGCTGGGGGGGGGGCATTTTTGTCCTCCCCTGGCTCCAGAGGCTTTCCTTGAGCCTCTGGGAGGATGAAAACGGCCTCCCCTGGTTCCGGAGACCCTCTGGAGGCCGGAAACGGGCCCGAACTTCTGGTAGGTCCATTTTTCACCCTCCCTGAGCCTCTACGTGTGCCCTGCACTTACCGGCATCCAAAACTCCTGGGAAACCAGAAGTCTGGTCATTCTATGACCGAAGTGTCTCCATGAAGTGTGGTTTCTGACAAAGCCACAATATGTGCGATGCAATGAATACTTATTTTATCTCCCGCCTTCGTATCATCTTCTATATTCTGATATTCGTAGCACAATCTTTTCTATCACCTGCTTTTTCTGCAGGAGAAAAGCTCCCGGCCACCTTGAAGAAAGGATAGAATTAAAAGAATGTAGTACATCATGTTGTTATCTAGCATTTTTTTCTTTTCCTGATCTGGACTGGAGTATCTGGAGCCAGATCTATTGAGGGAGGACTGTGTAATTCAGGTTTAATGGCTATCTCACCGTCGTTTCTTGCAATCTCTTTCCTCCCCCCAGCTGTGGGGTCTATGGCCCCCAGCCTCTGTCCACCAGGAACCTTCTCAAATCGATTTGGCCAAAGTATGGCCTCTGACTGCCAACTCTGCCCTTCTGGGTTTTACTGTGAAGGTTCTGGACTGACAATCCCCACTGGAGAATGCAAGGAAGGTAAGTGGAACCTACCAGAAAGGTAAGGGAGAAATTTCCTGAGAGTTAAGACAATTAATCAGTGGAATGATTTTCCTTCAGAAGTTGTGAATGCTCCAACACTGGGAGTTTTTAAGAAGATGTTGGATAATCATTTGTCTGAAGTGGTGCAGGGTTTCCTGCCTAAGCAGGGGGTTGGACTAGAAGACCTCCAAGGTCCCTTCCAACTCTGTTATTCTATTCTATTCTATTCTATTCTATTCTATTCTATTCTATTCTATTCTATTCTATTCTATCCATTCCACTCCACTCCACTCCACTCCACTCCACTCCACTCCACTCCATTCCATTCCATTCCATTCCATTCCATTCCATTCCATTCCATTCTATTCTATTCTATTCTATTCTATTCTATTCTATTCTATTCTATTCTATTCTATAGGAGGTTGAACTAGAAAACCTCCAAGGTCTGTTATTCTGTTACTAGGAAGATTTTGAAAATTATGAAGGAGTTGTTTAGATCTCAATTCAAGAGATGTTTGGCACCCAAGACCTTCACCTGTGGCTGAAAAATAACTGCAGATTTGTTTCCCGTTGCACTCAATCAGTGTCCTGCTTCAATTCTCTACTGGATCAAAGACTTCTTGAGGGACCAGCCACGAACAGTGAGGGTTGGGTCTGTCATATCCACCTCCCTGAAACTTAGCACTGGCTCCCCACAGGGCTGTGTCCTCAGTCCCTTCCTGTATTCACTGTACACTGTACACATGTGTAACATGATCACACCGGTGCAATAGGATTGGGTGTTTTGTTAATATGGCTCCATGGCTCAGGACCTGGTTATTTATGGGACCACCTGCTACCACCAATAGCCTCTCACCGGCCGGTACGCTCTCATAGAGAGGGGCTCCTCCGGGTGCCGTCAGCCAAACAATGTCGGCTGGTGGCCCCCAGGGGGAGAGCCTTCTCTGTGGGGGCACCTGTTATTTGGAATGAGCTCCCCCCGGAGATACGGAGGATCCCGGATCTGCGCACCTTCCGCCGCGCGCTTAAGACTTTTTTATTCCAACCGGCTGGCCTGGCCTAACTTTCCCTTTTAAATGGCATATGAGAAATTTTAAATTTGTTTTAAATATGGGGATGTTTTTTCATTCGTCTTGGGCCAAATTGTTTAATACGTTTTTATACTGTTTTAAATTTTTATAATTTGTGTGTTTTATCTTTTTGGCTGTTCACCGTCCTGAGTCCTTCGGGAGTAGGGCGGTATATAAATCTAATAAAATAAATAAATAAATAAAAATAATATGATTTATTGGGTATGGGAGGGGGAGTGCACTGAGGGAGCTCAACCAATCTCATCGTACATATGTTGTGCACTGACAATAAAGATTTGAAATTTGGAAATTCTACTTCCTTGTTTCAGGTTATTACTGTGACAGTCAGGAAGGACCTGTCAGCAATTATACCCTCTATCCTTGCCCGCAAGGATTTTACTGCCCCCCAGGGACACAGTGGTCCTCACAGTACAGCTGCCCCCTGGGGACCTTTGGAGCCAAACCAAGGTTAACAAATATTCTCGAGTGTCAAAACTGCCCACCAGGAAAATACTGCTCATCTCCCGGATTGGCAGGACCAACAGGTAAGGGGAAAAAAGGAGTCCAAGGTTAAGGATAGTATTAATGTTTTAAGGTAAAGGTAAAGGTTCCCCTCGCACATATGTGCTAGTTGTTCCGACTCTAGGGGGCGGTGCTCATTTCCGTTTCAAAGCCGAAGAGCCAGCGCTGTCTGAAGACATCTCCGTGGTCATGTGGCCGGCATGACTAAATGCCAAAGGCACACAGAACGCTGTTGCCTTTCCACCAAAGGTGGTCCCTATTTTTCTACTTGCACTTTTTATGTGCTTTTGAACTGCTAGGTTGGCAGTAGATGGGACAAGTAATGGGAGCTCACCCTGTTACGTGGCGCTAGGGATTCGAACCGCTGAACTGCCAACCTTTTGATCGACAAGCCCAGTGTCTTAGCCACTGAGCCACAGAGTCCCTGTATTAATTAATGTTTTAGGAAGCATATTTTGTATGCTCTGTGCCAGAAACGAAGAACTAGCCCCTTACAATTTGTTGAATATCACGTCTTAGCATGGTAACAAAAAGTGACTAAGACTTGTATAGGTAGGCCTTGACTTATGACCACAATTGAGACCAGAATTTCCATTGCTGAGCAAAGCAGTTGTTAAGTGAGCCAATTTTATGACCTTTCTTTCTTGGCATGGTTATTAAGTGAATCAGTAAAGTGAATCATGCAGTCATTAAGCGAAGCCAGCCTTCTCTCTACTGACTTTGCTTGTTGAAAGCCAGCTGGGAAGGTTACAAATAGTGACCTTGGGACATGGCAAACATTGTAAATACATGCCAGTTACCAAGTGCCCAAATTTTTATCATGTAATCTTGGGATTGCTGCGATAGTTGTAAATGTGAGGACCGGTCATAAGTCACTGTTTTGGCGATATTATAACTTTGAATGGTTACTAAATGAGTCTGTCAGGGCTCTGACAAATGCCCTTATTAACTCATGAGCCTCGAGCCAAGTTTCAAAAGAAATCCAGTTATTTATTAGGAGCAACATGTCGGCAGCTTCCCAAGTGTAGTCAACTCTGCCGCACTTAATTTACGGCTCAACTATGACCCTGTTCCCCTCCTCCTCTCAGTCTGTGTCTTAAATCATATTCTCCATCAAGGCACTTCCGTGGGCTGTAGAAACCACACCTCACAAACTGGCTCTGGTAATTTGTTATCCAACCTTGGAGGAAGATATGCGTGGAATGTGCTTGTGAACATGGCTGCTGAACTGCTCCGACAGATCTCCCCCCCCCTTTTCTGCCCATGACAACTTGAGAGCAGACTAGAAATGCTTTGCGAGTTGACATAGTGATTGTAAGTCAAGGACTATCTATAATTTTGCAACTCTGGAGAGCCATTGTTCCCCATCCCTCGACTATATCAATTTCTTTCAACCTGGCATGTTCCAGCTGTGATGGGCTTCAGTTTCCATGATCCTCCAGCCAACAGCATCTTCAAGCCCTTCCTGCAAGGGACAATATCATGATATTGTGTGGAGGACACCTGTCTCAATTGTTGGATCGTTCTGTGTGATGAAGATAGATTTTCCTTTATGTTTAGGTGATTGCGCTGCAGGGTTTTGGTGCAAAGGTGGAGCTCAAGTTCCAAATCCAACTGATAGAGTATCTGGACAGCCTTGTCCTGCTGGGCACTATTGCCTTTCAGGTATAGTAACCTCTCCTTCAGTTTGGCTCCTTCAAATGTCTCTTCTTCATTGGTCAAATGGACCCGTCTCTCTCCTTCTAGGAACTCTCATTCCATTGACCTGCCCAGATGGAACGTGGTCTGGAGATGATGGGAACCCAGATCTCCAGAGTTGCAAGTCTTGCCCTGGAGGTTACTACTGCAATAGCACTGGCCTTGTGTCCCCGTCTGGTCACTGTGATGCAGGGTATGTCTCAGAGATATCTTCCCCTTTAATTTATGAATGTGGATATTTCTGTCTATATACAGTAAGTGTGACATATAATCCAACAATAGATTCAGCTGCAGATATTAACTGTCCAGCTGTATTTTTTCCTTGGTTGTTGTTAGTTGCAAAGTCGTGTCTGACCCATCACAACCCCATGGATAATATTCCTCCAGGCCTTCCTGTCCTCTACCATCCTCTGGAGTCCATTTAAGCTCACGCCGACTGCTTCGGTGACTCCATCCAGCCACCTCATTCTCTGCCATCCCCTTCTTCTTTTGCTCCCCATCATTCCCAGCATTAGGCTGTTCTCCAGGGAGTCCTTCCTTCCTTCTCATTAGGTGGCCAAAGTATTTGAGTTACATCTTCAGGATCTGGCCTTCTAAAGAGCAGTCCTCTAGGACTGACCTGTTGGATGGCCTTGCAGTCCAAGGGACTCGCAGGAGTCTTCTCCAGCACCAGAGTTCAAAGGCCTCCATTCTTTGGCGCTCAGCCTTCCTTATGGTCCAACTTTCACAGCCGTCCATTGCAAGTGGGAAAACCATAGCCTTGACTATACGCACTTTTGTTGGCAGGGTGATGTCTCTGCTTTTTAGTATGCTGTCTAGGTTTGCCATAGCATTTCCCCCCTTATTTTTATCCAGCCTTTTATTAACATTTGACTTTCCTCTACAAGTTCTTTCTTAACTCTCCCTTAATGAGTTTGGTCTAGTGGTGAAGGCACTAGGCTAGAAACTAGAAGACTGTGAGTTCTAGACTCATCTTAAACATTAAACATTAATGTTATCTTAAACATTAAAAACTGGCTGGGTGACTTTAGACCGGTCCCTCTCTTTCAGTCCAACCCAAACCTCACGGGGTTGTTGTTATGGGGAAAATAGGAGAAGGAAGAAGCATTATGTATGTCTCAATGGTGCTTTTTCAAGAAGCAACTAGAGTTTCTGGTTTTTCTTTGAAGACATTTTGCTTCTCATCCAAGAAGCTTCTTCAGCTCTGAAGAAGCGTCTCATCCAAGAAGCTTGGATGAGAAGCGAAACATCTTCAAAGAAAAACTAGAAATCCAGTTGCCTCTTGAAAAAGCACCTTTCGGACCCCCACTCTGATTTGCGATCAATGGCTTAAGTAGCATGGAGGCCAAATTACAGAAGAAATCCTTCTTGACATGGCCCCATTAGTGGCCTCCTTTTCAATGACTGCAAATGACTTGACCCTCCCTCATTGTTAATCAATATTTGTTTCTCTTGCTACTTTGCTAGGTTTTATTGCATTGCAAGATCGACCAATCCGAGACCCACTGATGGGATTTCAGGTGCCCCCTGTCCTGTAGGTCACTACTGTCCCTCAGGCAGCGAAGCCCCAACTCCTTGTCTTCCGGGCACCTACATGGCAGAGACCCATGGAAAAGAACGGTGTCCCTCGTGTCCAGAAGGGAAGTACTGTATACCTGGTCATTTGCCACGGTTATGTCCCAAAGGTGAGTTTTTTAGTGGGCAAAGCTGTTTTATCTATCAAAACTCTTCACTGCAGAGATCCTTACATCCACGCTTCCCTCACTATGGCTCTTTCTTGAAAAATGTGGATTTCTAACCCTTGTGGTGTGCCTGCATTTTTAAGACATGAATAAATTTCCTTCTTTTCCTTCTCTCTGTGAGTCAACAGATTTACTCAATTCGGCATTCCTGGGAAACAAAAGAGAGAACTCCCAAAATAATCCGTAAAATGAGGATGTTTTTTGTTTGCAATCCCTTTCCGTTCCCTCTGTTCATCTGCCTCATTTTGCCTTCTAAATTACTCTACATTCTCAGTAATCCCTGTATTTTAAAACATCCAGAGAGCTTCAGCTTTTGGATGGCATAAAATGTTGATAAATAGAATAGATAGATGATAGAGATTAGATAGATGATAGATAGATAGATAGATAGATAGATGATAGATAGATAGATAGATAGATAGATATGAGAGAATAGAGATAGATAGTTAGATGAGAGATAGAGATAGACAGATAGAGAGAGAGAGGGAGAGAGAGAGAGGGATGGATGGATGGATGGATGGATGGATGGATGATAGAAGATGATAGAAGATAGAAGATGGCAGATGATAGATAGATAGATAGATAGATAGATAGATAGATAGATAGATAGATAGATAGATATAGATAGATGGATGGATGATATATAGGAGAAAGAATAGAGATAGAGAGATAGATAGATAGATAGATAGATAGATAGATAGATAGATAGATAGATAAAGATGGATGGATGGATGGATGGATGGATGGATGGATGATAGAAAATGATAGAAGGTGATAGAAGATGATAGAAGATAGAACATAGAATTGATAGATGATAGATAGATGAGAGAATAGAGATAGATAGATAGATAGATAGATAGATAGATAGATAGATAGATGATAGAAGTTGATAGAAGATAGAAGATAGAAGATAGATAGATAAATAGATAGATAGATAGATAGATAGATAGATACTGTAGATGATAGAAGATGGTAGAAGATAGAAGATAGATAGATAGATAGATAGATAGATAGATAGATAGATAGATAGATAGATAGATAGATGATAGAAGATGGTAGAAGATAGAAGAAGATTGATAGATGACAGATGATAGAAGCAGTGTCATGTGAAGGTAAATTTGATTACATAATGTGTCTTCATCCATACCCTATGAGACTCAAGAAATGCAATATAGCTAGTATATTCCACACCGGCGTTCATCACCAATTAAAATATTTCAATTATTGATCACAGATTGGAGATCTGCATGTATACCTATACCTCCATAATCCATATCCGTCCCAGGATGTTTACTCAAGATAGATCCACATGGTTGCATGCCCGGTGCATGCATCTATAAAAACAGTGCAGATATTGACATAAAGATATTTACAGATGTCTATTTAGATATTTCCACAATTTTCTTCTAGGTTTTTACTGCCCAGAAGGAACAGGCTTGGACTGGATGCCTTGCCCTCCAGGGACCTACAACCCTATCCAAGGGAGAAGAAGCTCGGTTGAATGCCAAGTTTGTGATGGTGGAAAATTCTGCCTGTACCAGAATGCAACAGATGTCACGGGAGAATGCTGGGAAGGATTTTACTGCACTCAAGGCTCAGATCGTCCCAACCCTAACGCCCAACTCAATGGTAGTCTTACTCTTGTTTGGAAGGCTTTTGTATTGGTTCCCCCCTCCCAAGTGGTTGTACCGTTCTTGTTCAATCTAGTTGAGTTTTGGCTTCATGTGGAGTATTAGCTTCGCCACCGCTGCTGTCCTTTTGCACCAGTCTTCCCATTTAATCCAAAGTTTATTGCCATCGTTGACCAAAAATATCTTCCCATTAAAGGCATACCAATATTCATGACTTTACCGGATAAAACTGATCTCAGATTTGATCCCATTCAATGGCAGATGGCCCAGGGTGGGCTTCAAAACTTTTAGCAAGGGATTCTCTGCCTGGTTGCTGGGTGGGCGTGGCCATGGTGGGCGTGGCCTAGTTGGCCTCCTGCACCACGGCAGGCAGGGGGGCATTTTTGCCCTCCCCGGGCTCCGGTGCCTTTCCTCAAGCCTCAGGGAGGGCAAACACAGCCTTCCCAGGGTTGATGACGTTTTTGAGGTTAGGTGTCCATTTTAAGTCTTGAGATATGGTAGAACCTAGAAATGTGAAGGTCTCTACTGTTGATACTGTGTTGTCTAGTATTGTAAGAGGTGGTAGTATGGCAGGGTTTCTCCTAATTAAAAAAAGGTGTCTCCTTATTTTTTTTAAAAAAAGTGAAGACATAAGAAGGAAAGCTTTGAAGTCCAAATGTTGAGGGTTAAATTAGAAAATCAAAGCAAGGAAGACGTTGTTTGCAATAAAATTTTTCCCTTCTCTTCCCCCCTCCCCTCTCTTTTCCATCACAGTTCAGGCCGGCCCATGCCCTTCTGGCTATTACTGTCCAAGGGGTACCGTTATTCCCAATCCTTGTCCGGTGGGAACATTTGCTGCTGGATCAAGGTTACATTCAGAGGTAAGGCCAATGCAAGAAGATTGTTGTTCTTTCTTAAGTAGCCGATTTAACCTTGTTCTCTAAGGAACAGAACTGTTGTGATCTACGCTTCCTGAGTCATTAAAACACACAAATAGTCCCAAAAACCTCTTTTATTGCAACAGCTGTGAATTACGTTCATTCACAGCTGAGTCCCAATTAGCTGCAAAAAAGTCCTTCGGGAGAAGTCCTTTGGGATAATCACCAATCTTTATCTCCTTGATATGCTGCCAAAGTTCTACTTGGCAAAGCCACACGGAGTCCAGAATCAAACAGAGATGCCGACTGGGAACAGAATTAACGGCGTTGCTTTCCTGCAAAGAGCCCACGTGTCTTTGCTCCTCTTTTAAACCTTATGGGAGGGGTCAATCATCTCCAGGACTTACTCCCGAGTCGTCCCTTTTGTTTTAACTGTTCTTGCCTTCTGGCAGCTCTGCACATGCACGCACTAGCAACAGGCTCCTCCTGTTCCTCTGCCTCTCTGATGTCTGACTCTGAAGGCTCCGGAGTCCGCACATCACTCCCAAATGGCCCTGGCTCCATCTCTGCCTCCGATGCAGAGCCCTAGTCCGGGCCTTCCCCAGACTCCAGGACTGGCCCATGTTCCTCTCCAGCCTCCTCACTGTCCGACTCCACTGCCAGCTCCACAGGCTGCTGGCAGACCATAACAGGAACTTTCAAAAGTTTTTTTTTTCCCCTTCAAGACTGTAACTATTTATCACAAGGAAGAGAATACTTGAAGCACAGGGTTGAAATGTGGTGCTCTCTGAGGCTGGTTGTTTTCTTGTGGACATTTTATTATCCAACTATATAACATCATCAATGCCGGAAGGGAGTGGGATTTGCTCTCTGTTTATTTACTAATGGCTTACCCTGTCAGTGTTGATGTTCTTGATGGTTCCTTCATTAGGCTATGGTTTACTGAGTTGGTAGTTCCTTGATTGAGGTATTGTTTACTACTTGGTGTTAATTTATCTGGGTGTTGATTGATGGCAGGGGAAGGATACTGCAAAATCTCCATTCCCACCCCACTCCAGGGGAAGGATACTGCAAAATCTCCATTCCCTCCCCACTCCAGGGGAAGGATACTGCAAAATCTCCATTCCCACCCCACTCCTGGGGGAAGGATACTGCAAAATCTCCATTCCCACCCCACTCTGGGGCCAGCCAGAGGTGGTATTTGCCGGTTCTCCGAACTACTCAAAATTTCCACTACCAGTTCTCCAGAACCTGTCAGAACCTGCTGGATTTCACCCCTGATGTAGATGTATGTAGATATTGTTTCTCTCTATATATCACATTTATGGTTGATTCAGTCTTTATTTGTTATTTCCATATATTATTTTTATATGTACTCTAGATTTCTGTCGCAAAACACAACATAGGCAGATAAACCACCCATCTAAGTAAACAAGAGCCAAAATAGTACAATGTCAAAGCCCATATCAAAATGCACAAAGAATTACTTTCCATTATTCTTGTTTTTGTCGCAACTGCGTTCAGTCAAAGACCATTGTAAGGCGACCAAGAGTGGACAGATAATCAGCGCAAACTCGTACAAGTCGAACTTTTTCATTTCTTAAAACCAGACCGAGAGGTTTTCTTAGAGAGTGGGGAGAGAATGTGGTCTTAAAGTAAGGAGAATTACAGCTTTGGGAAATTGAGCTCTTTGTGTGCTTTCAAAAGTACTGTAATACGTGCTGAAGGTTCCAAGGTACACAGGGAAGGTGATCTCCTTTGTGTTTAAAAATCAGATATTTCTAACTGAAGAGACATCTTTGAAAAAGTTTTTTTTCCCTCCCACGAACGTTCTGAATTTCAGCTTGGAAAACCACCCTGAAAAATGTCCTTACTCTGTGACAGGTCGAATGCTCCCCTTGTCTGCCAGGCCACTTCTGCAATACTTCGGGGTTGGCAGCCCCCACTGGACCATGTCAAGAAGGGTTCTTCTGTATCTTGGGCTCAATGCTGCCCAGCCCACCGACCACAAGCCAGAGTGGAGGTCCTTGTCCCCAAGGTATATTTATTTATTTATTAGATGTTTATCCTACCTTTATTATTATTATTTTTATAAATAACTCAAGGCAAAAAAGCATACAGAATGCTGCTGTCAGCACTTCAACCTGCATTTACTCTAGTGCTGACATAAGAAGGAGAAGAGGGGGCAGCTGGCAAGAGGACGCTTGACTTCTCACCTACTTAGTTTCCCTGAAGATAATATCCCCTAGGAGATGAGTTGGGAGGGGGGACATTCCTGGGAGCTGAAATAGTAGATATGGGGAGAGTGATTTGGAAGATGGCCAATGAGACGCAGAGAATTGGGGAATGGAAAGGGAAGGTTTGGGGTCAGGAAGTCAGTGTTGGCTACGCCACAATCAGGGACAGATTGTCATGCTTAATAAAATGAAAGATTTCGTCAAAGACTATTTGTTTGGAAATGCAATTTATTTTATTTGAGATGACATCGAAACCTGACAGCTGCTTCCTCCTTCTATTTTCCCCCCACAACAACCACTCTGTGAGGTGGGTTGGGCTGAGAGTAAGTGACTGGCCCAAAGTCACCCAACCAGTTTTCATGCCTAAGTGAGACTAGAACTCACCATCTCCTGGTGATTGGCCCAAAGCCACCAAGCCACCTTTTGTGCCTAAAATGGAACTAGAGCTCACAATCTTCTAGTGATTGGCCCAAAGTTATCCAGTCAGCTTTCATGCCTAATGTGGGACTAGAACTCACAGTCTCCTGGTTTCTAAGCCAACGCCTTAACCACTACCCCAAATTGGCTCTGCATTTTTGCATATGTCTTGAAATTTTAAGCTTCAATTTGGACTGAAATGACCTTTTGTTATCTATCGATGAGAGGTTCTTGAGAACATCTGTTTTTAGCATTCAGCCATTTAGCCACAACCTTTTTCTTTCTTTCTAAAGGAATATGGTTAATACAACACAAGTCGAAGGATGACTGGGAAGAGAGACTAATCTGGAGTTTTTCAAAACTTGGAGAAACTCTCCCCATTCAATCAGTACTGAGTCCCCAGGAGATTTCTCAGTGATTTTATAACTCAGATCATTGCTTGTTGACACTTCAGGCCTCAATTTCTCAGGAGCTTTGGTCCCATGAAGGCATCTCCCAGGCATTCCTTAGCTTAGAGGCTCCACCTGGTTGCACCTCTTCATCATCCAGTGGCTTCTTCTGCCCCTGAAACAAAGGGTTAAGCTTTTCCATTCACCTTATCAAGGAGAAGACATCCTTATTCCACACCAGATTTCATTTTGGGGGTGTTTTTGTGTCTCTGTGTGTGTTTTAAAAGAGGAAAGAAGCAAACAGGAGGACCTATATTTCCTACTTTGGTAGAACGCCTGCCATTATTTAATGATTACTTTAACTCTACGAGTGATGGTTCGATCTTCAGATAATGATCTGGCAAAAATCTGAGTCAGATCTCAGTAGGGTTAGCATGTCTTTCAGAAGGGCAAAGATTCAATCCTTAGCAATTCCAGGTAGGACTGTAAGAAAATTCCTATATTAAATTGGGTGGAACAAAACCCAATACAAATCTCCTGAAACAAGTGAATCGATGAGATATTTTTTTTTTTAAAAAAAAAACATTATGTGTAGGTGTGCATTTCCTTACCGGTTGCATTTTTCTCTTCCAAAGAATTAAAGCGGGGAGAAAAATACAGTGTTTTCTCAGATGCTTTTGTTCCTCCTCTCTCCAGGTCTTTAGATTAATGCTCTGCAGCACAATTTCCTCTTTTTTTATATATATTTAAAGAAAAAGTGTCTGTGGCATCTTCCTCTTTGTCTTGACCTAAAAGAACCACAGAACCTTCATTATTTCCAGAAGCCTTTTTCAGAATTGCTCTGAGGGAGAACTTCTTTGTGCTAGTCTTCAGTCTTGCCTGGGCTACAAGAGGACCCTGCTGTTTTCAATACTTTGCCAATTTCTCTTCCAGGGTATTTTTGCCCTCAGGGCACAGCTAATCCATTGCCTTGCCCAGCGGGATCGTATAACGATTTGGAGAAGCAAGCCAGCTGCCTTCTCTGCCCCGATGGGTGAGCAGACAAGGAGAATCATGACATCCGGTGCAAAAGAAGAACGTTGTCAATAGCGGTGACCCCATTGAGTGGGATAGATAGGAGAAAATGATTGCTTTTGCTAAGGGCAAACCAAGGGAGAAGGGATATTGGTGGGGTGCTGGGGGGTTCGCAGGGGTTCGGGAGAACCTCTAGCTAAGATTCTGTGCAGTTCGGAGAACTCCCAAATCCCACTCCTGGTTGGCCCCGCCCACCCCTCCCCTCCCCTCCTAGGAGTCCCCACGCGGCCCATTTTGGATGCAGGTAAGTGCAGGGTGGCTAATGGAAACCGGGCCTAATGGAAATTCAGGAAGGAGGGAAACGGGCCCATTTCCGGCCTCCAGAGGGCCTCCAGAGCCTGGGGAGGCTGATTTCATCCTCCTGGAGGCTCAAGGAAAGCCTCCAGAGCCCGGGGAGGGCAAAAACACCCCCTCCCCACCGGGGTGCAAGAGGCCAACTAGGCCACTCCCACCATGGCCACGTCTACCCAGCAACTGGGCAGAGAAACCCTTGCTAAATTTTTTGAAGCCTACCCCTGGTAACATCCCAGTTGGGGAATAAGCGTGTTCTCTTCATTTCAGCCTTTGGGCAGCCTTAACTGATTGGTAGTTCCTCATTTTCCTGCCCGGATTAGGCATTTCCTGCTGAAGTGGGAAATGAATACGAAGACCACTGGTGTAATCCATTGCAGGCAAACAAACAAACAAACAAACAAACAAACAAACAAATAAATAAATAGCATTTTTAGGGGACAAGTTAAATGTGGGAAGGATGAAAATTAAATTTGTCTGCCTCTCACAGCAACTGAGGTGCTGCCCAAGAGGCATGTGCGCGCTGGGAAATGAGCTTCCGGTTTCTGGCATTTGCATGCGTGGCGTCGCCCCTTCCTCTTCCGGGTTTCTGGCGGACATGGACATACAATGATCAGCTGGCCGGCGCACATGTACACACTAGAAACCAACTCTTCCAGTTTCCAGTACTGCCACATGCACAAAGGACAGGTGATTGATACATGTGCATGCACCCCGGAAGAGGAACAGGCGACGGGACACATGCCAGGTGACATGGCTCTGCGTGCCACTTCGGCCACGCGTGCCATAGGTTTGCCATCACGGAAATAGACCACGGAGGCTTTAGAGATGGCTTTTAAAGAGCATCTCCCCATTTGGGAGATAATCCTTCCCAGAACTCTTCACTTAGCATCCAGAAAATCAAGTCTATTTTCTGGAAATCTTTGAATCTCATGACCTCTTTGAGCTCTGCTCTGCAAAGATTTTGCTGCCAGCACTTTTATATTGATATGCATTGCCGGAGGTTCTTTTTGTTCTGTTTTTTTTTTCCCCTGCTAGTACCCTTCTTTTATGACTTTCAATGTTTCTGTAAACCATTTTGGTTAAACTAGGAATATATTAATCCTGTTTGGAAATAAATCACCCTTGGGCGTTCTTATTTATTGAGTTTGGCCACGTAAAGAAATGGTGAAATGTAGAGAAAAGTAAAGTCTTACACTTAGGTAAGAAAAACCAAAAGTACACATATAAGCTGGGGGAAACCAGACTTAATAGCAGTGACTGTGAGAGGGATCTTGGAGTCTTAGTGGACAAACAGCTAAATATGAGCCAACAGTGTGCAGCGGTAGCCAAAAAAGCCAAAGCAATCCTAAATTGCATTAACAGAGGGATGCAATGAAGATCAAGGGAGGTACTAATACCACTCTATAAAGCCTTAGTAAGACCACACCTAGAATACTGCATCCAGTTTTGGTTATCACACTATAAAAAAGATGCTGAGACTCTAGAAAGAGTGCAGAGAAGAGCAACCAGGATGATTAGGGGACTGGAGGCTCAAACATACAATGAATGGTTGCAGGAACTGGGCATGGCTAGTCTAGTGAAGAGAAGGACCAGGGGAGACAGGATAGCAGTGTTGCAATATTTGAGGGGCTGCCACAGAGAGGAGGAAGGGGTCAAGCTATTTTCCAAAGCATGTGAAGGCCAGACAAGGAATAATGGATGGAAACTGACCAAGGAGAGATTCAACCTAGAAATGAGGAGGAACTTTCAACCAATGGAACAGAAGTTGCCTTCGGAAGTTGTGGGAGCTTCATCACTGGAGGCTTTCAAGAAAAGATTTCACTGGCATTTGTCAGAAATGGTGTAGGGTCTCCTGCTTGAGCGGGGGGTTGGACTAGATGACCTATAAGGTCCCTTCCAACTCTGTTAACCTGTTAAATGTTTGCCCCAGGAATTCAATATCTTTCTTCCTTTTTATGCCTTCTTTTTTCTTTTCTTTTTTTGAAGGTACTTTTGTCTTCAAAATTCCTCCTCCTTGGTCAACAGCAAATGTCCAGTTGGGCATTATTGTCCTCCTGGCACAAGGTCCGAAAATCAGTTTCCATGTCCTCAAGGGACTTACAGCCCCAATGTAGGAATCAGTAATATCGCTCTGTGCCTACTATGTACACCAGGTGGGTATTTTCAAACCATCCAATCATCGGCAATTTGTTGAATGCTTTTTTTTTCCCCTAGAAGTCTAGGAAAGAAGAACAAAGTCAAGAGATTCAACTTGAGTGTTGCTGTTTTTTGTCTAGAGTAGAAGCAATTATGGCTTTTATTCAAACAAATCCACCTTATTCTCCTAAATCAGGGGTCGGCAACCTTAAACACTCAAAGAGCCACAAACCATCCTAACCGGAAGTCCCCCATTCAATTCTGGAGCTGACCGGAAATCCAGTTCCCCCACCATAGAGTCTCCTCCTAGCGTGGCATCCTTTTTCCTCTGCCGAACAGAAGCCCAGTTCCCCCACCATAGTGTCTCCTCCTAGCTTGGCGTCCTTTTTCCTCTGCCGACTGGAAGTCTGGTTCTGTTGTGACCTAGGCTTCCTGAGTCATTAAAACACACAAGTAGTCCCAAAAACCTCTTTTATTGCAAAAGCTGTGAATTATGTTCATTCACAGCTGAGTCCCAATTAGCTGCAAAAAAGTCCTTCCGGAGAAGTCCTTCGGGATAATCACCAACCTTTATCTCCCTTGACACTCTACCAAAGACCTACTTGGCAAAGCCACACGGATTCCAGAATCAAACAGAGATGCCGACTGGGAACAGCATTAACAACATTGCTTTCCTGCAAAGAGCCCACTTGCCTTTGCTCCTCTTTTAAGCCTTATGGGAGAGACCAATCATCTCCAGGCCTTACCCCTGAGTCGTCCCTTTTATTTTAACTGTTCGTGCCTTCTGGCAGCTCTGCGCATGCACGCACTAGGAACAGACTCCTCCTGTTCCTCTGCCTCTCTGATGTCCGACTCTGGAGGCTCCGGAGTCCGTGCATAACCCCCAGATGGCCCTGGCCCCATATGTGCCTCCGTTGCAGAGCCCTCGTCCGAGCCTTCCCCAGACTCCAGGACTGGCCCATGTTCCTCCCCAGCCTCCTCACTGTCCGACTTCGCTCCCAGCTCAGCAGGCTGCTGGTGGACCACAACAGGCTTCCCCACCATAGACTCTCCTCCTAGCACGGCATCTTTTTTCCTTTTACCGACTGGCGACAGGGAGCCGCAGCAGAGGGTTGAAAGAGCCACATGCGGCTCCAGAGCCACGGGTTGCTGATCCCTGTCCTAAATTGTCAGGTGTGAAAAATCAGGACCGTGTGTTAGGCTCCATTTAAGCTGATTTATTGCTCAGGCCTACCCACAAGAATCTAGTCAACTAGTTGATGGAGTTGGCTGAAATGGCAAAATCGACTATTTTGATTAAAGAAAAGAATATAAGTACTTTTCTTTCCATTTGGAGGCCACTTCTGGACTTTGTGCTCTGAAGGCTTCAGGGAGGCCTGCTAGGCCCAAAATGGAGTCGGGAGGGGGGGCTTGCGGACACATGTGTGGGAGGTGGTGGGGGAGCATGGGGGGTCGCACAAGCTTGCTCAGCGGGGCGAGGCAGCGCTGGGGGATTGTGCGCACAGGTGCAGGGAGGCAGAGCGTGCATGGGGGGCATTGCATTATGGGTATGGGCAAACACACACACACACTATCGTGCACGCACCGACACTTTGGCACCTGAGGAGAAAAAGGTTAGCCATCACTGGTATAGAATTTCCTGCTTGAGCAGAAGATACTAGAACAGCCTTGGTGGCGCAGCAGACTAAAGCACTGTTAAGTAACACCAGCTGCCTGCAATTACTGCAAGTTCGAATCTCACCAGGCTCAAGGTTGACTCAGCCTTCCATCCTTCCGAGGTAGGTAAAATGAGGACCTGGATTGTGGGGGCAGTAAACTGACTTTGTATAAAAAAGAACACCGATTGGGGTGGGGGGGCAAAAGCCCTACTAAGCAGGTATATACAAAAATATGAAGGCTATTGCTTAATGCATTGTAAGCCGCCCTGAGTCTCCAGAGAAGGGCGGCATATAAATCGAACCAATAAAATAAATAAATAAATAAATAAATAAATAAATAAATAAATAAATAAATAAATGGATGGATGGATGGATGGATGGATGGATGGATGGATGGATAGACATCCAAGATCCCTTCCAACTCTGTTATTCTGGGTTGCAAGTACTCTTTTCTATGCCACATACTTCATTTCTTTTTTAATGCAATGTTAAATAATTCCACTTCCTCTCTTTCAGGTCATTATTGTGGCTTCTCAGGTCAAGCCCAGGTCACCGGTCCTTGTTCAGCAGGCTATTACTGCCTGGCAGGTGCTTCTATCCCAACCCCAATGAAAGATCTGCTCGGGAATATATGTCCCAGAGGTCATTACTGTCCAAAAGGATCTGCCACCCCCCAACCCTGCCCCCTTGGGTTCTACAGCAACTCTACAGGAAATACCAAGTTGGAAGACTGCCTCCTGTGTCGTGCAGGTAAATGAGGGAGAAGTCAGAAATGTAAATTTTAATGTACATTTCTGATGGGACGTCATCAGAGAATGCAGAAAGTTTGAAGGCTGTTTCAAGTTCCGTAGATGCTACTAGATGGCAGCAGAAAATATAGGAAATGGTCCCTCTCTGCTAATCATTACAGTTAGTCCTCAATTTACGATCACAATTGAGTCCAAAATTTCTGTTGTTAAGTGAGAAATTTGTTAAGTGAATCACTCGGGTGGTGCGGTGGCCTAGAGGTGGAGCTCTCGCCTCGCAATCAGGAGGCTGTGAGTTCGATCCTAGGTAGAGGCAGATATTTCTCTCTCTGGGCACACTGAGAATATATCTGCTGAATAAAACTCCGTACTGGCAACAGGAAGGGCATCTGGCCAGTAAACATTCAGCTCCATTCCGTTGCCCAGACTCCACCCAGCAAGGGATTATGAGGTCGTTAAAAGAGGATGGTGATTTGTTAAGTGAATCACTGTAGTTGTTACATTAGTAACACGGTTGTGAGATGAATCTGACTTCCCTATTGACTTTGCTTGTAAGAAGGCCAGAAAAGGGTATCACTTGACTGCAGGACACTTCAACGGTCATAAATATGAGTCAAGCATCTGAAGGTTAATCACATGACCATAGGGATGCTACAACGATCCTAAGTGTGAAAAATGGTCATAAGTCACTTTCTTCAGGGCCGTTGTTACTTTGAAAGGTCACTAAATGAACTGTTGTAAGTCGAGGACTATCTGTATCATCACCATCACCATCGTCACCATCATTTTAGTCATTGTGTATCCACTGCAGGATGAAGGCCTCTTCCACGTCTTTTCCAACCGATGTGGCTCTGAGCTTTCTTTTGCCAATTGGGCCCACAATACTTGTGTCAGGTTTCGATGTCATCTCAAATAAATTGCATTTCCAAACAATTAATCTTTGCTGAAATCTTCCATTTATTGAGTACAACAATCTGATCCTGACTCTGTCATAGCCGATACTAACCCTCTGACCCCAAACCCTTCCCTTTCCGTTCCCCAGTTCTCAGCATCTCATTGGCCATCTTCCAAGTCAGTCTCCCCTCCCCTCCTGACTTCAACCCACAGGAATGTCCCCCCTCCCATCCCATCTCCTAGGGGATATTATCTACAGAGAAAATAAGTAGGTGAAAAGTCAAGCCTCTTCGTCTTCTCTTTATGGCAGCATTAGAATGCTGACAACTTGCTGATGTCATTGAGCATAATAGACCAGTGGTGAAATGTAAAATTTGTTACTACTGGTTCTGTGGGCGTGCCTTGGTGGTGGGGGTGTAATATGACTGAGTGGGTGTGGCCAACTTTTTTTTTACTTTTAAAAGCATTTTTTCTACAACCTCTTCGGCTGAAGAGGTTGTTTAAAAAAATGCTTTTAAAGCCTCTGACGATCCCAGCTGACTTGCCTGATCAGCAGAGGCTTTTTTTCCTTTTAAAAACATCTTTTCTATAACCTCTTCAGCTGAAGAGGTTGTAGAAAAAATGCTTTTAAAAGCCTCTGATGATCCCAGCTGAGCCGTGCGATCATCAGAGGCTTTTTTTTTTTTACTTTTAAAAGCATTTAAAAGCATGGAGGGGGGGGCAGGGATTTTTGCTACCGGTTCTCCGAACCACCCACCTCCATCGCTACCAGATCGGGTGATCCGGTCCGAACCGGAAGCATTTCACCCCTGTAATAAACTATATATTTTTACAGCTTAGACCAGGTGGTCTCTTAGGAATCAGTCTTGATGAAGTCCTATCTTGGTCTTCGGTTTTTAAGAGCTCATTTTGTTTTGCCCTTTAATTCCCATCAGCCACCAATCGTGAAAACACTCTTGAATTTCTGCTTCTTTGCAGGATATTTCTGTGATGGGACAGGGCTTGTATCTCCTGCTGGTCTTTGTGACTCGGGATTTTATTGCAGCGGAGGAGCTGTTTCTCCAAGACCTGATCTGGTTAGTGGTGCTGATGCAGTGAAGTAGCCCATCATCTGGAAATGATCTATGCTCAACAGATAGTCCTGAAAGCAGGAGGGTCTCTTTTAAAAGACCTCCTCTGTGGGTTTCACTATCTAGATCAGGGGTCTCCAAACTTAGCAACTTGTGGACTTCAACTCCCAAAATTCCTCAGCCAGGCATGCTGACTAGGCAATTCTGGGAGTTGAAGTCCACAAATGAGTCAGCTGTGGGAAATTGGCCACGGGGAGTTTGGCTACAGCGTGTTTGCTTAGATCCTTTTTCATCTACTGCAGGATCCTAACAACAGGATCCAGGACTTTTTATCAGGTTCGCCTGATTCGCCAGTTGCGTCCCTTTCTGGATCGGGACTCCTTATGCACGGTACTCATGCCCTCGTCACTTCCCGCCTGGACTACTGTAATGCTCTCTACATTGGGCTCCCCTTGAGGAGCACCCAGAAGCTCCAACTGGTGCAGAGTGCGGCCGCGCGGGTGGTTATGATAGCTACTTGGCGTTCCCATGTAACACCTCTCCTGCGCGAGCTGCACTGGCTCCCGGTGGTCTTCCGGGTGCACTTCAAGGTTTTGGTTACCACCTTTAGAGCGCTCCATGGCTTAGGACCCGGGTACTTACGGGACCACCTGCTGCCACCAATAGCCTCTCGCCGGCCAGTACGCTCTCATAGAGAGGGGCTCCTCAGGGTGCCATCAGCCAAACAGTGTCAACTGGCGGCCCCCAGGGGAAGAGCCTTCTCTGTGGGGGCACCTGCTATCTGGAATGAGCTCCCCCCAGAGATACGGAGGATCCCGGATTTACGCACCTTCCGCCGTGCCCTCAAGACCTTTTTATTCCAACAGGCTGGCCTAGCCTAACTTTCCCTTTTTAATTTTTAATTGTAAATTTTAAATTTGTCTAAAATTTTAGGGGTGTTTTAATCTGTTCTGGGCCAAATTTATTTAATTAGGTTTTTATACTGTTTTTAAATTTTGTAATTCTGTGTGTTTTATCTCTTGGCTGTTCACCGCCCTGAACAGTAGGGTGGTATATAAATCTAATAATAAAAATAAATAAAAACAACAACAACAACAACTCAATAGCTTAAATTAAGCAATCCCATGTGGCATAATTTTGCCTTTCTTCTTTGCTTCCCATTAGGATCCTCAACATCTTCTATCTTGACAGTATTCATTTTTATTTGCAGGTTACAAGCAAAGGTGGTCGGTGCCCACCTGGCCATTATTGTATGATGGGGAGTGGCAGACCACAGCCATGTCCAGCAGGAAACTACAATCCCTTCTGGGGAATGGATCAATGTTTAGATTGTCCAGAAGGGGCTTATTGTGATATCGGTTCTGCCAACTACACCCACTGCCCTGCTGGTGAGTTTCACCCTTCCGCAATCATTCCATTAAACTCCCTTTTTACAACTCTGTAATCCCTCAATTCAGGGTAGAATCAGGGCAACTGGATGGAGCTGAGCATTTACTGGCTGGATGCCCTTCCTGATGCCATAAAGAGTTCACAGCAGATATTTTCTTTCTTTGAGCCTAGGAGAAAGAAACATCTGCCACTCCCTAGGATTGAACTCTCTTTTTCTTTTCTTTTCTTTTCTTTTCTTTTCTTTTCTTTTCTTTTCTTTTCTTTTCTTTCTTTCTTTTTCTTTTTGATTTTTTTTATTGAAAAGTTTTTAAAAGTTTACATATATCCCCCCCTTCCCTCCAAACTAAATTTGAATACATAATAACATCTCTCTATCTATTCGTAAGCTATTTGAAATTTTTTAGTCCGATATTTACTTTGAATATAATCTATCCGTCTTCTCCATTCTATCATATATTTCTCATTTGAATAGTCCTTCAAATACACTGAGATCTTTGCCATCTCTGCTAAGTTTGCTACTTTTAATATCCATTCTTGAATAGTAGGCAAATCTTCCTTCTTCCAATACTGCGCCATCAACAATCTTGCTGCAGTTATTAAATTCAGGATCAAATTAGTCTCTATAACCGTACAATCCGTGATTATACCCAACAAAAATAACTGTGGAGATTGAACTCTCAACCTTCTGAGTGGGAGGCGAGCATCTTCACTACTAAGCCACCACGCTGCTCAATTCCACAATCCTTCAATAATAATAATGATAAGTTTATTATCATTGTACATGTATACACAGTATACCCATACAATGAAATTCACTTAACACCCAAAGACCAGGTCCAACACACATAATAATCCCCAAACACACTCCCACCCACCACAATTCCCCACCCCTAAACCACCCAAACATCCACACAGCAGACCAAGTAAGGCTGTCCAACAGCTCACTGATGGTGGCCCTTTAGTTCATTGTTGAGTGCAATTATAGCTCTGGGATAAAAACTGTTCAGAAAACGTGTGGTCCGAGTCTTAATTGTTCTGTATCTTCTGCCAGAAGGCAACAGTCCAAAAAGTTTGTAAGCAGGATGGAAAGAGTCTCTGAGAATGTTATGCAACTTTCTCAAACAGCGAGATTCGAAGATGTCGTCCAGGCATCTTCCATTAACTTTTAAAAATTGCAAAGATCTTCTACTTGCATATTGACTTGAATCTTTCTCTGAGAATTGAAGCAATGGTCCTTGAAGTTTTAGTATGCTAAGGCAGCGAGGAAGAAATAATGCGTAGCCCACCAGATGTTGAGTTGCAACATTACCATTGTTTACCACCAGTCATGCTGATGGGAGATGCTTGCCAACAATATTTGGAAGGCTTTGTGCTGTAGACGGTGACCCCTAGTTGAGCAAATAGCAAAGATCAATAGATATCCCTTGCTGCTTAATATGTTCCCAACTCGCCAATAGATAATGGCCCTTGGGTTCATCTGAAGATTATTACGGAGCAGACATATTGGTTTCTGGTTTCCTGGAATTCATCCTTGCCTAATTAGAGTTCAACAGCTCAAGAGATATACTTCATTTTCAAGTGCAGTGTTCTATTTTTAAGTGTAAGAAGTGGCCTATTCATGACTTTACTCACATTCTTTCTAAGTTTAGTTAAGATTCACTTGGAGGATCCATATTTTAATCTAATGGGTGAGAGGAGAATCCTTCCTGCAATTTTCTCTTGTATTTATTATTCATAATTCCTGATTTCATGTTGACTTAATCAGCTCCGAGTGGGCTTGTTTAGAATCGGTCTGCTAAATTAATTGGAAATATCCATCTCTTTTTCACTTTAGGTCATTACTGCCCAAAGAACACCAAGTTTCCTACCCAGTTCCCTTGTCCTAGAGGGACCTACAGTGAAATTTTGAGTATCAGGACGGTGGCTGAATGCCAGCCCTGCCCCTCTGGAAAATTTTGCTCCAAGCCCGGTTTGATCAGCCCAGATGGCATCTGCATGGCAGGATGGTATTGCCCACTTGGGTCAACGACAGGCAAGCCAATATCTACAGGAAATCATTCTGGTATTTAATTTTTAAAAAATTATTATTGAGTAATAATAATATTGAGTTAAGAGGCTGCCCCAAAGAAGAGGGAGTCAAACTATTCTCCAAAGCACCTGAGGGTAGGAAAAGAAGGAATGGGTGGAAACTAATCAAGGAGAGAAGCAACTTAGAACTAAGGAGAAATTTCCTGACCATTGGAATAATTAATCAGTGGAACAACTTGCCTCCAGAAGTTGTGAATGTTCCAACACTGGAAGTTTTTAAGAAGATGTTGGATAACTATTTGTCTGAAATGGTGTAGAGTTTCCTGCTTGAGCAGGAGTTGGACTAGAAGACCTCCAAGGTCCCTTCCAATTCTGTTATACTTTTATTCTGTTAGAGAAGGACCAGGGGTGACATGATAGAAGTCTTCCAAGATGTAAGGGACTGCCACAAAGAAGAGGGGGTCAACCTATTCTCCAAAGCACCTGAAGACAGAACAAGAAGCTGGTGGATGGAAACTAATCAAGGAGAGAAGCAACCTGGAACTAAGGAGAAACCAGTGGAACAGTTTCCCTTCAGAAGGTGTGGGTGCTCCATCACTAGAAGATTTTAATAAGAGATTAGACTATCTTTCAGAATATTCATGACTGGGAAGACATGGTAACAAGGTCAGCCAATGAATAGCCATAGCAACTAAACCAGCCAATTGGGAGCTGAGACAGACTGGAGCCAGGGTGTGTCTTAGTCTGCAGCTTCTGATTCTGTGCTGAGAAACAAAACTGAAACCAGTGTGTGTGTGTGTGTGTGGACATGCTGTCTGCTCTGCTGAAAATGAAACTAACTGTTCTCTCCTGCCTTGTGTTGTAACTGCTACTATGTTGAAGAAGAATCAACTATTGGTATTGTAAATACTTCATCTGTTATTATGTGTATAAAGAAGTTAATGAATCCAGCTGAATCAGTTTATCTGTGTGGGCTTCTGGATTTGATTTTTGCAAGAAACACTGACACAATCATTTATCTGAAATGGGGTAGGGTTTCCTGCTTGAGCAGAGGGTTGAACTAAAAGAACTCCAAGCTCTCTCCCAACTCTGTTATTCTATTAGAAGAATAGAATAAAATTTTTTATTGTCCAAGTGTGATTGGACACACAAGGAATTTGTCTTGGGGGGTGGGAGGGCGGGGGGTGGTGGGAGAACTGGTTCGGTGACGTCATATCATCACCACTACCGGCTCGGCCGAACCAGACCGAACCAGGAGGAACCCACCACTGCTGTCAGCATGTGATTTATTGAGCTTTTCAACCCCAGTAAGCCAACCCAACCATGGATAAATCCAAGAAAAGAAAAGTTTCAGAAGAAAACAGAACATTTAATTCCACTATATATGCTAGTTTTGTGGCCACTCAAGAAATAGTCAGGCATGGGAAGGGTTTTGTGGCTCCCGGTGTTTTCTTTTCTATGGGAAACAGGTCCAAATGGCTCTTTGAGTGTTTAAGGTTGCAGACCCCTGCACTAGACCAAACTAGCTCTCACTAATACCTTTGGGAGGGGGGGGATGAGATAAATTTTGCCCCCTGATCAGGAAGCAAAATTGGAATGTATTATTCCTCTGTGCCTAAGGAAGAACAGGGGAATTACCTCTGCACTGATCATATTAACTTGAAAATGCTCAAGGCAGCCATGCGTGGTGCTAATTATTTAAAACTGGTTAATAAAGAATTCCACTCCCAGGCTTTTAGAAGATAATTATGTTTGTTGAATAATATGTCATCAGCACCTATTGAAATTTCAGAAACTAGAGTTGAGTCTGGGCAATCCTTTTCAGTCTGGGTTCCTTCCTTTATGTATGTATGTATGTGCCGGTATTCAAATCAGAAAACAAATCAAAGGGGAGAAATTCACATTTTTGCTACGGTTAAGCAGGTCTCTTTCGGCAGCCAAATTGAAATGGCTCGAGTGCAAAATGTTCCGTGTTTAGGTCCCACAAAATGCTCATCACGTTTGCTCTGCAAAATGGAGACATGCTTTTTTTTTTTTCCTATTTCAGAAGCAGACTTAATTCGAAGGTGTCAAGCAGGGTCATTCTGTCCAGAAGCTTCTTCTGTTCCCATTCTTTGTAGTCCAGGTAAACGTATTTCTCACTTTCACCAAGAAACTCTTGCAGGGGTGAAATCCAAATTTTTTTCCCCTACCGGTTCTATGGGCGTGGCTTGCTGGGCATGGCAGGGGAAGGATATTGCAAAATCCCCATTCCCACCCCACTCCAGGGGAAGGATGTTGCAAAATCTCCATTCCCACCCCACTCTGGGATCAGCCAGAGGTGGTATTTGCCGGTTCTCTGAAGTACTCAAAATTTCCGCTACCGGTTCTCCAGAACCTGTTAGAACCTGTTGGATTTCACCCCTGAACTCTTGGCATTCACATCTGGATGTCCAAGTTCCTTTCTCTAGACCGGAAGAAACCGAGTAGATTTGTCCTGAGATGACTTCTATCTCCCAAGGTCTGATCTCAACAACGGGCTATAAATTTACATTGATGAGCAATCAAGGCAACAAGGCAACACTGTTTTCTGAACCAATAGAAAAAAGGAAGAGCAGTGGGATCCAACATTGTGTATTCAGATTCTGAAACCTAGTGCTGTTTTGCTCTCAGGACATTTCCACAATCCTTTAAAAGAATCTGTTTTTCACTGAAAGCAGCTGGTTCACACTCAAAATGAGATTTAGCATGAGATTCCACACTTGGAATATAAGATTGGAGTGTTACACAGCCACAGTAATGCATTATCCTCCCTATACTTCTTTGCCTTATTTCTATTGCAATTGAAGATTTCTAGAACTGTGCAACCTGCTGAGTTGGGTTTGGGGTAATGGTTCTATCTAGCCTACAACATACATCTACATCAGGGGTGAAATCCAGCAGGTTCTGACAGATTCTGGCGAACCGGTAGCAGAAATTTTGAGTAGATCGGAGAACCAGCAAATACCACCTCTGGCTGACTCCAGAGTGGGGTGGGAATGGAAATTTTGCAATATCCTTCCCCCAGGAGTGGGGAGGGAATGGGGATTTTGCAGTATCCTTCCCCTGGAGTGGGATGGGAATGGAGATTTTGCAGTATCCTTCCACAGCCATGCCCACCAAGCCACACCACGCCCACCAAACCACGCCCACAGAACCGGTAGTAAAAAAATTTGGATTTCACCACTGCTAGAACCCCATGTCATCAATGTGTAAATCATATACACAAAAATCCTGGAAGTTCTCATAGATTTAACACCTGGTGCAAAAGATCATGAGTGGTGCTTGCTTTCTTCTTTCTGGTCAAGAATTCGCTCTTTCCATCCCTCAGCTTTGTCCCCTGCATCTAATCAAAGTTTCCCCCAAAACACGATTTTCAAAAATGAAGTATATTCACCCAACCGAACTGGGAATGAAATTCAGTGCAGTTGAATTGTTCCTCTGACCCATTTTGACGGGATTCTGAGAGCGGTTGTCTAACTCAGCTGGAGGACGTCTAGGTTGAAGAAGAAAGATTTATTTATTTTTTACTTTAAATTTTTGATTTGATTTTGCCACATGTGTACATGCCCTTGAAATGACACTGAAAGAATTGCAGTCTATTGTAGATTAGATTAATAGTGCCAGAATATATCTTCTAATGAGGAAAAGATTTGCGAAGACACTGGTCCTATCACATATTGTTCTTTCTTTGTAAGGTTTTTACTGTGCATCTTCTGAATTGGCTGCTCCATCGGGCCCATGTGATCCCGGCGTCTACTGTACTGGAGGCTCTACTCTACCCAATCCAACTGATGGGATAATGGGAGATGTTTGCCCTCAAGGCTATTTCTGTCCTCAGGGGACTTCTTCCCCAATTCCTTGCCCAGCAGGTAGGTCTGCATGTAGATATTGCTGCTATATTTCTCAGTTCAATCTGGATGGCATGAAATTCAATGAAATAGAAGGGGAGGTAGCAGTGTTGGGATTCAGCCGGGTCGGGCAAACTGGTAGTTAAATTGCTGGCTAGCTCCACCCCTCCTCTCCCCACCCTTTCCAGGAGTCCCCACGCACTCCATTTTGACTCCCAGGTAAGTGCAGGGAGGCCTTCTAGGCCCAAAATGGGATTTGGAGGGGTGTGGTGGCCCCCCTGCGGCCCGTTTTCACTCCCAGGAGGCTTCAGGGAGACCTCCTAGGCCCAAAATGAGGTGTGTGGGGGGGGGCACATCCCCCTGTGGCCCATTTTCGCTCCCAGGAGGCTTCAGGGAGACCTCCTAGGCCCAAAACGAGGTGCAGGGGGGGCACATCCCCCCCCGTGGCCCATCTTTGCTCCCACGGGGGTGCAGAGGGCTGAGTGCTGCCTGTCACATCACTGGCCATGCCCACCATGGCCACACCCACCCGGCCAGTCATTAGGGCAGAAAACCGGTTGTTCAATTATTTGAATCCCACCACTGGGTGGGAGGGAGGGAGGGAGGGAGGGAGGGAGGGAGGGAGGAAGGAAGGAAGGAAGGAAGGAAGGAAGGAAGGAAGGAAGGAAGGAAGGAAGGAAGATAGTCAAAAAAGAATGCAACACTATTTTGTTTTCGGAACTGCTGGGTTTCTACACCTTTAATCAAAATGGAGACTTTAAGGACCTTTTTAGACTTATATGTCTCTTTCTATAGGTTCTTTCTTAGCCCACCAAGGTGGCCGGTCAATCCAGGATTGTCATCTCTGCCTAGCAGGCTGGTTCTGTTCGCTCCGGGGCCAAACCTTTCCAGAGAATTTGTGTTCGGAAGGCTGGTTCTGCCCAGAGGGATCGATATTTGACCGAAATCCAGGTAGGGGATTATTTTATACTCAAAGGACACTATTTTTTTTTAATCGTTGGAAGAGCCCAACCCATCTCACAGAATTGTTGTAGTGGAAGAGGAAAAAAAGTAGTATTAGTTCTGTTCGCCACTTTGAGTTACTTATAAAAATAATAATAAAAATGGGATTTAATTTTTTTTTAACAAAAATAATAATCCAGAAGCCATGATTCTTGCGGGATTGAAATTTGGCAAATTGTGATTGTTTCAGTTAAAGGAAATAATAAGACTCCTCTCCCTCCCTCTCCCTCTCCCTCTCCCTCTCCCTCTCTCTGTCTCTCTTTCTCTCTCTCCATCTCTCTCTCTCTCTCTCTCTCTCTGTCTTTCTCTCGCTCTGTCTTTCTCTCTGTGTGTCTCTCTCCATCTCTCTTTCTCTCTCCCCCCTCTCTCCATCTCTCTCTCTCTCTCTCTCTCTCTCTCTCTCCATCTCCCTTTCTCTCCTACTCTCTCTCTCTGTCTCACTTTCTCTCTGTGTCTCTCTTTCTCTCTGGGTGTGTCCCTCTCTACCTCTCTCTCTTTCTTTCTCTCTTTCTCTCTCTGTCTCTGTCTCTGTCTCTCTCCATCTCTCTCTCTCTCTCTCTCTCTCTCTCTCTCTCTCTCTCTCTCTCTCTCTCTCTGTGTCTGTCTCTCTTTCTCTCTGTTGTGTGTCCCTCTCTCCCTCTCCCTCTCTCTCTCCCTCTCTCTTTCTCTCTCTCCGTCTCTGTCTGTCTGTCCATTTCTCCATCTCTCTTTTTCTCTGTGTGTCTCTCTTTCTCTCTGTGTGTGCCCCTCCCTCCCTCCCTCCCTCCCTTCCTCCATCCCTCTCTGTCTAGATCATCTTTGTCCTCTTGGTCACTATTGTCCCAAAGGGAGCGCAGAACCTCAGCCGTGTCCTCCTGGTAAATACCAAGATGAAGCGGGCCAAAGTCTGTGCAAAATCTGCCCTGCAGGAAAGTAAGGAACACATTTTGCAACCTTGTTTAATTAATTTCAGGCAGCCTCTTTGCATTCTACATGACAGTGGTTCAAATGTATCCGGAAAGACTCATTGAGAAAATGCATCTTCTTATTCTTACTGCTATCTGCATTTCCCATTTATTTCTTCCATGCAAAGGAGATGCCTTTATGCACCACATCCAATAACCGAGCCGTGTAATTCCATTCTTTTATCGGTTTTCCCAATTTAGGCTGTCCCTTCTGATATATCGTGACCACTTATGAAGACGAGCGAGCTACATCTGAAGACAGACAGAGGAATTCTTCTGAGATGTTTTGTTGTACATCTTTGATTTAGTGCTTTACATTCTCATTTTAAGATGATTATGATGCTCATGTATATATGATGACAATTCATATGTATCCTATGAGCTTATTAGGAACCAATGATCTGTGAGATGATTTGAATATTCAACATGTAGCATTTGGAGGATTGAAAGCATCTCACAGAAAATCAATCCTTCACCACTCATATGATCTATCGTCAGTGTTTCTGAACCTGTAGTCCGTGGACCCCTAGGGGCCCATAATGTCATCAAAAGAGGGGTCAGCAAAGGCTTGAAAAAAAATATTATGATTTAAATCTTGAGTTAAGTCAAGATTTGGGGTCCATGGCCATGTTCTGTGGCCATAAAGGGTGTTGAAAGGGGGTTCATGGTGAAGAAAAGGTTGAGAGCCACTGATCTACCTGAATTATTATCATAATGCTTGAGACGCCCACAGTAAATCCAGGTTTGGCCAGAGAACTGAGCTTGCAGCTGCCTGGCTTATATTCTGTTGTTGTTGTTAGTTGCGAAGTCATGTCCAACCCATCTAAACCCCATGGACAATGTTCTTCCAGGCCTTCCTGTCCTCTACCATCCCCCAGAGTCCATTTTAGCTCACACCGACTGCTTCAGTGGCTCCATCCAGCCACCTCGTTCTTTGCCGTCCCCTTCTTCTTTTGCCCTCAATCATTCCCAGCATTAGGCTCTTCTCCAGGGAGTCCTTCCTTCTGATTAGGTGGCCAAAGTATTTGAGTTTCATCTTCAGGATCTGGCCTTCTAAAGAGCAGTCAGGGTTGATGATCTCTAGGACTGATGGATTGGATCGCCTTGCAGTCCAAGGGACTTGCAGGAATCTTCTCCAACACCAGAGTTCAAAGGCCTCAATTCTTTGGCGCTCAGCCTTCCTTATGGTCCAACTTTCGCACCCATACAATGCAGGCTTCTATTCTAATGATTCCCAATAAATAAACTGGTCACTCTAGATAATTCCTATCCATAAGGGGGGAAATGAAAATGAAAACAGACTGAACATTGTTGGCTTTATTGACAGGTTCTGTGATTCCAGTTTCCAAACACGAGATCCCAGAAATTCCAGAAGGGCTTCTCCAGGAGTGATCAACCCCATGGACTGTCTGCCTGGATACTACTGTCTGACAGGAACAAAAATGGCTAAGCAATACCCTTGTCCTGCTGGGACCTTCAGTAACCAGACCAGTCTGAGCAGCTTCAGGGAATGTGAGCCGTGTCCTGGGGGCAAATTCTGCGCAAGGCCAGGTAATTTGAGAGGAGACTTTGGACTGTGGCCTGCAAAATCTGATTTCATCGAAGGACGTAACTGGGTTTTGTATTTGCAATGTACTACTTTGTTGCAAGCCACATGGGTGGTTTATTAGTGATTCTGTGAGGAAGATGAGGAAGAGGATGAAGATGAGGATGATTCTCAATGATATGTTTGGAGAATATAGTACCTCTGCCTAAGACCTTGAATTCCATTCATTAGTTTAATTCATTCGTTAGTTAGATTCCAGTGCACAGTGGGAGATGATATACCTATCTCTATCTCTATCATAACTATCTCTATCTATCTATCTATCTCATTTATCTATATCTTTACCTGGCTCATCTATCTATCTATCTATCTATCTATCTATCTATCTATCTATCTATCTATCTATCTATCTATCTACCCATCCATCCATCTATCATCTGTCATCTGTCATCTATCATCTATCTATCTATCATCTATCATCTATCATCTATCTATCATCTATCTATCATCTATCATCTATCTATCTATCTATCTATCATCTATCTATCATCTATCATCTATCTATCTATCTATCTATCTATCTATCTATCTATCTATCTATCTATCTATCTATCTATCTATCTATCATTTCTCTTTCCCTCCCTTCCTGCCTCCCATATCTATCCACTTTCTCTCTCTCTCTCTATCTATCTCTCCTTCTCTCTATCTCTCTATCTATCTATCTGACACAGACACACACACACACCAGCTTAATCACCACTTCTAACTCCAATTTTGCTTTTACGTCAGCTATTCTGTTTGGGATTAAATCCTTCACTTTTTATCAATAAACACATTTCCTATTGTCGGATATACACCCAGATATACGTTTCCCAGCAGAAACCTCCATGAATTTCTAGATGCTAGAGGTCCCCTCACTCTGTAAAATTTGGAGCCAACAAATGGTGTTGCCATAAATCTTCTTTTCTAGGTTTAGTGACTCCGAGTGGTCCTTGTTTGCCTGGATACTACTGCATTCTGAAGTCCTGGAGACCTAATCCTGTTCAAGACGAAACTGGAAGTTTATGCCCTGCAGGGCATTTTTGTCCTTTGAGTAGCAACAACCCCATCCCGTGCCCCACAGGAACATTTCTCCCCTTACCTGGCATGTTGTCTCTGAACGCCTGTTTGCCCTGTCCTGGGGGAAGCTTCTGCCAAGGAGAAGGGCTGGCTGCGATTTCTGGTAGGTCCTGTACTTCTTAAATATGCCAGAGGTAAATGTTGGGAAGTGTTCTTGCATGCTGGATGCCAGGTCCATTTTTATTTATTTATTTATTTATTTATTTATTTATTTATTTATTTATTTATTTGTCAAACATGTATAAGATTACAGATATAAGTATAAACATGATTATGAACACATGAGATGGATACGAATAAAAGGGGGACAGTAGGACAGGGACGGTAGGCACGCTGGTGTGCTTATGCACGTCCCTTACAGACCACTTAGGAATGGGGTGAGGTCAACGGTAGACAGTCTAAGGTTAAAGTTTTGGGGGTTTGGGGAAGAAACCACAGAGTCAGGTAGTGCATTCCAGGCATGGACCCCTCTGTTGCTGAAGTCGTATTTTCTGCAATCGAGTCTGAAGCGGTTTACCTTAAGTATGTATCTATTGTGTGCTTGTGTGTTATTGCAATTGAAGCTGAAGTAGTCGTTGACAGGTAGGAAGTTGTAGCAGATAATTTTGTGTATTGCGCTTAGGTCAGATCGAAGGCGGCGTAGTTCTAAATTGTCTAATCCCAAAATTTCAAGCCTGGTGGTGTAAGGGATTCTGCTGTGAGCAGAGGAGTGGAGGACTCTTCTCGTGAAATATCTCTGGACTCTCTCAATTGTATTAATGTCCAATATACAGTGCGGGTTCCAGGCACATGAGCTGTATTTGAGAATTGGTCTGGCAAAGGTTTTGTATGCCTTTTGTATGCCTCCATACACGAAGGTCTGATTTATTACTAAATAGGCTCTGTCTTCTTCTCAACTAATGGTTGGCACCTACTTAGAGTTCAGTAAGGGTCAATTCACAGGGTCAGTTGGATTTTGCATAAAAGCAGCTTTCTTTTATGCTTCTGGTCTGTGGATGTCAACCAAGGGAACTCAACACATCAATTTCATGGTTGTTTTCTTAGTGTGAATGTTGCAGACAATCTGTTACTTAAATTAGAAACCTTGGTTTGTTTTTCTGCAATGGATGGTGGAGGAACAGCAAACCCAACACACCAGGAGTCCAGCTCTTGATGGGAAATTAAATTCTGAATGTCTACATCTACCTCTCCAACATTCTTCAGTTGACCTTCAGCAATTTCCGAATGCCATTCATTCAGTGAAGTAGACATGGAAAATTCAATGTGTTAAGTCTGGACATGAAAAGAGAGGCAGGACAATTGTAGTGAAGTAAAACAACTGTTTATTCAGGCAACAGGAACAACAACAAAAATAAGTACGAACTGAGGACTGCCCGAGGCTGCAGCTCCTTTTACAGGGAGCTGTCCAGCCTGTCAGCCACTGATGCTTGTTCATTTTCCCACCGGGGAAAATGAATCAATGAGTGAAGGCTGATGTAAAACTCACTCCTATTTGCATTTTCAACACCCCTCCCAATGAGTGAAGGATGATGTAAGTCTCACTCCTACTTGCATATTCAACACAATGAGTGATTCCAGGCATTCATTGAATGCCTCACCATTGAGCTACACAATAGTTGTGACCTCTACATTCTATATCCACTTTGGACTATCAGGTTTATAAATTGAAACATGAAATCCTTCCAAGGAGGATTAAGATTAGCACCCTCATTCTGGAAGCAATGAACTTTGTGGTGAATGCAATATGTTGTGATGATCATCCATTTTGTCATTCTGAAATGTTTTGTTTATGCAGGGACGTGTCAGGCTGGTTTCTATTGTGACTTATGCTCTTCACGTCCCGATCAAAACCTCTGCCCCCCTGGATCCTACTGTCCCCAAGGCACTGGGACCCCTATTCCATGCATGCCAGGGACTGTCAATCCCCATAGTGGAAAATGGGATGTCACAGACTGCAAACTGTGTCCAGCTGGGAATTTCTGCAGTGGTATGTGCAAACTTTTCATTTACTGTTTTCAATTGGGGGAAAAGATAATTTTGGTGCACCAGAAGGGATTTTCTTATCGACATAATCCAAATTACGAGTAGATCCTTTTTGCTCTTGCTGATTTTAGGGGCAGGAAAGACTGCTCCAGAAGGGAGATGCTCTCCTGGCTACTACTGCCCGCCTGGTCAATTGTCTTCTACTCCATCTTCCCACCGGTGCCCACGTGGATTTTATTGCCTCGAGGGTTCTGTGGATCCAGTCGCTTGTGAAAAGGGAACCTACCAATCGGAAGAAGGGAAGGCATCCTGCAATCCCTGTCCCGCCCGATTCTTTTGTGAGCCCACCAACAACAGTAAGCACAAGGGAAATGCAGTCGTTGGAGGCAAAGACTGACTTTGCACAGAGCTCAGATGCACTGCAACTTCATTTTGGTTGGTCTGATGTTGGCTCAGTGCATTTTCTTAAGCCAAACTTTGCACTTTGTAAATGATGTTTATGGCTTAATGTGATTTATATGCCCAGCCATTGTGTCTGAGTCAACAATCCAGGATTTAGATGAGCCATGCCTTAGGGCAGTGGTGGGTTTCAAAAATTTTTACTACCAGTTCGGTGGGTGTGGCTTGGTGGGTGTGGCATGGCTTGGTAGGCGTGGCTTGGTGGGTGTGGCAGGGGAAAGATACTGCAAAATCCCCATTTCTTCCCGATTAGCTGGGACTTAGGAGGCAGAGAATAGATGGGGCGGGGCCAGTCAGAGATGGTAATTACCAGTTCTTCGAACTACTCAAAATTTCCACTAGCGGTTCTCCAGAACTGGTCAGAACCTGCTGAAACCCACCTCTGGCTTAGGGTGATGGGCAAACTCAACCAACTATAGCTTATGAGCCCTGAGAATACTACATCAGTACATCAAAGGCTGCAATAACATTGAAGATTCATATCACGAGCCCAGAACTCTAACGAAGAAAGAGGAGTGGTTAGAGTGCAGTACTGCAGGCTAGTTTAGCTGACTTCTAGATGCAGTTCAGCAGTTCAAATCTCACCAGCTCAAGGTTGACTCAGCCTTCCATCCTTCCGAGATGGGTAAAATGAGGACCCAGATTGTTGGGGGCAAATAGGCTGACTCTGTAAACCGCTTAGAGAGGGCTATAAAAGCACTATGAATCGGTATATAAGTCTAAGTGCTATTGAAATTTGTATCCATAGGATTTTCGTTCTGAAATAAAGGTAAAGGTTCCCCTCGCACATATGTGCTAGTCGTTCCTGACTCTAGGGGGCGGTGCTCATCTCCGTTTCAAAGCTGATGAGCCAGTGCTGTCCAAAGAGGTCTCCGTGGTCATGTGGCCGGCATGACTAAATGCCAAAGATGCACAGAACGCTGTTACCTTCCCACCAAAGGTGGTCCCTATTTTTCTACTTGCATTTTTTTACCTGCTTTCGAACTGCTAGGTTGGGAGAAGCTGGGACGAGTCACGGGAGCTCACCCCATTACGCGGCACTAGGGATTCGAACCGCTGAACTGCCAACCTTTCGATCGACAAGCTCAGTGTCTTAGCCACTGAGCCATCACATCCCTTTCGAAATAAAGGTACCTTGTCCTTAAAAGTAAACATTGCTATCAAAAAGCTTTCAAACTGCTCTTCCTTTCTTAGGTGATGGCATCCCAGGTCCTAAGCTCTGTTTTATGGGATATTTTTGCCCACCTGGTACTGCTTCTAGCAGGGAACATCCATGCCATAGAGGTACCTATGGACCCAAGGCTGGTGCAGCTGATGAAACTGAATGTGAATCCTGCCCAGCAGGTAAGGGACGGCCTGAATCCAAGCGTAGAAAAGCCTGCCCAGAATTGAAGATGAGAATGTTTTGTTTGCCATTCACATTCTGTGAATGTCTTTTCTGCTGTTGTCTTTTCTCCCCTATAAAAGGCATGTATTGTTCGTCTCTTGGACTATTTCAGCCAACTGGACTTTGCCACGAAGGCTACTACTGCAGCAAAGGGGCAGTCAGCTCAACTCCCATTAGGCACAGAGTAAGTGGAAGTGACAGAATAATAGAATAATGGAAGGGACCCTGGAGATCTTCTAGTCCAACCCCCTGCTCAAGCAGGAAACCCTATACCAGTGATGCTCAGGGCACATTACTACCGGTTCTGTGGGCGTGGCTTGGTGGGCGTGGTGTGGCTTGGTGGGCATGGCTTGGTGGGCGGGGCAGGGGAAGGATACTGCAAAATGTCCATTCCCTCCCCACTCCTGGGGGGAAGGATACTGCAAAATCACCATTCCCTCCCCACTCCTGGGAGGAAGGATATTGCAAAACCTCCATTCCCACCCCACTCTGGGGGCCAGCCAGAGGTGGCATTTGCCGGTTCTCCGAACTACTCAAAATTTCCGCTACCGGTTCGCCAGAACCTGTCAGAATCTGCTGAATAGCACCCCTGGTGGTTCCTTGATTAGGGCTGTTGTTTACAATTAATTGTCTGAATTGGTCATTCCTTGATTTTATTTTTAACCAGAGTCTATTGATTTCTCCACTTCCTGTTCCTTTCATCTTTGTACAGGTGGATTCTGCCAGCATGTTGACAGGGAATGACATCTGTCCCAAAGGACATTTCTGCCCACCTGGCACTGGGTTTCCCATCCCTTGCCCACCTGGCTCCTTTTCCCCTATGATTGGCCTGAAAGCTGAGGGTGAATGCCTACCTTGCCCAGCAGGACATATCTGCAGTCAGTCCGGGACATCTGACCTGCTCCAGATGTTACCATGTAATGAAGGGTAAGATCCAGACTTCCAGTTTCTTCCCGGCAGAGAAATGGGGCATCTCAAAATGACTAGGCCATCTTGAGTGTGGCAAGCAGCAAGGCTGGCTGGGGAATTTTGGAAGTTGAAGTTCACACATCTTCCACAGTTGCCAGAGCTGAGAAACACTGAGATAGCATTAAACTTCTTCTCTCTCTCAGGGTGACTGCAACAAAGATATCCAGCCTCTTCTGGAAATCTGTTTTGAATGACCAAAATTGAAGGGAGTTCAGTTTAAAATATTTGAAGATGAAGATTAGAATTAGAATTAAAAAATTTTATTGGCCAAGTGTGATTGAACACACAAGGAATTTGTCTTGGTGCATATCCTCTCAGTGTACATAACAGAAAATAGATGTTCATCAAGAATCATAAGGTACAACACTTAATGATAGTCATAGGGTAAATAATAAGCAATCCGGAAACAATATCAGTATAAATCGTAAGGATACAAGGAACAAAATAACAGTCATACAGCCATAAGTGGAAGGAGATGGGTGGTGGGAACGATGAGAAGATTAATAGTAGTGCAGACTTAGTGAATAGTTTGACAGTGTTGAGGGAATTAGTTGTTTAGCAGAGTGATGGCGTTCAGGAAAAAGCTGTTCTTGTGTCTAATTGTTCTGGTGTGCATTTTGAGGGTAGGAGTTGAAACAGTTTATGTCCAGGATGCAAGGAGTCTGTAAATATTTTCCCAGCCCTCTTTTTGACTCGTGCAGTATACAGGTCTTCAATGGAAGGCAGGTTGGCAGCCATTGTTTTTTCTGCAGTTCTAATTATCTTCTGAAGTCTGTGTCTGTCTTGTTGGGCTGCAGAACCAAACCAGACAGTTATAGAGGTGCAGATGACAGACTCAATAATTCCTCTGTAGAACTTCCCCTTTAAAGTAGATACCATGTTTTTAAAGGTACAACTGCTCCTTTCTTTCATCCACAGGTATGTTTGCTTTGAAGGCAACTCTGTGCCCTGCCCTAATGATGGGATACATGGGTATCGATGCCCTAAAGGCTTCTATTGTCCCCAGGGCACCAGCTCAGAAGTGCCCTGTGAACCTGGGATGTTTAGCCCAACTGATGGAGCCAGTGTCTGCCTCCCTTGCCCTGCAGGAACTGCCTGTCGACGTGCTGCCACAGTGGAACCAGCCATCTGCCCTCGAGGTAATGCAGGCTGGCAAGGAGACTTCATTTGGACTACTGTAATGTTCTCTACATGGGGCTCCCCTTGAAGAGCACCCGGAGGCTCCAACTGGTCCAGAACGTAGCCGCGTGGGTGATTATGGGCGCAGCTCGTTGCGCCCATGTAACACCTCTCCTGTGCGAGCTGCACTGGCTCCCGGTGGTCTTCCGGGTGCGATTCAAGGTGTTAGTCATCACCTTTAAAGCGCTCCATGGCTTAGGACCTGGGTACCTACGAAACCGTCTTTTGCCACCAATAGCCTCCCACCGACCAGTTCGTTCTCACAGGGAGGGACTACTCAGGGTACCGTCAGTCAAATTATGCCGACTGGTGACTCCCAGGGGGAGGGCCTTTTCTGTGAGGGCTCCAACCCTTTGGAATGAACTGCCCCCGGAGATACGGAATATCCCTGATCTCCGTGCTTTCCGCCGTGCCCTCAAGACCCTGATGTTCCAACAGGCGGGGCTAAACATATGAACATGTGAATGTTTTTAAAATGTTATTTAATTCTGGGTTTTATTTAATTGGCCAAACTAAGTAATAATTTTAATTAGCAATTTTATGATGCTTGTGTGTCTATATTTTTCTTGGCTGTACACTGCCTTGAGTCCTACGGGACAAAGGCGGTATAGAAATATAATAAATAAATAAATAAATAAATAATAAATAAATAAATAAATAAATAAATAAATAAATAAATAAATAAATTTGATATGTAGCATGAGAAACAAAAACTCGGTTGGATGAAGATTAAGGAGGACACCATCTTTTTTTGTTCCCATCAAATGTTCTTCCATGCTATTTATAGCTTCCAATTCACCGGAAGGTATAGTTCTACCGGAACTGGGGTGACCTCTACCCAGAATCTAGTTCTGGATACATCACTTGAAAAAGCGTTCCGTAAAACTGGAATAAAGTCAGAGAAGGACAATGCAGATGATCAGGAGATTAGGCACAAAGATTCAGTTTTGGTCACCACAGTGTAAAAAAGATGTGGAGACTGTAGAAAGAGTACAGAGAAGAGCAACCAAGATGATTAGAAAATTGGAGGCTAAAACAAACGAAGAACACTTGCAGGAATTGGGTATGTCTAGTTTGATGAAAAGAAGGACCAGGGGAGACATGACAGCAGTGTTCCAATATCTCAAGGGCTGCCCCAAAGAAGAGGGAGTCAAGCTATTCTCCAAAGCCCCTGAGGGCAGGACAAGAAGCAATGGGTGGAAACGAATCAAGGAGAGAAGCAACTTAGAACTAAGGAGAAATTTCCTGACAGTGAGAACAATTAATCAGTGGAACAACTTGCCTGCAGAAGTTGTGAATGCTCCAACACTGGAAGTTTTTAAAGAAGATGTTGGATAACCATTTGTCTGAAGTTGTGTAGGGTTTCCTGCCTAAGCAGGGGGTTGGACTAGAAGATCTCCAAGGTCCCTTCCTGCTCAGTTATTCTATTATATTCTAAAATTATCTGCAGAAAACAAAATTAAATTCTATTCTATTCTATTCTATTCTGTTCTGTTCTGTTCTGTTCTGTTCTGTTCCGTTCCGTTCCGTCCCGTCCCGTCCCGTCCCGTCCCGTCCCGTCCCGTCCCGTCCCGTCCCGTCCTGTCCTGTCCTATCTACCAGGAAAGACTGAAGGATATTTGTATTCTTGTAAAAAGATGACTTCAGGGATGTCCTGCAGAAATATGTCAAGATCTATTTGGTATTATCTCATGGACAGGCAGGATACAGACAATGTCCTTATGTTATACAAAGGCAGTTTCTATTTCAATGTAAGGTCTCTTTCTCTGAATATGATCAAACATAAGGTGGATTGCCCGCAGATATATTCCTTTGGATTGATCGCTCAGCAGGAAGTGGAATCTGGGGACCCTATTCTAGATTCATCAGGTCCACAGTCTCAACTTCTTTGGAAAATATGGAAAGTCGTTTAAGTATGAAACTTCACAGTTAATGTCATCCATCTTACTTAGATCTGGACTCTGAAGCTAAGCGAGGTCCAATGGAGTTAGTCACAGGTGGGCTGTTGGGGGTTCGCAGGGGTTCGGGAGAACCTTTAGCTAAGATTCTGTGCAGTTTGGAGAACCACCAAATCCCATTCCTGAATGGCCCCTCCCCTCCCAGGCCCGTTTTGGATGCAGGTAAGAGCAGGGCGTGCACGGAGGCTCAGGGAGGGCAAAAAATAGGCCTACTGAAAGGCCTCCAGAGGGCCTCTGGAGCCTGGGGAGGCCATTTTCGCCCTTCCGGAGGCTCGAAAAAAGCCTCTGGATTCTGAGGAGGGCAAAAATCCCCCCTACCGTGGTGCAGGAGACCGACTAGGCCATGCCCACCACGGCCACGCCCACCCAGCAACTGGGCAGACAACCCCTTGCTAAATTTTTTGAAGCCCACCCCTGGAGTTAGTACTTAGAAAACTGCTAAGACATACAGTATATAATGTAAGAACTATGAAGTCAAGGAACATGCCAGAAAATAGTGATTGATGGCTTCTGGAGTGTTGCCAGGGAAACCGTGTAGATGAAGTCATCAGAAATCAAGCTCGGTTCAAAGAACTTATTGACATTTCAAGCATGACCGTAGCCAATTGATTCGGTCTTACTTTTGACAGGGTATTACTGCCCAGCCCAGACAGCCATGCCCATACCATGTCCAGCTGGTTTGTTAAATGCCCTGGAGGGAGCCTCATCCTTCAATGCTTGTAAGCACTGCCCAGTTGGAAGCTACTGCAGGGGTGATGCCAATTGGAAGCCTGACGGTAAGAAACCTTGGCTACCAGCTTCTATCCTATCCTCTGCTTTCTTTACGGAAAATCAAGATCGTCGCTTTGTTTTTGAAGTTGTGGATGTTTATGTTTTGCAAAATGCTTAGACATCTGCGTCTCTGTGTTGAGACTCCCGCAATCTGCATTGCCCCTTCCTGGACCATCTCATGAGCAGTTTACTCATTCTCAAGAGAAGATAAATGTTCTCTTCGTCGTCTCTTTGGCAGGTCTCTGCACTGCTGGGTTTTACTGTGCTGGGGGAGCGTTTGACGCTGTCCCTCAAAGCTCACCTGAGTTTCGACTTAATGGACCTTGCCCCCAAGGGCACTTCTGCCCAGAAGGCACTCCCTCGCCCATCGCCTGTCCAGTGGGCACTCTGAATAACGGGACAGGTGAGTATGGCTTGAAAGGGTTGATTTCAAGGTCAGCTACCAAGGGGTTTCTCCAGCTACAAGGAGCTGAGTTTGCTATCCACAAAAAAAAATGGATGCCAAAGATCATACTAAAGATCCCCTGGAGTGGGGTGGGAATGGAGATTTTGCAGTATGCTTCCCCTGCCACGCCCACCAAGCCACACCACGCCCACCAAGCCACGCCCACAGAACTGGTAGTAAAAAAAAATTGGATTTCACCACTGCTAGAACCCCATGTCATCAATGTGTTCAGTATATTAAAAAAAATATTCTTTAAAGAATGGCTCAACGTTCTCCCTGCTACTTCCCTGATGTAAGCCCTGCTTGCTTAACTTTGTTCTTAACGGTGAAGGCAAAACAAACAGATGTCCTTTGTGCTGAAAATAATTGCTTTGGAGGAGACATTTTAATGGAGGACGATCAAGTACAACCACCTTTCCTATCCCGCTAATCCTAAGGCATCCTATCCTTTATTCCCAGTTGTAATTAACATTAAAAAATTATATTTAAAAGAATAGAAGGTTCTTCTTATGAAAACCACCATCAGCTCACATCTCTTCCTTCGGGTCACTAAGGTTGTGAAGGTTATGCAAATTCGCTCCTGGCTGGTTCTGGAGAAATTTCCGATAGTGGAAATTTTGAGTAGTTCGGAGAACCGGTAGTAAAAATTCTGACTGGCCCCGCCCCCATCTATTCTCTGCCTGTGAAGTCCCAGCTGATTGGGAGGAAATGGGGAGTTTGCAGTAACCTTCCCCTGGAGTGGGGTGGGAATGGAGATTTTACAGTATCCTTCCCCTGCCACACCTACCAAGCCACGCCCACCAAGCCACATCCACAGAACCAGTAGTAAAAAATTTTGAAACCCAGAACTATTCTCCACGAAGAACTGTCCATCTTTTGATCCTACAGGAGGATCCTCTCCAGAATACTGTGTGCCTTGCTACCCAGGATTCTTCTGTGCAGCCATGGGATTGAGGTCACCTACTGGACCTTGTATGGCTGGTTTTCTACTGTCCAGCAAACTTCAGTTCCTTCAGCCCGACTGCCTTCCTCTGCCCGGAGGTGTGTTGTATCAACTAAAATATTTGTGTGCTTTACGGTGCAAACATCTGACCTGAAAAGAGTGAGAATTGTGGGGCAGTGAATTAAGCTCAGTGAGTGTATCTTAATAGATGGAATGAAATGTCATGAAATGCCATACGTTCACCACAATGCCCGTCTAAAGGCAGAATAGCATATCCTTAAAGAATTTTGGGTGTGGTGAGGAAATTTAGCCCTGTGTCATATCAAGCAAGCAGGGAAGGAAGGGAGGCAGGGAGGGAGGGGAGGAGAGGAGAGAAGGAGGAAAGGAGGAGGAGGAAAGGATGGAAGGAAGGAAAGGAAAGGAAAGGAAGGGAAGGGAAGGGAAGGGAAGGGAAGAGGAAGGGAAGGGAAGAGGAAGGAAGGAAGGAAGGAAGGAAGGAAGAAGGAAGGAAGGAAGGAAGGAAGGAAGGAAGGAAGGAAGGAAGGAAGGAAGGAAGGACAGGTGGACAGGAGGAGGAGGAGGAAGAGGAGAAGTGGAGAAAGGGAGGGAGGGAGGGAAGGAAGGAAGGAAGGAAGGAAGGAAGGAAGGAAGGAAGGAAGGAAGGAAGGAAGGAAGGAAGGAAGGATGAACAGGCGGACAGGAGGAGGAGGAGAGGAGGAGGAAAGGAAGGAAGGAAGGAAAGGAAGGAAGGAGAGGAGAGGAGGAGGAGAAAGGAAGGAAGGAAGGAAAGGAAGGAGAGGAGAAGAGGAGGAAAGGAAGAAAAGACAAGAGGAGAGGAGGAGAAATGGAGGAAGGAAGGAAGGAAGGAAGGAAGGAAGGAAGGAAGGAAGGAAGGAAGGAAGGAAATTCTTCCTTTGTTTTCTTTCTTTCTTTTTATATTTATGCTATTTCTTCTCCATAAAATCAGGCAATTACTTCTTCCAAGAAATAAAAAGGCGCATGTTGGAGAAAGCAAAACTTAACAACTTGCCTCACCTGTGCTGCTTCTGCTTGTCTCTGCTTCACAGGGCCATTTCTGCCTGTCTGGGGCTGCCCACCCCACTCCGTGTCCCACTGGAGAATATCAGCCCAACCGAGGCTCGGCACATTGTCTCCCCTGCCAATCTGGTTTCTACTGCCATGAGGCTTCTCCTGGGGAACCCAAGCACTGCCCACCACATTCTTATTGTCCTGAAGGTATGGAACTGTGAATATGGCAGGAGCATCTGTGGGATGTGGTGAAAAAAAGCCCACCAAGATGAGAATCTCAATGAAGAGGTTGATGCTCCATCTGAAAAACAGAGGGAGCTACCACGGTGTCCAACTTGTGGCCACTTTTGGGGCCATACCCTGCAGACATCTCCGGAAAATGTATTAGCAAAAGCACCAGGGCTGCAAACTTTAATGGACTAAGTCATCAACTGATTCATCAGTTGATGGTTAAAAATCTACTGGTTAATTGGAGCAAAGGGACATGAGAAAAGATTCCTTGACTCAAAAAAGTCTTTCTTCAAGTTGGGCATCAAAAAAAGTGACAAGTAAAGTTTTCCTATGTTGCATTTAAAACTTCCTGATTGTTTCCCTGTCCATTTCAGCACAATGTAATATTTTCTTTATTACCATTTCCTCTGTAGGTATACTTCCATTTTTCCAATTTTGTGCCTACGTAATTCTAGCTGCTGTTATTACATGTAACATTAAATATTGAATTCTTTTGTTGTATTTCCCCGTTAGTGTCAGATTTTTTCATGAACTGGCAGAGACATGGTTACAAGGTCAGCCAATGAATAGGCATAGCAACTAAGTCAGCCAATGGGAGCTGAGACAGACTGGAACCAGGGTGTGTCTTAGTCTGCAGCTTCTGAGTCTGTGCAGAGAATTGAAACTGAAACTAAGCAGTCTGTGCAAACTAGTCTGCTCTGCTGAAATGAAACTAACTGTTCTCTCCTGCCTTGTGTTTTGCTTGTAAGAAGAATCTATATTGATATTGTACATTTATCTTCATCTATTATTATGTATATAAAGAAGTTAATGAATCCTGCTGTGTCAGTCTGCCTGTGTGTGCTTTCGGGATTTGATTTTTGCAATAAACTCTGACAGTTAGTATGCCTAATAAAAATAGTTCTGGTTTTAGGTCTATTTCTTTTGTTACCATCTCCTCTAGCCATTCTTTTTATCTTTGCTCAATATTTTTTCGCCAACTTTCTTAAGACAGAATCCAAACGAGTGATGTATATCTTATCTTCATAGGTACTTTGGTTCCCCTCCCATGTCCTGATGGCACCTTCAGTTTTCCAGATGTTTTTGGGCTACGTAAAGAGAGAGATTGTCTTCCTTGCTCCCCTGGTCACTACTGCAGGTTGTACAATATTTCCACTACCTCCACAAATTGTAATTTTTAGGATCATTGGATTGGAAAGAAGATTTATCGACTGTTTTCCTTTTCAGAGAAATCTGTAAGACAGCTAATAAAATAAAACAGGAGAGAGAATAAGAATAGTCAGTAATAAAGGATGACATGTATTATTAGACTGTATAGGTGAGACGTGACTTGGGATCAACTAGGGGAAAAAATGTGACTGAGTAGGACCAAGATATAATTCTTCCCAGTCCAAATCTAGCTTTACAAATCCAGGTAATTATATTTCTGTCACTCAAATGCAAACCCGTCTATGAGGGCTTGCCGACGATGCTGTCTTTTAAGGTAAAATACAATCCACTCGAGACAAGGTCATCATCGTAGCTGCTCCAGTTATGGAAAAATCAAATCAAATAATAATAATAATAATATCCAGGTATTTACACCTTCCAGAGTTTTCACAAACCAACCCCAACTCAACTATTGCTTCTAACTTCCAAGTCTCCTTTAAAGATATTTTATCCAGGGGTGGGCTGCTGGGGGTTCGCAAGGGTTTGGAACAACCTCTAGATAAGATTCTGTGCAGTTCGGAGAATCCCCAAATCCCACTCCTGGCTGGCCCAGCCCAGCCCACCCCTCCCCTCCCAGGAGTCCACACGTGGTCTGTTTTGGATGCAGGTAAGTGCAGGGCGTGCACGGAGGCTCTGGGAGGGCAAAAAACGGGCCTACCGGAAGTTCAGGAAGGCCAAAAATGGGCCCGTTTCCAGCCTCCAGAGGGCCTCCGGAGCCTGGGGAGGCCATTTTCACCCTCCCAGAGGCTCGACGAAAGCCTCCGGAGCCTGGGGAGGACAAAAATGCCCTTCCCCCCCCCCCGTGGGGCAGGAAGCCAACTTGGCCACACCCACCATGGCCACGCCCACCCAGCAACCGGGCAGAGAACCCCTTGCTAAAATTTTTGAAGCCCACCCCTGATTTTATCCCTTGTTTAATTCCAATTTTGTTTCTCTAATTCTGTGGCTCGGTTTGGTTTGAAGGGATGCACTGTTTTATTTAATGCTGTAAACTAATATATTTCTCAGTTTCAGCTATTTTAAAATGGGTGGAGTCCAACTTTCAGAATTCCCCAGCCAGCATGTTGGCTGGGAATTTTGGGGGTTGAAGTCCAGCCACCCATGTTAATGTTCTTGAAGTTAAGACACACTGCTGTAAATTCTCTGTATCCATTCATTTGGGAGAAGTATTCATAGAGAAATGATTGTGTACTAAATTATTTTCCTTGCCTTCTCAATGAAGTCCTAGCATTTTCTTTGCTCCAGGAGAGGTCAGATGGAAGGACCATGTGCTGCTGGCTTCTTCTGCCAAGAGGGAAGTTCTGATGCCACGCCACAGGGTTACAACTTCACTTGGACTCCCCTGGCTGATTGTCTCTGGGGAGAAAGTTGTGCGGGTCCTTGTCCAGCAGGTACCTGAGTGTCCTAGAAAATAGTCTGAAGAACATCTAAAGAACCAGAGTCTAAGGATAGCCAACATTTGGGGCACCTAAATATTTGATAATGGTTGTTGAAGAACTATGCAATTTTGGTGTTCTGTAGATGTTGTTTAGAGACCTAAGTCCCATGACACATATGTTGGTTTCTTCCAAGTATAGAGGATGGGGGGAAATCTGTGACAGTCCCTTTTAGAGATGTAGACAATTCCCAGAAGCCTCAACTAGCAGAAGACAATGTATGGAATAAGGAAGGTTGGGAATTGTGATTCAGCAGCAACTGGAGCAGGAGTGTCCATAGGAAGGTCTACAATTAAAGCTGTGCCCCTGGAGAAGTAGGAAATGATCTGAGAGAATGTAATGCTTGATAGTCACCATGAGCAGAATTGAACTTGGTTGTATTCCTTTCCTGTAGGATTCTACTGCCCAGAAGGCTCAGCAGCCCCTGTTCCATGTCCAGATGATACCATAGGTTCTCACCCAAGTGCCAAGCAAAAAGGAGATTGTCTGCCTTGCCCACCAGGTCGTTGGTGCAAAAAAAGTTAGTAGAAATGTCCAGAACCCACCTTCTCTAGAACTTTACTCAAGTGGGACCTAACAGGCAAATTCTTCTACCAGTATTAATACCCATAGAAGACCCCATTTTCTCATTCTTCAGGATTTCCCATGGTTTTTCCGTGTCCCTTTGGATCCAACTGCCAAGGAATGAATCTCACCAATCCCCTGGGGCCACGGACCCTCCAACAATGTCCCAAGCAGACTTTCCGAAAAGAACTTGAGACCGAGGGACAACCAAATTACCAACTCTGCATTTCAGAATGCCAGTGTCCTCCAGCAGGTGAGCTGCCAATTTTAATGTTTTTCTTGAGATATTTTTCTCAGCCAGTAACCATTATCTGATTATTTTGACATCATAGGTGCAATAGTATTCTCAATTTACAAGAGCGGTGATTCTTTTAATAGCGGCCATTCTCTGTTGTCTTGCAACAGGAATGGTAATACTACCAAATTCCCATCCATGGTGGCTTGAGCTTCTGAGAATAGAATAGAATAGAGTAGAGTAGAGTAGAGTAGAGTAGAGTAGAGTAGAGTAGAGTAGAGTAGAGTAGAGTAGAGTAGAGTAGAGTAGATAGAATAGAATAGAATAAATAGAATAGAATAGAATAGAATAGAATATAGAATAGAATAGAATAGATATTGGAATGAAAAAATAGAATAGAAATAGAATAGAATAGAAAGAATAGAATAGAATAGAATAGAATAGAATAGAATAGAATAGAATAGAATAGAATAGAATAGAATAGAATAGAATAGAATAGAATTCTTTATTGGCCAAGTGTGATTAGACACACAAGGAATTTGTCTTGGTGCATCTGCTCTCAGTGTACATAAAAAGAAAAGATACATTCGTCAAGAATCATAAGGTACAACACTTAATGATAGTCATAGGGTACAAAAAAGCAATCAGGAAACAATATCAATATAAATAGTAAGGATACAAGCAACAAAATTACAGTCATACAGTCATAAGTGGAAGGAGATGGGTGGTGGGAACGATGAGAAGATTAATAGTAGTATAGACTTAGTAAATAGTTTGACAGTGTTGAGGGAATTATTTCTTTAGCAGAGTGATGGCATTCGGGAAAAAACTGTCCTTGTGTCTAGTTGTTCTGGCATGCAGTGTCTATAGCATCATTTTGAGGGTAGGAGTTGAAACAGTTTATGTCCAGGATGCGAGGGGTCTGTAGATATTTTGCCAGCCCTCTTTTTGACTCGTGCAGTAGACAGGTCCTCCATGGAAGGCAGGTTGGTAGCCATTATTTTTTCTGCAGTTCCAATTATCCTCTGAAGTCTGTGTCTGTCTTGTTGTGTTGCAGAGCCAAACCAGACAGTTACAGAGGTGCAAATGACAGACTCAATAATTCCTCTGTACTACTGTATCAGCAGCTCCTTGGGCAGTTTGAGTTTTCTGAGTTGGCGCAGAAAGAACTTTCTTTGTTGTACTTTTTTGATGACGTTTTTGATGTTGGGTGTCCATTTTAGATCTTGCGATATGGTAGAACCTAGAAATTTGAAGGTCTCTACTGTTGATACTATGTTGTCTAGTATTGTGAGAGGTGGAAGTATGGAAGGGTTTCTCCTAAAGTCTATCACCATTTCTACGGTTTTGAGTGTGTTCAGTTCCAAGTTGTTCCGGTCACACCACGGGGCTAGTTGTTCAACCTCCTGTCTGTAGTTTGTTTGCTTGTTTAGCACGTGGCATGCAAACACTGTTTAGGGAGAGCCGAAAGCCCTACTAAGCAGATATATACAACTAACTAACTAACTAACTAACTAACTAACTAACTAACTAACTAACAAACAAACAAACAAACAAACAAACAAACAAACAAATAAATAATATCAGGAATATACAACATTAATAAAACACATTATACATACAAACACAAATATAAGTTTAAGTAGGACATCAGCAAATGTATATATACAAAAGATGTAGACAGTACAATAGACGAGGTAAAATATTAAATTAAGGCAAATCCATGATAAAATCACCATAATATAGAGCCATAGAATCGCAATAGAATGGATGCTATAATTGTATAACTGTAGCTATGCAAAAGTTATAACTGCAGTCAGTAACATGTAGAATGCTAAAACCAAAATTCTCCATCCTGATATTCTGGCCTCCATGAGAATTAACTGAGAAACTTTTTTTATTTTATTTTATTTTTATTTATTTTTATATGCCGCCCTTCTCCGGAGATTCAGGGCAGCTTACAATGCATTAAGCAATAGCCTTCATATTTTTGTATATTTTATACAAAGTCAGTTTATTGCCCCCACAAACCGGGTCCTCATTTTACCCACCTTAGAAAGGATGGAAGGCTGAGTCGACCTTGAACCTGGTGAGAATTGAACTCGTAGTAATTGCAGGCAGCTGGATGTTTAATGCTGCCTTAGTAGGAGGCATTAATCTCCTACGCCACCCCAGGCTCCTTTTTATGTCCATGTTATTGAAAAACTGGGGTTTTGAATCACTGTGTCAAGATTCCAATGGATGCCGTAATTAAATCATGAGCCTCCAGCCTGGCTTCAAAAGAAATCCAGTTATTTATTAGGAGCTCCATGTCGGCACATTCCCAAATGAAGCCAATTCTGACCCCATGTAATTTGAAGCCCTAATCATGACCCTGTTTCCCCCTCCTCCCAGGGTGTGTCATCAATCACATTCACCAACGGAGCAATTTAGCTGGTTGTAGAAATCACTCCCCTTTGGCCGCTGTGTGTAACCCTGGGAAACAGCCTTGAGAAAGATATGTCTGGAATGTGCCCCTGTCTTTGGCTGCCATGTTGCTTCGTCAGTTTCCCATCCCCCTTTCCTAATGCAACTCGAGAGCTGGTCAGGAATGCTTTGCAAGTTAACACACTGCAGACTCAAGACTTTTTATTTTTCTCTTGGCAAAATGTTGGTGCAAAGTCTAAAGAGAAGATTGCTTCTTTCTCTTGAGGTTCTTCAATCCCCTGTCTCTCATCTCTTAATTTGTCTTCTATCTAACAGGAGCCACCCTCCTCAGAGAGTACCCTTGTGCCCCAGGACACTGGTGCCCAAGCAGAAAAGAAGCTTTTCTTTGTCCACCTGGTTCCTACAGGACTCAGCCTGGAGCTACATCTTTGGAAGACTGCTTGCCCTGCCCACATGGATTTTTTTGTCCAGATCCAGAAAAGTCAGGAGTGCCAAACATTCTTGGACTACCTTGTGAAGCAGGCTATGAATGTCCACTAGGTTAGTTGCTTATATTTAATATGGTAAGGGATCCACATGATTGTTCTTCAGAAACATCTAGAGTTACTCAAGTTGCCATATCCTCAACTAGAGGTTTTTCAAATAAGACTTTCTGGGAGAAGACACAGCATATGAAGTTGAATGCTTCTTTCTCTAAAAGGGAGATTTCAGATGGTGTGGAAGGGTAATAAATTTACTATTGCCTATCCCAGGGGTCTGCAACCTTAAACACTCAAAGAGCCCTTTGGATCCATTTCCCACAGAAAAGAAAACACCGGGAGCCACAAAACCCTTCCCGTGCCTGACTCTTTCTTGAGCAGCCACAAAACTAACATATGTAGTTGAATTATATGTTCTGTTTTCTTCTGAAACTTTTCTTTTCTTGGATTTATTCATGGTTGGCCTACCGGAGGTTGAAAAGCTCAATAAATCATGTGACGGCGGGTGTCACACATTGGCAGTTGCGACACATATTTTGAGTGACAGGGAGCCACAGCAGAGGGGTGAAAGAGCCACATGTGGCTCCAGAGCTACAGGTTGCTGATCTCTAGCCTATCCTATTGTCAAAACCCAGCAAATTCTATTTTTATTTTAACCATGGACACCAAGAGATGAATAGCTAGAATTTTTGCAGGAGAACACTGGAGGTATCTATATTAGCTCTGTGACCACTTTGGTGACAGCTTATTGCTTTATGTAATTGTATTTCAATTACAAAAGTCCCAGTAGTAATCATAAATAAAAGGAAAGGCAGATAGAATCTGGAAAGTGTTAGTTTGAGAAGGCAGCCCTGAAATTATAGTAGGATCCCTTGAGTATTTTGATGACTATCCATGGGATAAATACTCCCATTAAAATCAATTAGTGTGGCACAAATCATTCCGAAGTGCCCAGTTTGAAACAATGTTAAGACATTCATATTGTGATTCCTGCACAGCAAATTCCAAATTGGGATTCTGCCAGTGGTGAGTGCTGCCGGTTCGGACCAATTCAGGCAAACCGGTAGTTCCAACGATCAGCTGGCCCCGCTCACCTGCCCCTGCCCTATCCTGTCCTATATTTCCTTCTTTCTGGGTCAGCTGATCTGCGCGGTATAGCTGATTTCTGCACCTCGGCTGTTCTACTTACCAGAGCTGCCTTAGAAGGTAAGCAGCTGAGCTTCAAACTGCTGTATTTTGAAGGCTGCGCGTAAGCACATTAGGCGCGCAATCTCCGAACCAGTTGCAGCCCATCACTAGATTCCGCCTTATCTCAAGCATTCGGTCATCTTTCCAGGTTCATCTCATCCTTCCAAATGCCGTCCTGGCTCTTTGTGTGCACCCCGTACAGGAATTCCACCTCTGTGTCCAGCGGGATATTATTGCCCTGAAGGTTCATCGGTGTATGAGATCTTTGGTCAGCTGTGAGTACATTACCCAAATGTTGAATATTTTATATACAGTTCTGAAAGGTCCCAGTTTTGAATGAAACACAGTGTTTAATTCTCCTTAAACCACCTGAAAACCTGCACGGTTCATATAAGTCAGTGATGGTGAACCTTTTCAGCACCGAGTGCCCAAACTGGAACATGCATGCATGTGCGTGAGCTGGAGCGCCGGAAACCAAAGACCAGCAGACTGGCACGCACATGCCTGTTTTTTGGGCATTTTTTGGGCATTTTCAGACCGTTTTTGGGGCCATTTTCAGGCCATTTTTTGGGCCGTTTTCAGGGCTGTTTTCCAGGCCCTCTCTGTGGGCACGTGCTCCATCGCCAGCTGCTCTTCTGGTTTCCATGCGCACAGCACGCCAGTCAGCTGGTCTTTGCAGGCGCTGGAGCACCAGAAAATGGCCTGAAAATGGCCCCAAAACAGCCAAAAAACGGCCTGAAAATGCTCCAGTGCCCAAGAAGACCAGTTGGCTGGCGTCCATGTGTGCATTTGAAACCAGAAGAGTATCTGGCAATGGTGTGCGTGCCCACAGAGAGAGCTCTGTGTGCCACTTCTGGCACGCGTGCCATAGGTTCGCCATCGTGGATATAGGTTTTCAGGTGGCAAAGATATAATATTCTCCCATCTCGGTTTTTAAAATTCTCCCGGTCGAGCAAAACTGCCCATGTGAATCTGAGAAAACCTGAAACAATAAATTGTATTTTTATTATATTTCCCCCTTTGCTCCAGCTTTAAAATACATTAGCTCCGTACTGTATCTTGATCTGAGCGGGGTCAAAATGAATTTTATATTATTCGGCTTCTTCCAGATGTAAAATATCACAGAACTGTTCGGGTCACCCAAATCTGTGTAGCTGCTATGAAAACGCAACCCCAGATTATTCATTACTGTGCCTCAACAGAGGCCTCGGAGCTCCTGTTAGAGATTAAAAGTGTTTTTACAAATGTGGGTTTGAGCTTTGATGGAGATGCCCTCTCCAGTTCATGATCTGCCACCCTAAGACCAAACAAGAGCCCTCTACAACATGAAGCAAGAAATGGGTCAAATGCAATTCGCACACTTCTGTTTTATACCCCCACATCAGTGGTGAAATCCAAATTTTTTTACTACCGGTTCTGTGGGTGTGGCTTGGTGGGTGTGGTGTGGTGTAGCTTGGTGGGCGTGGCTTGGTGGGCCTGGCAGGGGAAGGATACTGCAAAATCTCTATTCCCACCCCACTCCAGGGGAAGGATACTGCAAAATCGCCATTTCCTCCACACTCCAGGGGAAGGATATTGCAAAATCTCCATTCCCACCCCACTCTGGGGTCAACCAGAGGTGGCATTTGCCAGTTCTCCGAACTACTCAAAATTTCCACTACCGGTTCTTCAGAACCTGTCAGAACCTGCTGGATTTCACCCCTGCCCCACATCCATTTTTGAGCTGTAGTGGTGCAGTGGCTAGAATGCAGTATTGCAGGCGAACTCTGCCCACAGTCTGGAGTTCGATCCCGGTGGACTCAAGGTTGACTCAACCTTCCATCCTTCTTAGAATGGTAAAATGAGGACCCAGATTGCTGGGGGCAATATGCTGAAGTTGCAAACCACCCAGAGAGTGCTGTAAAGCACTACGGAGTTGTATACATCTAAGTGCTGTTGCTGTTGCTATTTTTACAGTTTTCTTAAAATGTAACAATTCAATTTATTTCCCATGATTGTCTCATCTCAAGCCATCCCAAGATCTGGAAATGGAAAGAAGGGTATTTGGATGGCAACAACTTTTCTTTTTATTCAGAAACTGAATTTTCAGCAGAAATTTCCCATGTAAATTCTGAGGACCAGGATGTTGGGGTTTAGGGGTGGATCACAGGTGTGTGTGTGTGTGTGTGTGTGTGTGTGTGTGTGTGTGTGTGTGTGTGAGAGAGAGAGAGAGAGAGAGAGAGAGAGAGAGATTGATTAGATTGGGGTGAAATCCAGCAGGTTCTGACAGGTTCTGGAGAACTGGTAGCAGAAATTTTGAGTAGTTGAGAGAGAGAGAGAGAGAGAGATGAATGAGAAATCCAAGTTTCTCCTGTAACTTTTAGCAGAGGCAACTGAAGGTAGGGGAACTCTTCATCAGCTGTTGGGTGAAGGTGACTAGGACACTCACCCAACTTCTCTCTTTGGTTCAGGTGTGTCTATCCCTACTACTGCCCTCCTGGAAGTGTCCAACCACAGCTGTGCCAAGCTGGTTATATAGCCCTGAATGTGTCGAGTCTCAGGGACTCCTCAGAGAAATGTTGCAAAGCCTGTGATGCAGGGACCTACAAGGACAATCTGGATTCCCACCTACCCTGTTTGCCCTGCCCAGCGGGATTCAGCTGTCCTTCAGGTGATTATGTGAGATGTCTCTCACTGAAGTCTGTTCTTAAAGCAGTTAATTCAAGAAATGAGAACCCAAGAGCTCGTTGGATGTCCCTCTAATTTATGAAGGAAGAAAGGAATCCATCCCTTCGCTGTTTTGAGAACTGTCAGCCCCACCCACACATAACTTTGACACTAGGCTTCCCATCAGAAAGAGGGACATGCAACAGAAACCTTATAAAAGGATGCTGAAGAAGATTGAGGTGGAAAGGGGGATGGGTGGGATGGAGAGCAATCTTGGGCATCATCAAAGAAGCTGAGTCAAAATGTACATTGGCTTTTCTTTGATTTGTTGGTCAATGGGGTTGAAATGGCACTGGAGAACAGCTAATAAGACTGCTGATGATATTGATGATCTGGTTGGATCTGATCTGCATGGATTCAGTGCAAAATAAATAAATAAAATAAAATTCAGTTCAGACTTCTAAATTGGGGTGAAAAACCCAGAAACTTCAGTACTGGTTTAATGTCAGGCTCCAAGTAATAGCACCCATTACAGATCGAACTCAGAGGCGTTGCTTTTTCTCAAAGAACAAATTTATTTAGATACACCATCTGGTGAAAAGCCAGTACTGAAGTTCTCAGGCTTTTCACCCCAATATAAGTTTCAGTTTCTCAAATTTCCAAAACAATCTGTCACGTTGTCCAACCAAGATAAGAGCTGGTTGCTTAGCGACATCTCTCCTCCTCCTTTGGTCAGTCAGCTGTTGGAATGTGCATGACTCATTGGCCAGTTATGCTCTTTTGACCGAAGGCTCCATCCTCCTCCCAGCTCCAAACTATGTCAAACTGAATTAACGTTGGAGCACCCCAGGATACAAGCAATCCCACATCCAAATAAAATTCAGGCTCGACACTTGACAATCTCTTGGGTTCATCTCATTCAGGTGGTCAGTTCCATTTGGGGAAGAAAGAGCAGACTTGACTGGACCCAAATTCAGTCCAATCATTGATGGGGAATCAGGGACAATCCATGTGCTTTAGACAGTGAATTTGATTTGGTGATTTGATCACGTTCAAATCTCTGCATCTGATGTTTGCATACACCTGATTATCAGTGTCCTATAACTGTTGTGGCCCGCCAGCGGAGCTGGCAGCAGTGTCGGACAGTGAGGAGGTTGGGGAGGAACATGGGCCAGTCCTGGAGGCTGGGGAAGGCTCAGATGAGGGCTCTGCATCGGAGGCAGAGAAAGGGCCAAGGCCATCTGGCAGTTATCAGCTGCCTCCGGAGCTAGACAGCAGTGAGGAAGAGGAACAGCTGGAGCCTGTTCCCAGTGTGCGCATGCGCAGAGCTGCCAGAAGAAAAGAACAGCTAAGAAATCAGGGTCAACTTGGGAGTAAAGCCACAGGTGGACGATGAATTGCCCCTCCCATAGGAAATAAAAGAGGAGTGAAAGGGGAGTGGGCTTTTGCAGGAAACAATCCATCCATTTGGTCATTCGGTTCAGGAGTGTGAAGACCTGTCCGTGAATCTCAGAGACTCTGTGCCAAGTCTTTCCTTGCATTTGGAAAAATATTTACATGGCAGCTTTCCAAGCTAGATAAGGTCTGTGGTCATAAATTCACCTTTGAAAGACTGTTTGCCAGGGCTTTGCTGAATGTGAATACGAGGAATTCACATTTGTTTAATGAAAGGGGTTTTGTCCAGGATTCTGCTTCCTGCTTTTTGGGGAAGCCTAGGCCAAAACAATAACTGGAAGGAGCCATTTCAACCACAGCTTCCAGTCCTCTACTCAGTAATCACTCCCCAGATTTTTAACCAATTGCTCTTTTATCACAATTCAAGCTTCAAGACAGTGGAAAATTTGGGTGAGGGTAAGTGGCTGCAGAGCTCCAGGCTTGGCAACTTAGACAACTATATTGTCTAATCAATCTTTATTTCTTCCCTTCCTCAATCAGGCACTGCAAGTTTCCTCCAGCATCCTTGTCCACAGGGATATTTCTGTCCTCCCCAGACCTCTTCTCCTGTCCCTTGCCCCCCAGGCACCTATGGGAACAGCAGCCTTGCAAAGTCCCTAGAGGAATGCAACCTCTGCCCTGCTGGTTTTTTCAATCACATCCCTGCCCAAACTGGCTGTTTTCCATGCGGGAGCTCCTCAACATCACGAGAAGGTGAGTATTGTGCACTCTGAACTACTTTGGGATCAACGGGTGACAACTATGATAGGGGAGATGATGTCACTAGAGTGGGACTGACCATTCTGCAGTTCCAGGTTGCTTTTTTTTCGTTACGAAGATGCTGACAGTAGGTCATCTCTCTTGACAATAATAATAATAAGCTCCAACAATTTGGAGCTGTTTACAGAAAGGATTCTGGAAATACAATATTCTTTTTTAGGTACATCAGAAACAAAGCTTTCCACTTGTTACCTCTAAAATCTTACCTGTTGTAAAGATATGTGGGATTGACCTTGGGAGACAGGTAGAAGGAAAGCATCAGGGGTGGGCTTCAAAAATTTTAGCAAGGGGTTCTCTGCCCGGTTGCTGGGTGGGCGTGGCCATGGTGGGTGTGGCCTAGTCGTCCTCCTGCACCATGGTGGGGGCGGGGGGCATTTTTGCCCTCCCTAGGCTCCGGAGGCTTTCCTTGAACCTCTGGGAGGGTAAAAACAGACTCCCCAGGCTCCGGAGGACCTCTGGAAGCTGGAAACGGGTCCGTTTCCAGCCTTCCCGAACTTCCAGAAGGCCTATTTTTCGCCCTTCCTGAGCTTCTGTGTACGCCCTGCTCTTACCTGCATCCAAAATGGGCTGCATGGGGAATCCTGAGAAGGGCACGCGGGTGGGAGGGGAGGGGAGGGGCCAGCCAGGAGTGAGATTAGGGGGTTCTCCGAATTGCACAGAAGCTTAACTAGAGGTTCCTCCGAACCCCAAGCAGCCCATCCCTGGAAAGCATCCAAGGCAGTGTTCCTCAACTTTTTGGGCACCAGGGAGAAGTACCATGGAGAGAGATTTTCCCACGGACTGCAGGGCGTGTGGTTTTGCATGCTACCTGCATCTGTCGGATGGGGCTTTGCTTGTTTGCATGGCTGAGGTGCAGGCATGCCACAGACCGATGCCAGTCCGTGGACCGGGGGTTGGGAATCCCTGATCCAAGGGAACAGTCAGATAAAAGGCAATTTAACCCACAGAAGGAAAGTGGTCAGGGCAACGAGCTCAGAAGGGACCCTCCCTAGTTTCTTGGGCTGTATAGGGGACAGAGGGGAGAGAAATGTACTTTCCGATTTGCGAAAATTCTGTTAATGTAAACTTCCAATAAAGTAGAATTAGTTCATCTGGTGATACTTCCTATTTGATCTGCCTCACAAGGCTGACATCTGTCGCTTTCTCTAGGTGCGACTAATTGTACCTGCCTTGGTTTACACCGGAGTTTTCAGGAATCAGATGGCTCTTGCATCTGTCAAGCAGGATATCTATATTATGATGAAAGAGGGGAAAAAAACTCAGATAGCAACAGCAACCAAGATTGCCAACCACAGGTGACGGAGATTGAAGGTTGGTAACTGTTCTGTAGGAGTGCTGGTGGACCTGCTTCTTAATTTTTTCCCCTTCTCTTTCTCTTTCCCCTTCTTCTCTTTTATCTTCTCCTTCTCCTTCTCCATCTTTTACTTCTCCTTTCCTCCTTCCTCCTCCTCACAGATAGAGGAGCGCTGTGCACCAGGGCAGATCCGCCTGGCATCCACCCGCAAATGTGTCACCCCTGAACTGTATAACTGCTCCCTAGTTTGTAACCCAGGGAATGGAGAACTTCACGCCGAGCTTGGCATGTAAGCTGCAACTTTCCAGAAAACACTCCTGAGTGTCGGTGAGATGAACTCCACTCACCCCCACCCCACCCGCCGAGCTTAAATCTAGACCATTCCCTCCACGCCTTCATTTTTGTAACTAGATTTCTGTTTGTGGGGTATGTCTGGTGGTCAACGCAGAAGGAAACAGAATGCGACAAGCATCTCTGAGGCGCCATTTTTTGTAGCCTGGTGTCTTCCACACAAAATTCTTAGCCAGTTGCAGACTAACAAATCTAAAAAAGGCAAGTTGGAAGGCTGCCTTAGAGAAGTCTGTTCTTGTAGCTTCTACAGCTGTGATGGCGAACCTCTGGCATGCATGCCACAGGTGGCATGCAGAGCCCTTTCTGCAGGCATCCGAGTCGTCACCCCAGCTCAGCTCCACTGCGCATGCATCCATGCCTCCTGCTGGCCAGCTGATTTTCGGGTCTCTGCCGTGCATGCGGTGGCAGTAAGGTGCATGTGTAGGGGGAGTCCGGGGTGTGTGGTGTGCCCCCCCCAGCCCAATTTTTGTCCCAGAAGGCTGCAGGGAGTGAGGGGCATGCACGCATGCATGGAGGAGCACAGGGGGGTGTCACGCATGCATTGCATTATGAGTGCTGGCACGCGACAACAAAAAGATTAGCCATCACTGTTCTACAGTGTCCATGTTGATCTATGCTTATCCCACTTCTCAGCCCCGGCTGTTGCTCTAGAAAACAAAAGTTTAAAAATCTCGCTTCCACCCCGATGGAGACTCACTCTGGTCCTTTGCTTTTCTTGGCCTCTAAGATGTCACTGTGAGAGGTACATCTCCGCCGAAGAGCTCTGCGATCAGCTCTGCTTGCTACGATCCCCTAGGCTTTCCCTCAAGTTTGGCCCAGAAAGAGAGCTGCTCCTCACCATCAAGGGGGCTGAAGAACGAGTGAGTAAAGGGGTGTCAGAATTTTGGCCTGGATGATGGTGCGTGCTTTCTAAGCTGGTGTGCTTTGCATGTAAGCTCTTCGGTACAGGAGGGAGCAACACTGAAGGAGAGGGACAATAATAATAGCTTTATACAAGCAGTGGTGGGATCCTTCCAGTTAAACAACTGGTTTGGTGATTGTGCACTTCGTGCGCAGTTCAACGAAAAATCACCTTCCGCGTTAGTGCTAGGGAATTAAAACAGCTGAGGCACGGCAATCCGCTCTGCTGTGCTAATCAGCTGCGAAGATAAAGGTAAGTAAAGCACAGGGACGGGAGGGCCCAGCTGATCATCGGGGCAAACCGGTTCACTCCCAGCTGATCATCGGAGCTACAGGTTTGCCCGAACTGGTCCTAACCGGTAGAATCCCACCCCTGTAGTACAAGGTTACAGAGAAATCTTGTGGATTGCTTTGGACATTATGAGAAATAGCAAAAGCAAAAGTGGTTAACTTAGAATCATAGGTCTAGAAGGGATCTTGGAGGTCTTCTACTCCAACCCCCTGCCCAAGACAGGACTCCTTATATAGCATCCCAGACAAATGTGCTTCCGCTTTCTCTTTCCGAACCAGCATGGTGGAGACTCATGGCAGACACTTCCTGTTCTCCTTCCCACCTTGGTTGTTTTATAGGAGATACCAAATATTCTTGGACCAGATCATCACATTCAAGAAATCCAGCAGGTCCATTTAACTGTCTTTGGCCCCAGTGGTGTCTTAGGCTTCCTTCCTTCCAACCCAGACATGATTGATATTTTCCTATCAGGTAAGATGTGAGATTTTGTCACTGATGGAGGGATCTGCAGCTCACCTAAACTTTGCTAGACTCCCCTCCCTTCTCCCTAAATGATGGCCATCCTGGCTGAAGCTAATGGGTATCAAAGTCCCAACAACATGTGGATCACTTACTCCTCTTTGACCCCAGTTTGGTGCAGTGATGAAGGCACCACATTAGAAACAAGGAGACTGTGAGTTCTAGTCCCACCTTAGGCATGAAAGCTGGCTGGGTGACTTTGAGCCAATCATTGGGAGATGGCGAGTTTTACTCCACCAGCTGGGTGACTTTGGGCCAATTATTAGAAAACTGTGAGTTCTGGTCCTGCCTCAGGCATGAAAACTGACTGGATGACTTTGGGCCAATCATCAGAAGATGATGAATTCTAGTCCTGTCTTAAGCCATGAAGACTGGGTGACTTCGATCCAGTCACTCTTTCTTGGCCCTAGGATGAAGACAAGGACAAACCACTTCTGAAAAACCTTGCCAAGAAAGACAAAGCATTCACCAGGAGTCAAAAATGACTCAAAGGCAATGACACATGCAAAAAAGGAAGAAAGAAAGAAAGAGAGAGAGAGAGAGAGAGAGAGAGAGAAAGAAAGAAAGAAAGAAAGAAAGAAAGAAAGAAAGAAAGAAAGAAAAAGAAAGAAAGAAAAGCTAGTTCTTCTAAACTTTTTGGAGGAATAGAAACAGAATAACTAGGATAGAACTTCAAGGTGTATTTAACAATAGACTACCTAGCTATTTCATTTTATTTACAAATACACTTAATTTCTTTCTTTCGAAGCAGCTAGGCACATGATGGCGAATCTATGGCCCGCGTGCCATAGGTGGCACACATAGCCATATCGGTGGGCACAGGAGCTCAGCTCCGGCCCACATGCACGCACCGGCCAGCTGACTTTTGGGCCTTCTGGGCCCACAGGAAGTAGGGAAGCAGGTGGGACTGGAAGTTGGCAAACGGGCCACTTCTGGCCTCCGGAGGGCCTCCGGGTGTGGGGAGGTCGTTTTCACCCTCCCCAAGCTCCTAGAAAGGCTCTGGAGCCTGGGGAGAGAAAAACGGGCCTACCAGGCCCACCGGGCCATTCCGTGCCAGGAGCAGGGGGGAGTGTGGGGGAGGGTCATGCACGCATGCACGGGGGGCAGGGCACATAGAATTATGGAGGTGGGAATGCGTGCGCGCGACCCCTCCCTTCCCCCCTGCTCCTGGCCCACGATGGCCAAAGGGTTAGCCATCACTGAGCTAAGCCTTCAGGTTAAAGTGCTTTTTGCTTTTCTTATCCAAGCTATTTTATTTTAAAGCCTTGGCTCTTCATTCTCCCACCCCCCCAAAAAGGCTCAGTCTCCCTTCATGTTATCTGAGGCGTTAGAATCCTTTTCACCACTTTGGACAGATGCCAACTTGCCTGTCAAATTCAGGATGAAACAAATCATGTGCAAAATAAAACCCATTTACCCACAAGCGGGTCATACATTCTCTGCTTTTCTCCTGATAAAATCTCTATGGATTTAAGGTCAGACTTACAGCCAGGTTACAGCCATTATTTTATAGGCGAGATTTATATCCTGTTTTGTTTTTTTTCTCGAGGAGCTCATGGCAGCTTACAGGGGACTTCTGCTTAATTTTATCCCCCACAATAAGAACCCTCTGAGATAGAACAGGCTTAGAGGTAAGTCCCCAAATCCTCCAGTGATTTCTCATAGCCCTTGGTCCGTGATGGCAAACCTATGGCACGGGTGCCACAGGTGGCACGCGGAGCCATATTGGTGGGCACATGAGTGTTGCCCTAGTTCAGCTCCAACGCACATGCGCGCACCAGCCAATTGATTTTCAGACCTTCCGGTCCCACCGGAAGTCGGGAAACTGGCTGTTTCCAGCCTCCAGAAGGTCTCCGGGGGGATGGGGAAGGCTGTTTTTGCCCTCCCCAGACTCCTAGAAAGCCTCTGGAGCCTGGGGAGGGATAAAAGCGGGCCTACCGTGCCCACCACGCCATCGTGTGCCAAAAGCAGTGGGAAGTGTGGGGAGGTCACGTGTACATGCGCGGGAGGGCGGGGCGCATTGAATTATGGATGTGGGCACCCGCACCTGCAACTCCCCACGCTCCCCCCACTTTTGGCACGCGATGGCAAAAAGGTTAGCCATCACTGCCCTAGGTGGATTAGGACTTGGTTCTACCCAACCCGTATCTAAAACCTTGTCTACTCCATCACATCACCTCTTACCAGTGGTGGCATCCTCCCAATTTAACAACCGGTTCGGTGATCACACAATTTGCACGCACATATGCAGTTTGAGGAAATCTTCACTTCTGGGTTTCTTCGCAGGAGTAACACAGCTGATTTGCATGGCCGTCCCCTCTGCGGTGCAAATCAGCTGAGAAGATAAAGGTAGGAAAATAGCGGGAGGATGGGCCCATCTGATCGTCGGGGCGAACCGGTTATCAGGGTTCCAAGTAAAATCCCGAACAAAATCAGACTCCAAGGCTTGAAATTCCTCAAAGCTAACCTTTAACCACTTCAACAAGCAGAGTTGGAAGTCGGGACCTTGGAGGACTAGAAGACCTCCAAGGTCCCTTCCAACTCTGTTATTCTATTTCTATTGTTCAAAACCTCCAGTGATGGACCCCCCCACCGCCCCCCAACTCTGGGAGGAAAGCTGCTCCATTGATTAATTGTTCTCATTGTCAGAAAATTTCTCCTGACTTTTATGTTGGATCTGTCTCTCTCACAAGCTTCCACCCGTTACTTCTTGTCCTGCCCTCTGGTGCTTTGGAGAATAAATCAATGATGAGAAGTTCCTATCTAGGCAATAATTTATGATTCACTTTCCCACAGTATTTTTTTTTTTTTAAAAAGGAGAACCAAAGAAGTGAATTTACTTTCATATTTTTATCTTTACTGGTCCAGGAGATTCACCACCAAGGTATCGGCGGGATACATCACACCAACATTTACCTACCATCCCAAATCCTGTTGCGTGTTTGGTGGCGGGAGAGGCTATATTTTTCCAGCTCAGCATTAATCCCTCCAGTAAGTCCTGGCACCTGAACTCAATTTTTTTCCCTTGACATAGCAACAGCACTTAGACTTATATACCACTTTATTGTGCTTTACAGCCCTCTCTAAGCAGTTTACAGAGTCTGCCTATTTCCCCCAACAATCTGGATCCTCATTTTAGCCACCTCGGAAGGGTGGAAGGCTGAGTTAACCTTGAGCTGGTCAGGATTGAACTCCTGGCTGTGGACAGAGTTAACCTGCAATACTGCATTCTAACCACTGTGAAGGGAGGGAGGGAGGGAGGGAAGGAAGGAAGGAAGGAAGGAAGGAAGGAAGGAAGGAAGGAAGGAAGGAAGGAAGGAAGGAAGGAAGATAGCAATAGCACTTAGATTTATATACCACTTCACAGTGCTTTACAGCTCTTTCTAAGCATTCTAAGATTTACAGAGTCAGCATACTGCCCCCAACAATTTGGGTCCTCATTTTACCCACCTCGGAAGGATAGAAGTCTGGGTCAACCTTGAGCTGGTCCGAATCAAACTGCTGGCTGTAGGCAGAGTTAGCCTGCAATACTGCATTCTAACCACTGTGAAGGGAAGGAAGGAAGGAATATTGCCCCCAACAATTTGGGTCCTAATTTTACCCACCTTGGAAAGATGGAAGGCTGAGTCAAACCTTGAGCCTGGTGAGATTCGAACTGCCAAATTGCAGGCAGCTGGCAGTCAGCAGAAGTAGCCTGCAGTACTGCACTCTAACCACTGCCCCACCCCAGCTCATGGACATGTTGGCTCAATAAATTCAGGAAATATGAACAGCAGCGTCTCTTAATCCAGGGCTGATGGGGAAAAATTGTTAGTGTTGAGCCAACTCTAAATGCTAAATGACTGTCAACAGAGAAGATTTCTTCATGCTGTGTAGCAATCACTGTCTACCAATTCTTGCCAGATCGGGCTTCTAGCCACTACCCTGTCTACCAGAAGGAACATCTTTATAATAGCAACCCCCACTGGGATTTTGGTGCATTCAGAAGGCTGGACTACCTCATCCGAGAGACCCAGCTCAACATTTCCAGGTTCGTTCAGAGGCAGTTTCAGATTTCTCCTTTTTGTGTAAGATATTCTCTGAGAGATTCCAGCCAGTGATGGGATTCAGCTGGTTCTGTCCGGTTCGGGTGAATCGGTAGCGGCAACTGCGGGAATCTCTGCCCACCCACCTGGACATAATGAGCGAGCACTGTTCAAGTGCGGAAGGTCGTGCACATGTGCAGAGGAGGCGCGTGTGAGCGTAGCGAGTGTGTGTGCGCGCACACGCTCACATTTACGAACTGGTAGTGAAGGTAAGTGAATCCCACCTCTGGTTCCAGTCTTAAACAGCAAGTAGAATGAATTCCTGACTTGGGGTTATTACATATATCTGAGGGAGAGAATACTGAGATGATTAAAAAAAGAGCTTATATTTTAGCCATAAAATCTATAATTATTATACAGTAAATCAACAGCTGTTGTGGTCCGCCAGTAGCCTGCGGAGCTGGCAGCGGAATCGGATAGTGATGAGGCTGAGGAAGAACAGGGGTCAGTCCTGGAGGCTGGGGAAGGCCCGGATGAGGGCTCTGCGTCGGAGGCAGAGATGGGGCCAGGGCCATCGGGGACTGATGCACGGACTCCAGAGCCTCCAGAGGCTGACAGTAGAGACGCAGAGGAACAGGAGGAGCCTGTTCCTAGTGCACGCATGAGAAGAGCTGCCAGAAGGCAAGAGCAGCTAAAGCAGAGAGGACGACTCGGGAGTAGGGCCAAGAGATGATTGGCCCCTCCCATAAGGCTGAAAAGAGCAGCAACGGCTCTTGGCCTCTTTGCCGGAAAACAACCGTTGAGAGATTTGCTTTGTGTTTGGATGTATTTCTTTCTTGTCAGCGTCTTCTGTTCCTGAACTGTTGCCAAGAGAAGCCTTTGGCAGTTTGCCTAATTATCCCAAGGTCAGAGATAAACTAAAGACTGGTGTTTTAAGAACTTTGCTTTCGTTTAATTTGGAATAAGCTGAGAATGAGTTAATTCTCAGCTGTTTTAATAAAATCTGTTTGCTTTTTGGAACTGTTTTGCATTTAATATTAACTACGTGGGCCTGGGTCACAACAACAGCAGAAATATTTAGACAACAGGACCATTTAAAAATAGGGTTGAAATAGTGGGTGAAGGTGATAGAACTAGCAAAGATAACTACATTAACTTCTTTGGTTACAGAAAAAGGTTAAGGACTACATTTGTTAGAGACTGGAAACCCCTGATGGACTTTCTGCTGGAAAGAGAAAAATGAATTTTTGATCTATGGATCTGAAGACTAGCAGGGTTGGTTATTAGAAAAAAGGACATTATAAAGTCACTTTAGAGAGAGTAAAACACAAATATGCTCATACCTGCTAACAAAAAGATTGGAAGCCATTTCTTTATAATTATTTCTCTTTTCCTTTATTTCTATTTCTATTTCCTTTCTTATTCTTTTATAAGTAACTCAAGGTGGTGAACATACCTAATACTGCTTTCCAGAGGTGGGTTTCAGCAGGTTCTGACCAGTTCTGGAGAACCGGTAGTGGAAATTTTGAGTAGTTCGGAGAACCAGTAGTGGAAATTCTGACAGGCCCCGCCCCCATCTATTCTCTGCCTCCCAAGTCCCAGCTGATCAGGAGGAAATGGGGATTTTGCAGTAACCTTACCCTGGATTGGGGAGGGAATGGAGATTTTACAGTATCCTTCCCCTGGATTGGGGAGGGAATTGAGATTTTACAGTATCCTTCCCCTGCCATGCCCACCAAGCCACGCCCACCAAGCCGTGCCACGCCCACCAAGCCACACCCACAGAACCGGTAGTAAAAAAATTTGAAACCCACCACTGCTGCTTTCTCTTCCTATTTTCCCCACAACCACTCTTTCCTTAAGTAAGGCCAATAGGCATACCCAAGAACACTTCAAATACTAATTTATTCCTGAGAGGATAGATAGTATTTTTTTTCTGTATTCAATGACTTATAAGTCATAAGTTTATTTAGTCAAGCATATATAAGATAACAGGTAAAAGTGTAAACATAATTTGAATACATGAAAAGAGTAAGTAAAAAGGAATATTAGGACAGGGATGGTAGGCACGCTGGTGCACTTATGCATGCCCCTTACAGGCCTCTTAAGAATGGGGTGAGGTCCACAGTAGACAGTTTAAGGTTAAAGTTTTGGGGGTTTGGGGAAGAAACTACAGAGTCAGGTAGTGCATTCCAGGCATTGACCATTCTGTTACTGAAGTCATATTTTCTTCAATCGAGTTTGGAGCAGTTTACCTTGAGTTTGTATCTATTATTTGCTCGTGTATTGTTGTGATTGAAGCTGAAGTAGTCATTGACAGGAAGGACATTGTGGCAGATAATTTTATGTACTATGCTTAGGTCAGACTGAAGTCGGCGTAGTTCTAAATTGTCCAATCCCAAAATTTGGAGTCTGGTGGCATAAGGTATTTTATTGCGGGTAGAGGAATGGAGGACTCTTCTCGTAAAATATCTCTGGACTCTCTCGATTGTATTTATGTCCGATATGCAGTGCAGATTCCAGACAGATGAGCTGTATTCAAGAATTGGTCTAGCAAATGTTTTGTATGCTCTAGTTAGCTTCTGTCCGCCAACTCACTTCTGCAAGACTTTTTGATTATGGTTTGTCACACGGGCAGCCAGATGTTCAGGCTGGATTTGGAAATTTTTATCCTTCTATTGAGTCTTTCCCGAGGACCTGGAATAGAGAGATGTGGATGCCTGATGGTATCAAGGGTCTTATCACAGGATGTAAGCTATGTCGAGTAAAGCTGCCTTTTGCAATTGACAGTGAATTTGTCAATGCCGATGGTGTTCGAGTGGTGCTCCAGATGTCTTGGGATTTCATCCAAGGCACCTATGACTATTGGTACTATCTTTGCTTTCTTTTACCACAGTCGTTCTACTTCTTTTTGCAGGTATTTATATTTGGTTATCTTCTCTGCTTCTGTTCTGCCCTCTTCAGGTATTGCCACATCCATTATTCAGACTTTATCTTTCTTTCTTTTTTCTTTTTAATTTTTTTTATTAAACATTTTTTATTAAACATTAAAAAAGTTTTGCATCAGTTAAGAATTTCATACTTCTACATTTTTTCCTCCCTTATTTCTGCAATATCTTTTATACATATACCTCTAATATTTATTTATTTATTTATATATATACATAACAATACCCGTGTACCCACTTCTATTTCTACAGTTTTTGTTTCCTCATATTAGCAATTATACTTCAACTCCTATTGCGATCATTATTTAATTTTTCCCTTCCTTTTATCTCTCTCCTCCAACCATTCATACCATTTCTTCCACACTAAATAATATTCTGTTTCCTCTTTTCTTGTATCTCCTTTGTTAATTTGTCCATCTCCGCACATTCCAAAACTTTTCTGATCAGATTCTTATCGACAGTTGTTAAGTCTAGAGCATTATGTCTGTCTGTTTAAATTCTAAGAGCACTTTAGCTTCTTCATTTTCTGTTACCTGTGCCTATTCTTGCTTGCAGACAAATGATATTTCTTGCAGATATTGTTATTATTTCTTTCTCACGCATGTCACCTCACTGCTTCTTCCTATCTTTCTCATTGAGGTTATGCCTCTGTTTTCCGGCCATGTTCATTGCTGGTATAATATGTAAAATCAGCTATGAAAATTCTGCAGCTGCCCTCCAGATGTCGCCACACTCCAGCAGCTGCAACAGGCATACTCAGTGGTGAAGCAAGATAGTAACTATCATTCTGTATCACTTGGAACATTTCTGGTTCCCCTCCCTTGCAGCCTGTGAAGGAATGTAGTGGGCAGTTGGATTCCCAGGAGGGAGGGGCTGCATTCTAGAGGAGTAAGAGGCAACTCAGCCTTGTAACTATGTGTGTTGTGACCTAGGCTCACTTAATCATTATAGGACACAATTAGTCTCAAAGAGAACTATTTTATTATAACAGCTGAGAATTACCTCATTCCCAGCTTAGTCCAAATTAATTCCAAAACAAGTCCTTCAGAAAAAGTCCTTTGGGCTTATCACAAACCTTTATCTTTTTTGGCACCCTGCCAAAGGCCTTTCTTGGCAAAGCCCCACGAAGTTCAGAAACAAGAGACACCAACTGGAAAACAGATTTAGCAATGTTGCTTCCCTACAAGGAGCCCAAGAGCCTTTGCTGCTATTTTAAGCCTTATGGGAGGGGCCAAACATCTCCTGGCCTTACTCCCGAGTCATCCTTTTTGCTTTATCTTCTCTTGCCTTCTGGCAGCTCTGCACATGCATGCACTAGGAAGAGGCTCCTCCTGTTCCTCTGCCTCTCTGCTGTCCGACTCTGGAGGCTCCGGAGTCCGCGCATCACTCCCAGATGACCCTGGCCCCATCTCTGCCTCTGATGCAGAGCCCTCATCTGGGCCTTCCAGGACTGGCCCATGTCCTCCCCAGCCTCCTCACTGTCCAACTCCGCTGCTAACTCTGTGGGCTGCTGGCGGAAGACAACTCTGTGTGAGAGAAAGAGGATGAAGACAGGCCCTTCCTGATAGTTCTCAGAGTGTTGTAAATGCAGATAGTAGAGTCCTCAGTCTGGCAAGATTTTATCTATAAGTGTGAAACAATAGAGACCTCACTTGGAAGAATTACCAGGTATCTGTCTTGGTTTTGGATTCTGGGAGTTGGAGTTGGAGTTCATACACAATGGCTGAAGAATTCTGGGAGGTGAAGTCCACACATGAGATGATGGAATGTAGTGAGGAGGTGAATAGATGGGAGGGGGTGCATTCCAGAGAAGTAAGGGGCAACTCAGCCCTGATACTATGTGTGTGAGAAGGAAGGTGAAGATAGCACCTCCTTAATAGCTCTCAGTGTCTATTGTAAATGCAAATAGTAGAGTCCTCAGACTTGCAAGGCTTTGTCTATAGGTATGAAAACAATAAATAACTCAGATTTGGAAGAATCACCAGGTGTAATTCTTGGTTTTGGGCCTGACACATCATAGCCAAATGACTTTTTCCCCATTTCAGGTTCAGCCATGTATTTCTAGAACCTGGAACCTACGTGTTTCGGGATAATGCTGTTGAAAGCCGGATGCTCATTGTGGTAGTGAAAGAGCAAAGCTTGGGATGTAATCCTCACACAGCTTCCTTCCAGCCTTCCTCTCCATATCAGCTGGGTCGGTATGGAGTCTTGAAACACCCAGTGGTGAATATTGCCCCTGATTGGCCAACTATTGCAGGTAAGATCAGCCCTGTGTGGTGCATGAGAAATATTTTATGGAGTCTATGCTGTGTTTGTCTTGTTATGAAAGGTAAAGATAAAAATTCCCCTCGCACATATGTGCTAGTCATTCCCGACTCTAGGGGGAAGTGCTCATCTCTGTTTCAAAGCCGAAGAGCCAGCACTGTCCGAAGACGTCTCCATGGTCATGTGGCCGGCATGACTCAACGCCAAAGGTGCACGGAACGCTGTTCCCTTCCCACCAAAGGTGGTCCCTATTTTTCTACTTGCATTTTTTTACGTGCTTTCGAACTGCTACGTTGGCAGAAGCTGGGACGAGTAACGGGAGCTCACCCCTTTACGCGGCACTAGGGAATCGAACCACTGAACTGCTGACCTTTCGATCGACATGCTCAGCATCCTAGCCACTGAGCCACCGCGTTCCTTGTATTAGTATAGTATAGTATAGTATAGTATAGTATAGTATAGTATAGTATATATAATGTATTATATTGGGCATATAAGACCTCTTAAATTCCCCACCTCAAGCAGATACCTCCATGATTCACGGGAGTATAAGAAAGGGGTGCTTTACAATCAGGCTTGCAAAATTCTGAGCAAGTGACTCTCTTTCCCTCAATCAGGTCCATGTTTTTTCTGCCCTTTCAGTTGTCCTTTTCATCTTGGGCTTCGTCGCCGTGCTGTTGACTGCCCTCTTTTTCCTACTGAGGCCCTCCAGCTGCCCTCCAAACCCAATGAAGATGTGGAAGCCCCGATGGAGGAGTTTAGGAGAGTATCACATCCCGCCAGAGTATGTGCTTATTAAAGAGAGGTGAGTGGAGAAAGCAAGGTCAGCTGGTTTAAAACCATGGATGCACTTCCAAAATTGCCAGAATATTTTATTTCAAAAGTCTTCAATCTGATGACTCTCCTTCCCATTCAATAATCCCTAAAGATCAGCAGAGAAGAAGACAAATACATATGTTTTGGGTTAACTTCTACAACCTCTAGTAAGTCATTTCCTCTTGGATATTGTTTTCCATTCGTGTGATGGAAGGTAACGAGGAGATGGAATCCTCAGATTGGTGGGGGGGGGGTGTGCATTTCAGAAGAGTAAGAGGCAACTCAGTCCTGATACCATGTGTGAGGGAAAGAGAGTAAGGACAGGTCCTCCTTAATAGTTCCCAGAGTATATTGTGGATGCAGATAATAGAGTCCAGCAAGATTTTGTAGGTGTGAAAACAATAAAGAATCCAGGTTGGATGAATCACCATGTGTTATTCTTAGTTTTGAGTCTGACAATCCAGAGTAAAGTTGATAAGATGAATTAATGTAGAGAGTTCAGGAGTAACCATGATAGAAATATTCAAGAAATGTTGCCTCAAAGGGGGAATGAAGCAGGGGTGACATCCAGCAGGTTCTGACAGGTTCTGGAGAACCAGTAGCAGAAATTTTGAGTAGTTCAGAGAACCGGCAAATACCACCTCTGGCTGGCCCCAAAGTGGCGTGGGAATGGAGATTTTGCAATATTCTTCCCCCAGGAGTGGGGATTTTGCAGTATCCTTCCCCTGGAGTGGGGTGGGAATGGAGATTTTGCAGTATCCCTCCCCTGCCACGTCTGCCAAGCCACACCACACCCACCAAGCCACGCCCACAGAACCGGTAGTAAAAAAATTTGGATTTCACCACTGGGATGAAGCATTCTTTAAGCCCTGGGAGAAAAGATAATATTCAGAAGCAGTTCAGGCAAAGATCTCCCTGATTCACCGGAGTATAAGAAGGGGAAGGAGATGGATCACAACCAGACTTGCAAAATTCTGTTATTATAGCCAGTCTCAACGAAATGTAGTTTTGGTCCTCCTGTGGAGATAGGATCTTCTAGTCTAATCTACTTAGAGGGTCTGACAATTAGACAAACTACATTTTTATTTCAATAATATGTTAGCAACATTGGCTCCCGTATCTCTCCATCTGCTAAAGAGCAAGGAGTCAAATAACAGTGAAGAAGTCCGCTTTGTGTCTTCATGACAAGATTGTGGATCCGATTCGAAGTCTCGGGGAGCCAAGGGGAAGACTGAGTTAGTAAAAAAGCAAAATCAGAGAATCCTGTGTTTGCAAGGAGCATTTTTTTAATCTGCCAAGTTGAAACCTCCTCAGCAGAGGAAATCAAATCTGAGCATCATAAGCAGATGGCTGCCTGATCTCTACTTGAATTCATCTAGTGAAGAGGAGACCACCCATCGCTCTGGATAATTGGTTGCATTGTCAAATTGCTGTTATTACTGGAAAGCATCTGTCTTTCTACCGGCAGGAGTTAAATGGAATCTATAATATTTGCCAAAGTTTTTCACTGGGTGTCCTCCAGGGCTAAGGTAACTTTATCTAAAGCATTTTCTGATAATCTTATCTTCTGTTTACTACTTGGCTGCATCGTCTCTTGTTACTAGTATCTCTGAAAGAGCTATCATAGATTTCACACCATATGTATGGGTCCTGTTACCAAATATTATGTTTTTTTTCAGTGGGGTTAGCTTCTTAGACTGTGACTCATACAGGTGTGCCACTCTTAAGATAAGATGTATGTTTTTCCATCTCTACTTCGTTCTCTCTCATCTGTCATTCAGCCTCCGATTCAGCACAACCCTTGGACCTCAAAACTTTGGAGAAGAACTGGATGTCAGAGAAGAAAGCTTTCCGGGATTATGTAAGCATCTCCCTCGAGGATTGGCATTCTCACAAATGGGTGGTGAAAGTGACCTCTTTCCTCATCCTCTGGGAACAGCCAAATGCTTCTGATTGAAATGTGCTTTCAACAATGAATGGATCCTGATCTTTTTTTTTTAAAGCTCTGTTCCAAATTTGGTTTTCCAAAATGACTGAAGAAAGTCTATCACCTTTCTCTCAGAGAAGGTGCAACCCAGCAATTCACTTTCTAAAGAGGGGATGGGAGAGAGATAACTCTCTGCCTGCATTTGGAAATCCTTTCCTTTCTTCCTCTATTCATTTACTTAATGATTGATAGATAAAACATGAAATATGTACATGATAGATGATTGATAGATGATGCATGAAACATGTACCTGATTGATGATTGATGGGTGATAATGATAGGTGATAGATGAAACATGAAACATGTACATGATAGATGGTGATAGATGTGTGTGTGTGTGTGTGTGAGAGAGAGAGAGAGAGAGAGAGAGGGAGGGAGAGGAGGAGAGAGAGAGGGAGAGAGAGAGAGAGAGAAGTTAATTCCTTCTCATCCTTATGTGTGGACTGGAGAGAGAGAGAGAGAGGAAGGGAGAGAGCAGAGAGAATGAGAGATAAAAATTCCCTTCTCACCCTTATGCAGGCATTGAGTCTTCTTCAATCTTGGGTCCTCTACCATCTGAAGGTTCTGTTCAGTATCTTAGCTGTTGCTGGCACTGAGCTCTTCTGACAGAGCTCTGATGTAATTCCTGAGATCTGTTGAAGCCCCTCTCCCAGTTTAGGAGTCATAGCCCCAAGTGCTCCTACCACCACTGGAACTACATTGGCCTTGACTTTCCACATCCTCTCCAGTTCCTCCTTCAGGCCTTGATACTTCTCCAGCTTCTCATACTCCTTCCTCCCTGCTGTTGCTGTCACCTGGTACCACTATATTCTATCACCACTGCTGTCTTCTGGTCCTTGCCTACGATCTCATTGTCTGGTCAATTGGCTTGTACCTGCCTGTCCATCTGGATCTGAGAGTCCCACAGGATCGTAGCCCTCTCATTCTCCACGACCTTCAGTGGGATCTCTTATCTGGACCTGGGAGGGCCTAAATCACACACTGAGCAGATGTTCACATGCCAGCTATTTGGTTGTGCTGTTCGATGTGTTATTCAGTTTGTGTGTGGGAGTGTGCATGTATCCTTATATATATGTATATATATATATATATATATATATATATATATATACATATATATATATTATATGGTACAGAGAGAGGTCTCTTGTGCATGCATCCTTTTATATATACCGTACTTTTCAGAGTATAAGATGCACTTTCTCCCCCTAAAAGACAGTGAAAAAATTGGTGTGCCTTATACACTAAATACAGCCATTTTTGGCCTCCCGAAACCCTGCCTCACACGTCCTGTTTTTGCAAAAAACTGTCCTGTTTTTTTGCAAAAACAGGGCACGCAGAAGCTTTGGGAGGCGTGCAGAGTGCTCCTGTGGGCTGAGGAGGGCAAAAATGTGTCTATTTTTGTGAAAAACAGGCCCATTTTTGGCCTCCAACCCCCCCCCACATCACATTTTTGCCCTCCCCAGCTCCCAGGAGCACTTTGCAGGCCTCCCAAACCCTCTGCGTGTCCCGTTTTTGCAAAAAAAACCTTTTTTTCTTGCTTGCCTCTTCAAAATCTTGGTGCATCTTATACACTGGTGCGTCTTATAGTCCGAAAAATACGGTACTTTATATAGTATATATAGTATATATATGAGCCTTGGTGGCGCAGTGGTTAGAGTGGAGTACTGCAGGTTACTTCTGCTGACTCTCAGCTGCCTGTAATTTGGCAGTTCGAATCTCACCAGGCTCAAAGTTTGACTCAGCCTTCCGTCCTTCTGAGGTGGGTAAAATGAGGACTCAGATTGTTGGGGGCAAGAGGCTGACTCTGCAAAACTACTTAGAGAGGGCTGTAAAGCACTGTAAAGTGGTATATAAGTCTAAGCGCTATTGTTATTGCTATTTACTTGTAACATTTCCAAAACCAATTATAATTGGTAAGATGACAACGATTGAGCGTGATTGTTATGCAGGTGATTTGAATCGAAGCGCTTTGTTCATACTTTGCAAGTCGCATCAGCTCTTCAGTCCGTTGCATAACTGGGACCAGGAATTTACTTTTCCGATGTTGCTTAGTCCCTAAGCAATAAGAAGGGTGTGGAGCATTCATGTCCATTGTTCAGCTCTTATTTCCATATAGTAAGCTTGCACATTATTAATATGGCTTTGAGACAGGTTTCAATATTTCCAGATGTCCCATATGCTGTTGGAGTCCATACCTGCCAGGTGGAAACTCATTCTAATGGATTTCTGATTTTTATGACCATTTTTGCCACAGCTGTTAAGCATATTCAGCTTCTCTCCTTGACTTCCTTGTCAAAAGTCCCCTAGCAAAGTTGTAAATGGTGATCATGTGACCTGAGTTTTGCAATCATCTGGGACTCCTTATTTATTTTATTTATTTAGTTAGTTTGTCAAACATGTACGAGAAAACAGGTATAAGTATAAACATGGACATGAACACTGGAAATGGGTATGAATAAATGGGGACAGTAGGACAAGGACGGTAGGCACGCTGGTGCACTTATGCACGCCCCTTACAGACCTCTTAGGAATGGGGTGAGGTCTACAGAAGACAGTCTAAGGTTAAAGCTATGGGGTTTTGGGATGAAACCACAGAGTCAGGTAGTGCATTCCAGGCATTGACCACTCTGTTGCTGAAGTCGTATTTTCTGCAATCAAGTTTGGATCTGATTACCTTGAGTTTGTATCTATTGTTTGCCAGTGTATTACTGAGGTTGAAGCTGAAGTAGTTATTGACAGGTAGGACATTGTAGCAGACAATTTTGTGTACTACGCTTAGGTCAAACCGTAGGCGGCATAGTTCTAGGTTGTCCAAGCCCAAAATTTGAAGCCTGGTAGCATAAGGGATTCTATTGTGAGCAGAGGAGTAGAATACTCTTCTCGTGAAATACCTCTGGACCCGCTCAATTATATTAATGTCTGATATACATTGTGGATTCCAGGCAGACGAGCTGTATTCGAGAATTGGTCTGGCAAAGGTTTTGTATGCCCTAGTTTGTAGTACAATGTTACCGGAGAAGAAGCTTCAAAAAATTAGGTTAACAACTTTTAATGCCTTTTTGGCAATGCTGTTACAGTGAGGTCTGGGGCTTAGAACTTACTTGCCAGTTCCCCAGAGCATGAATTTTGATCACATGATCGTGGGGATGCGGCAACAGTCATAAGAGCGAGGAGCAGTCGTAAGTCATCTTTTTAGCACCATCGTAACTTTGAATGTTGTTTAAATGAATGATCATAAGCTGAAGACTATTTTTAAAGGCTCTGTGCGATCTTCAACATGTTTCCGGTGATGGCGAAGGAAAGCTTCATCCAGCAGATGGTAGCATTTCCACTCTTAGGAAAAAACCTTTGCTTAAAATATTCTCGAAATCACATTAAGAGAGAAAGTTTTTTTTTCATTTCCTAACCATCCTGTCGATTCTATTTGTTTATTTCTCATTCAAATCTCGGGAGCAATCTACATTACATTTTAAATCACCTATCAAGTGCCTCAAAAGTATTTTGGAACCGTAGATTACTTTCAAGTGTGGCCACGGAAAATCTTTGTCCTTCCAGATTATTTCAGTTCTTGCACAAATTACGATTGCTCTTATAAATTGCAGCAATAAGAAGCAGATGTTTGCTATGAGCCTGCTCCATATAAATGTATATACAGCAGTGCAAAAATTGTGGAAATCTTTTGGGAAAAGTGTATTTTTGAGGTTTGATGGCTAATAACACCACTTTTTTTTTTTTTTTGAGTTTCAAGATAAATCCTATTCCACTGCTGGAATGGCCTGGGAATAGCCCAGACCTTAACTTAACCCAGTTGAAAATCTATAGAGCCAACTAAAGAAACTTATTAGTCAGAAGCGACCCAGCAATAAAACCCAGTTAATAGAAGCAATCCTTCAATCTTGGTTTCACATGATAACAGCTGCAGAACTAAAAGACTTGGTTCTCTCCATGGGAAGACTTTGTAAGGCTGTAATTCATGCTAAAGGTTACCCAACTAAGTATTAACTGACGTGGTGATCATTTTTGTATATCTCGTTTTTTTCTATGGTGATCATTTTTGTATATCTCATTTTTTCTACGTGTTTCACTTTTTTTCTTTATACCGTAATTGCTATTCTAATAGCAAATCCTTCAGAAAAATTATTGCATTACATTCTTGATTAAATTATCTTTCCATTGATATATAATTTTATGGTACTGCTCCCCAAAAAAGTGGTGTTATTCGCTAGTTTTAGAACTTTTCCCAAAAAGTTTCCACAATTTTGGCTACTAGCAAAGTTACTACAACGTAGCAAGCCGAAGAGCTTGCTAAGTTGAAAACATTTCATAACATCTAATAATCAGTGATGATTCAAAATTTCCAGTCTTTAACCTCTGTTGTGCATCAAACTCTGGATGCAAAGTTAGATCAGATTTTGATGTGCTCGATCCAAGTTTTGTGGACTGTCCATTTAAAAGTTGACCCTAGCGATCCATGCTATCTTCCTGGTATTCTACCTTCAAAATCTGATTCCCAGATATATCGCTTTGGGTAGCAAGATGGACAGCATATGAATTTAATAAATAAATATCCAAGTTTTGTACTGCAACAACTTCAATATGTGGGACAGGGGAGGGGGGGAAGGATCACCTGAGACCATCTACGATCTGTGAGAGGATCTGGAAGCTTGCCTCCTTCATTTAACCACCCTGTGCTTTGCTACGAAACTATGTGATCGGGCTTGATAAAGTGATACTTACTTGAATCCTCCCCTTTCCTCTCCCCTTCTCTCCCTCAGCCTTGCCCCACAGAAACGTCTCCTCTCCTATCCCCTTCTCTCCCTCAGGCTTTCTAGCCCCTTCTCCCCCCAGGTTGGCCCACAGAAGCCTCTCCTCTCCTCTCCTCTCCCTCAACCTTGCCCCACAGAAACATCTCCTATCCTATCCCCTTCTCTCCCTCAGAGTTTCTAGCACCTTCTCTCCATGAGGCTTGTCCCACAGAAGCCTCTCCTCTCCCTTTCTATCCCTCAGCCTTGCCCCACAGAAATGCCTCCTATCCTATATCTTTCTCTCCCTCAGGCTGGCCCCACAGAAGCCTCTCCTCTCCTCTCCTCTCCCTCAGCCTTGCCCCACAGAGAAACATCTCCTATCCTATCCCCTTCTCTCCCTCAGAGTTTCTAGCCCCTTCTCTCCATCAGGCTTGCCCCAAAGAAGCCTCTCCCCTTCTCTCCCTCAGGCTGGCCCCACCAAAGCCTCTCCTCTCCCCTTCTCTCCCTCACCCTTGCCCCACAGAAACATCTCCTATCCTATTCTGTCCTATCCCCTTCTCTCCCTCAGGCTGGCCCCACAGAAGCCTCTCCTCTCCCCTTCTCTCCCTCAGCCTTGCCCCACAGAAACATCTCCTATCCTATCCTGTCCTATCCCCTTCTCTCCCTCAGGCTTTCTAGCCCCTTCTCCCCCTGAGGCTTGCCCCACAGAAGCCTCCCCTATGTTATCCCATTCTCTCCAGAGTTATTTTCAAGTTGGGAGGGGGAGTAGAACGTCTAACTAATTAGCATCAGAGCATGTTATAATAATATAGGAAATACTAATGCTCTGATGGTCATTTCGAAAAATCCTTTCTTAGTGAGCACCTAGAAGCCAAGAGGAACATACATGGCAAATTTCAAGTTTGTAAGCTTTACAGTTCTGGAGATTTCGTGATTAATGTGTGAGTGGTTTTCGCTTTATATAGATTTCTTTCTGTCCTGTTCTGGTCTTGTAGGTGCTAAGAAGGCTAGTATCAAATGTGTTTCTTTCAGGCGGTAACCAGTTTGCAGTGAAAAATCTGGAAGACTTCAGTGTTCGCACCTTGTATGACAAACTGGAAGATCAGAATTTGCATCTGGCATCCCAGCTTGCGAAACACCGGGCTGAAGTCTCCGTGTTTTATCGAGGAATCAGTCAGAAAATTCAAAGTCTTTGGGTCAGTATTCGAAGCAGGACACTATTTCCCACAAAAACTGACGATGCTGGGAACTGCTATCCCAAAACACCAGGGAAGATCAAAATTAGGAAAAGTTGCAATGGCAGGCTATCCTAAGCCTCCAGTGCCAGCCACGACGATGATGTCGTGTGGGTCATGACATCATCACATGAATATTATCAAGGATGGTGATGAAAGTTGCATTATTTGCACAATGATGTTATGATGCTGGTGGTGTTACTCCCTTCCCCCTTTTCCTATGGATACTCATGAGAGGTGATGTGGGGGAACCCAAGACTGAGTTTCGGGAAGAAGAAGTAGCGACACATCAGCCTTGAATCGTTGCTAGGCAGGAAGTGATGCAGAAAGAGATCCGCCCTAATTCTTGACAGCATTTATCAGAGACTTATGCAGAGTGTGCTTTAGTCCGGCAAGATTCTGTCTATTGGTTGAACAGTGATAAAGAAACTACTTCGAGCATTTACTCATGTCGTTCTTGGTTTCCCATACCTGGCAACTAGACAAGCAAGTAATTTCAGTAAAATGCAATAACACACCCCTAAATTTGACCAAAAGGGGGACTTTTACCAGGGAACTAAATCAGTTGGTGAAGCTTCAGGATCAGTGGTGGGTTTCACAATTTGTTACTACCAGTTTGCCACATGTGCGCGCGCCAGGTTCACACACAGGCCTGCCTTCCACACATGTGCCCAGCCTTCTGTACACGCACTTTGCTAGTGCACATGCCTTCCGTGCATGCGCCTGGCCTCAAAAATGTGCCTAAATAGGACGACATAGAGCTGGGGCCAGTGGGCAGGCCCACCCGCGATTTCTGCTACCGGTTCACCCGAATTGGTCCGAACTGGCTGAATACCCCCTCCATTCAGAATATAAGGTAGCGTTACAGTAACACACATGCACAATCTTTTTTTTTTTATTGAAAAAGTTTTAAAACAATACACATTTTCCCCACAACCCCCCCTCCCAACCCCCCCTCCCCCTCCCCGACTTCCCAGAGCAGAACACAAGTTATTTCTATTGACCTTTAACAATAAACTAAATTGCCACAATCTTATCATTGTTCTTTGTCCGAGTTGCAAAATATTGTTTTCTGATTTTAGGATATGATACAGGAAGTGGATTTGAACAAGCTGAAGGGTTCTGAAGAGGACATCTCAAATAAGGGGACCCAAGAGAGTGAGAATTCTCTAACTAAATCATCAGGGGTCTTGAAAGCAATGGGCTACTCAGGTGGGAAATTTAGCTAATTAATATTACAAAGATCTCTATGTTTTCCAGTCTGGTCCAGACAATTAATCCCATTTAAAATCTGCCTATCATACGATGGAAGGGGGAGGTACATATTTTTTTAAAAAATAACAACAACATTGTCCATTTCCATTGTTGAAACCTCTCTATGATGCAGCTATTATCCCTGGAAAGGACTGTCGCGTGCCAAGTATATTCTCATCACCCAGGAAAAGTTCACATGAGAAAATACAGTTTCTTTGGGTGCTTAGAAGCTTCCATTCAAATCAATCCAGTCAATTTGTTGAGTTTTTTGGTCTTAGGCGCCGAGTGGCAGGAGGCAACTGAGTTAATGAAAATCCTGGGAATTTTGCTGCAAAAAATCCAGTATCAGAAAATAGCCATGAAACAAGAAAAGGCCTACAAACAGGATGATGGTAAGGATCTCAGTCTGGAGAAAAGTCAACAGGTTGCAGCTGAGAAGCAATGCATGGTAAGAATTTATTTATTTATTTTATTTATTTATTAGTTCGTCAAACATGTACAAGATAGCAGGTATGAATGTGAACATGGACATGAATGAAGGAAATGAATACAAATAAATGGGGACAGTAGGACAGGGATTCTAGGCACGCTGGTGCACTTATGCACGCCCCCTTTACGGACCTCTTAGGAATGGGGTGAGGTCAACAGTAGACAGTTTAAGGTTGAAGCTCTGAGGGTTTGAGGATGTAACGACGGAGTCATTCATAACAATAACAATATCCCAGAGCTATAATTGCACTCAACAATGAACTAAAGGGCCACCATCAGTGAGCTGTTAGACAGCATTACTTGGTCTGTTGTGTGGATGTTTGAGTAGTTTAAGGGTGGGGAATTGTGGTGAGTGGGAGTGTGTTTGGGGATTATTATGTGTGTTGGACCTGGTCTTTGGGTGTTAAGTGAATTTCGTTGTATGGATATACTGTGTATACACGTACAATGACAAGAAAGTTATTTATTTATTTAACAATAACAATAATGTCTCGCAGACTAAAATAAGGTCGAATACGTCTGCATTTAGTAACTGGAGGAATTCAGGCATTCTGTTTGCGAGGCTTCTTGCATTAAGTAGCTTGCATTTGAGGTCAGTAGGGATGGACCTGGAGGAAGTTGGGGGCATGCATTCCTAGTTTTGGTTGTTGTTGGGGGGCAGTTGTTGGGGCAGTTGTTGTGATGCGGGATGCTGGTCTTGCGTTTGATGCAGTCAGCGCGGTAGTCTATGTACAAGTCAGTTTCTCCTTGGTCTTGGTGTCTTTTGAGCTCGCGGATGCGGGCACGTTGTAGTATGGACAGGTTGGGCCATGAACGAAGTTTCTTATGGTTTGTGCAGCTTTTGGTGAGGGAGTTATGAATGAATGAATGAAGAATGAAGGCATTCCTGTAAGACCCTCCACCCTCATTCCCCATTAAGAGACAGTGATTTCTTAAAATTGTTTATCCTCTCCAGGACACTCACTTTCTGCAACAGCTCTTGCTAAAAAACAGTGGAATACGTACTTCCTCCTCCTCCCATAGGTGTAAAGATGAAGGTAAGGGTTTTTCATTTGATCCTGGAGCATCCGTTCCCTTCCAGATGTCATTAGATTCCATCTGTCACCAAGAAAAATCCATCTAGGAGTGAATGGAGACCGTTCCATTCTTATCTGGTTTAATCCCGTCCAATATTAGCAAAGTGCCTCTGATTTCCAGTCAGTGCTAGCAGATTTTAAGTAGCAGAACCTCTATATTTGTTCACAAATGCATGCTTTAGGAGACGTAGACCTCCCACCTCCCACATCTGCATGGCCATCAGATGGAACACATGGAGTAGTCAGTTTTCTCTTCAAGCCTTTGAGCAAAACTCAAATGGCTTGTTTGTGTGACAAATGTAGACCCACAATTCCACAAGGACATCAGGCTTGTGTGAATGAACTTCAAGTAGAGGCCCTAAGGGCAACTTCTTTCCAGTGCCAATCCCCTATATAAAATCAACACACAGGTACCCTTGCTCTTTTCCTTCTCCAGGTGATGAAGCAGGTTTTTCACTAGGACCTTGTCAGAGTTTTTTGCAGAAATAATCAAACCCAGAAAGCGCATACAGATAACTGATACAGCTGGATTCATTAACTTCTTTATATACATATAACACATGAAGATAAATGTACAATACCAACAGCTGATTCTTCCAACGTGGTAGAAGTTACAGGCAGAGGAGAGAATAGTTCTTAGTTTCAGTTCAGCTGACAGACAAGTCCAGACTTGTTTAGCTTCTGCACAGACTTCCGAGCTACAGGGCCACGCCCAAGCTCCTTCCAGTTTCAGTTTCCAAATAGCCCTCATTGGCTGACCCAGCTGCTATGCCTATTCATTGGCTGACCTTCTTACCATGTCTTCCCAGTCATGAATATTCTGACAGACCTCTGAAAATAGCTTCTCATTCAACAGGTCTTTTTTTGCAACAAATGTGGGAGAATAGATCTCAGTATCTAAGATTAATTTTAGGAGGTCCCAAACCCCAGGAGTCTTAGTAGATTGAGGGTTTCAGAAACAAATGAGTTAAATTAATTGCAATCCATGTCATTGTCATCCCAGGAGCAAATGGAGAAGATGACAACCATCTTTCTTTGGGGACCAGCAAAAATACCTTGGTCACCACGAACATGGCTAGTTTATCACCCCAGCGATTTGTGGTTTATCGTTTTGGCTGCACAGTGGCACACCTGATGGGAAGAGTCTTCTCCTTGCCAGCATTGGTACTCCTATTGGCTGAAGCAATCCCTCAACAGTACTCCAAAGGAGATCAGAAAGCCACCTGGCTTACCAAAGATTGGTACTACGATGCTAATAACCATTTCGTCTACATTCTTTCATCCCACCTGGAGAATGCTGGGGTATTTGTGGCAGTGTTGCTGAATGCCATGGCACACATCAAAGCAGGTATTGATGAGCTAAAATGAGCTAAAAGGGATGCAGTGGCTCAGTAGCTAAGTCGCTGAGCTTGTCGATCAGAAAGGTCGGCAGTTCAGCAGTTCGAATCCCTATTGCCACATAATGGGGTGAGCTCCCGTTACTCGTCCCAGCTTCTGCCAACCTAGCAGTTCGAAAGCACGTAAAAAAAATGCAAGTAGAAAAATAGGGACCACCTTTGGTGGGAAGGTAACAGCGTTCCGTGCGCCTTTGACATTTAGTCATGCCAGCCACATGACCACGGAGACGTCTTCAGACAGCGCTGGCTCTTCAGCTTTGAAACGGAGAGGAGCACCGACCCCTAGAATCAGGAACGACTAGCACATACGTGCGAGGGGAATTTTTACCTTTACTTATTGATGAGCTTAGATGATTGGTTCCCTCAAGTCTCTTAACTCTAGCAAGGAGATGCCTCCAAGGTTTCAGAGGGCACCTTTAGCATCAGATGGAAGATCAGGTGATCACTGAACCAATTTTTCTATGAGCTTGGTTATTCATTGTGGGCGTGACATTACCCAACTAGGTAACATCATCAGTGGTAGCAGTGGGTAATGAAACATTTGCAAGAAAACAACCAAGCTCAGAGAGTATCAAATACCTCACAGTTCAATCCTGAGCTACCTCTTCTCTTCTACCAGCAGTTTTTCTATCTCCTCTGGAACATCTATTTTCAACTTCCACGACATGCTTCTGGCCAAATGTGATGGAATTTCAACTTTGGAGATGCTCATTTGACCTCACTTCTTGAAAATATTAGAGTAGGAAGAATTGGCCTGATTCAATTTGTCCCCATCCTGTTTTTGCTAAGAAATGATTCACAGCAGTGATGAAATACAATTTTTTTTTACTACCGGTTCTGTGGGCATGGCTTGGTGGGCGTGGTGTGGCTTGGTGGGCATGGCTTGGTGGGCGTGGCAGGGGAAGGATACTGCAAAATCTCCATTCCCACCCCATTCCAGGGGAAGGATACTGCAAAATCCCCATTCCCTCCCCAGTCCTGGGGAAAGAATACTGCAAAATCCCCATTCCCTCTCCACTCCTGGGGGAAGGATATTGCAAAATTCCCATTTCCTCCCCACTTGGGGGAAGGATATTGCAAAATTCCCATTTCCTCCTCCTCACTCCTGGAGGAAGGATATTGCAAAATTCCCATTCCCTCCCCACTCCTGGGGAAGGATATTGCAAAATTCCCATTTCCTCCCCACTCCTGGGGAAAGGATACTGCAAAATCCCATTTCCTCCCCACTCCTGGGGGAAGGATACTGCAAAATTCCCATTTCCTCCCCACTCCTGGGAAGGATATAAAATTCCCATTTCCTCCCCACTCCTGGGGGAAGGATATTGCAAAATCTCCATTCCCATCCCACTCTGGGGCCAGCCAGAGGTGGTATTTGCCGGTTCTCCGAACTACTCCAAATGTCCACTACCAGTTCTCCAGAACCTGCTGGATTTCACCCCTGATTCACAGTAGAGGTGGAAAAATGGCTTTTATCATATCTGAATGCCATAAAAAGGTGCATATGTTGATACCGTCTAGAGAGAAATGAATACCGAGCTGTCACATTGAGAAGGAGTGTCCTTCGCTTTATGTGTCATTCCATCCTGAAATCCCTTAATTATAGTTATCCTAAAACACAACCAGTCCTGTCAGTTTTAGGCGATAGATTATTTCTTTATAATACGGAGTTCTGCCTTGAGGTCCTTTAATTGTAGCCACCATGGAGTTCAACCCGAGGATTTCATTTCTGGTAACCATCACATTCGTACTACAATGCATATTTTATTTTGTAGCATGAAATCCTTTGATAGGAAATTCCTACCAAAGACTATCAAATACAAGGATGACAAACTATTGCCACACCAAGCTTCATCCCAGGCCATTCCACCTTGTGATTGATTGACTGATGTTCTCTATGGGTAATTAGATGCAGGGATTACTTCTGGATTCTATTTAGAAAACTGTCCTTCATTCCCGGAGTTTCTATAACTTGCTTGTCCTCTTTTATCTGCTTTGCATCTTAGGTAACATTGGAAACAAAAGGCAAGTCACTCCCTTTGAATACTTTTCTTTGTCTTTTCACAAGCTCTTCTGGAATGCTCTTCTCGCTGTTGCCCAACTTTGATTAATGAAGGTCTTAGCGTCCCTAGGAATTCTTGATCTCAAGAGTAACATTGGGGAAAGTCAAGAGGAACGGTGGAGTTTCGAGGAGAAGAAATGGCACTGCCCAACCCAGAGAAACTGTCATTGTGCGCACGTTTACTCAGAAGTAGTACCCATTGAGTTTAATGAATTCATTCTGACATTAGTGTAGGGTTTAGCTTTGGGGACATATTTGAAATGTTGACTCATGGACAATCTTGCCAAATAGTTCAATGGGAGGTCTACGGTCATTCACAAAATGCTCAATCCTTAGAAAAAGAGGAGAGCTTGTTCTTGGCTTTTCCTTCAGATAGTTTGGAGATTGCTTTCTATTCCCGACCACTTTTTATTCATGTATTTGTAGGGTACAGGACATGCTTCCAAGCAGAGACTGCGCCATACCTTTCAAAATGATGTAGACCCTTGGAAATAAATTAAGAGAGGAATAGGAGCTAATGTTTGGTAGTCTGTTCGCTTTACATTTAGTAAGTCAATTAAATAAAGAGTATGGTAGACAATAGAGAAGGTATCTACGTGGAGTTCCACAAGTCTTATTTTTGGTACCCGTATTGGAGATCCCAGATTGTGGCTGTAGGTTCCATTACTTTTGAATTCAAAACTGAGACACAGTGGCTCAGTGGCTAAGACGCTGAGCTTGTCAATAGAAAGATCGGCAGTTCAGCGGTTCGAATCCCTAGTGCCGCATAACGGGGTGAGTTCCCGTTACTTGTCCCAGCTTCTGCCAACCTAGCAGTTCGAAAGCATGTAAAAAAGGCAAGTAGAAAAAGAGCGATCACCTTTGGTGGGAAGGTCACAGCGTTCCGTGCACCTTTGGCGTTGAGTCATGCCGGCCACATGACCATGGAGACGTCTTTGGACAGCGTTGGCTCTTTGGCTTTGAAAGGGAGATGACCATCGCCCCCTAGAGTCGGGAATGACTAGCACAAATGTGCAAGGGGAACCTTTACCTTTGCCTTATGGTAGATACTAGAGGAGGTTTCTACATGGAGTTCCACAAGTGTTATTTTTGGTACCGTATTGGAGATCCAGATTGTGGCTGTAGGTTCCATTACTTTCGAATGAGAAATTTAAGGTTATCTATCCCATGGACCTTGTGGTGACTGGTGTGTCTCCATTTTTTTTTTAATACATTGGGATTATACACTCAGCCGTTGTCGTTTGTTCTCCTTTATATCTGGAGTTTTTCCTAGAAAGTTGGTTTCCTATTTGATCAGGGTGGTTGCAAGAATGGAATCTGCGGGAAAGGACCAAGCAGAGACTACAGTAAAACTTAGACATTTCAGGGCCATCCTATTTTGAAAAGTGGCCTTGCCAACTAATTCTTAGAGGAATAAGAAGTTAATCTTAGAGGATGAAGAAAATTCCATTGGCATCAACCCCTTTTTAAATTTATTTTTCTGCCAGGCCCCATGGAAGTCAACCACATTACCCTTGGATTTTGGAAAGAGCTCAACAAAGGCATCACAGCTCTGGCAAATGCTTTTTTCCACTGTTCCTGGGACGGAGTGGAGATAACAGAGAAGGTAAATATAAACCCTATTGTTGTTAGTTGTGAAGTCGTGTCCGACCCATCGCGACCCCATGGACAACGTTCCTCCAGGCCTTCCTGTCCTCTACCATCCCCCAGAGACCATTTAACCTCACGCCGACTGCTTCGGTGACTCCATCCAGCCACCTCCTTCTCTGTTGTCCCATTCTTCTCTTGCCCTCAATTGTTCCCAGCATTAGGCTCTTCTCCAGGGAGTCCTTCCTTCTCATTAGGTGGCCAAAGTATTTGAGTTTCATCTTCAGGATCCGGCCTTCTAAAGAGCAGTCAGGATTGATCTCCTCTAGGACTGACCGGTTGGATCTCCTTGCAATCCAAGGGACTTGCAGGAGTCTTCTTCAGCACCAGAGTTCAAAGGCCTCCATTCTTTGGCGCTCAGCCTTCCTTATGGTCCAACTTTCACAGCCAATATAAACCTACAGCAATATAAACCTATAAGCTGAATATAAACCTACAGCTTTCCTAATTGGATGTCCAAGCTGTAGTGACTTTTAATGATCAAGATGTTGGGTTAGGGATAGGGAGATCCAGGTTGAAGTTCATCCCAAATCATGGGTACTAAATAGATAATTTTAGCGTAGAGCGTCTCTCCTCAGCCTATTTCACAGGGATTTTTGTGGGGATAAATTAGGGAGCATATGCCTTGAGCTCTCAGAGCAAAGGAAGTATCTAAATGCAATAAATAAGGAAAACTGTAAAACTCATGGACTTACCTAGCAATGGGTTGTATTTGATTCCCTTCTTTTTAATCATTGCAGAGAAGTTGGGAAGGTAGGTTCAGGGATTGCACATGGATGTATGTGTGTGTGTGTCAGGGGTGAAATGTACTTACCTTTCCTATCGGTTTGCTGATGTGCACGCACCATGCTGTGCCGTCATCTGCACATCCACAAAGCCTTCTGCTCATGCACAGATGGTGCAGAATGAGGCCGCAGATGGGAGTGTCCCGATGTTCCCATGTCACACCCCTCCTGTGTGACCTGCATTGGCTACTGGTTGTCCTCCGGGTGAGGTTCAAGGTGTTGGTGATCACCTATAAAGCCCTACATGGCTTACGCCTGGGGTATTTGGCGGATCATCTGTGGCCAGCAACAGCTCCCCATTGCCCAGTGTGCTCACACAGAGAGGGCCTACTTGGGGTCCCATCGGCCAAACAATGCTGGCTGACGGTCCGTAGAGAGCGGGCCTTCTCTGTAGGCACACCTACCCTCTGGAATCAGCTCTCCTTGGAGCTCCGGATGGCCCCTGACCTTCGCTCTTTCCGCCATGACCTTAAAACATGGTTGTTTCGCCAGGCTGGCCTGGACTGAATGGGTTTTTAATGGGAATTTTAGTTTTTATTGTTTGAATTTTAATCTGGACTTGTTGCTGCTTATTGTTGAGTCCTTGTGGAGAAAGGGCGGCATATAAGTCTGATAAAATAAATAAATAAATAAATGGAACACTCTACCTGATCCTGTTGTTAGTCTCGCTAATCCCCATACCTTTTACCGTAAACTGTCTACCGTGGACCTTTCACATTTCTTAAGCGGCCCCTAAGGGGACGTGCATAAGCGCACCAGCGTGCCTACCATACCTGTCCTACTGTCCCCATTTATATGTACTCATTCTGTGTGTTTATGGCTATGTTTTGCCTATTTATATCCTTTTATTTGTGCCAAAAAAATTTCATGTGTCCATGTCTATGTCTATACTGTTACTTGTTTCCTTGTACTTGTTGACAAATAAATAAATAAATAAATAAATAAATAAATAAATAAATAAATAAATAAATAAATAAATAATACCTCTGGTCCAATCCATGAAGTCACCAGGACCTTAGGTCAACTCAAGAGAGATTTTTACCTGTTTAATGCCAGGCATAGGTGGGACCTTCAATTGCTATAAGCATCGGCCAAGAGTCTTGGCCTGTTCAACTTGGAAAGCCAAAATATAATCCTTGTAGAGTGATGAGCCATCTGCCCCTTTGGCAATCCTAATTGTGAATCAGACTCATTTCAAAAAAAAAAAGAAGAAGAAGCGAGAGGAACCACATCTGTTTACTGATTCTGACACGAAATTGCTTCTGAATCCCGTGTGAAATCAACCTGCCACACCGAATTACAGGAAACTCCAGAAAAAAAGGAGAAGCGCTGTTGATTGCGCAAGATTCCAGCTAGTGTCTCGAAAGTGTGCTTACATGGCTGTATTTTTCAAACTTCCGCTATGAATAAACATGTACGGTTTCAAAAGCATCTGAATGGTGAGATTTCCCAGAAATAACAGCAAAATCTTTAGGCGCTCAATTTTCACCCTCGAGGGCGAAAAGATTTTGCTGCTATTTCTGGGAAAAATCTTGTCGTTTTTGAGGACTTGTGCATTCCTTGCTCTCTCGCTCTCTCTTTTAGAAATCATTGCAGAATCACTCACCGCTTTGTGTATCCGCTCGGTTGAGTTTTGAAGAATTGTTGACTATTCAAAAGTCATCCAGGCTTGACTTCCTGGAGACAGATCCAGAAGAAAGGTACTCATCAAAAACTGTTTTGATTGGATTATTAGGAGCTCAGCCCTGTGACAAATCCATCATGCCTAAGCTCTCCCATTTCTCTTCTTCCTTCTGCGCTTGGATAAATAACCCAACCCTGATTAACAATTTTCATCCCGGGAAAATTGATGTGTGCGATTCAGGGCATGCTTGCAATCCAAACAGAACACATTTGTTTTTTTTGTTTGTTTGTTTGTTTTCGTTGCATCACGGAAATAATTACCCAACCGAAGACCGTCCCGTTTTTGTAATCGGTACCCCATTTATCATTACAGACTCTTGGAGTCGGAGATCAAAACAAAAAGAGGCATCTGCTAAAACCAGCAGGGAGCGCCAGAGACTTTGATCTCGGTCCAAAAAAGACCGCGGAGAATAGAAGCTGAATGCAGCTGCCAAGGTTGCCCTTGGAAGCTACTGCTTAAGCAGTGATGGATGCTAAACACACCTCCTTATTTGAGCCTTTGATCAAGTCCAAAAACAGTGAGATCCAAGCTGTCTGACTCGGATTTAAAGCCAGCGCATTGGCAAGCTCAGTGATATGAAGAACAGTTGCAGGAACTGGGCATGGCTAGTCTAGTGAAGAGAAGGACCAGGGGAGATATGACAGCAGGCTTCCAATATTTGAAAGGCTGTCATTTATTTATGTATTTTATTTTATTTATTAGTCCAATTTATATGCCGCCCTTCTCCGTAGACTCAGGGCGGCTTACAATGCATTATAGCAGTAGCCTGCATACCTTTATGTATATACCTGCTTATTAGGGCTTTTGCTCCCCCCCCCAAGCAGTGTTGTTCTATACAAAGCTGGTTTATTGCCCCCACAATCCGGGTCCTCGATTTACCTACCTCAAAAGGATGGAAGGCTGAGTCAACCTTGCACCTGGTGAGATTTGAACTTGCAGTAACTCAGCTGGCAGCTAAGTGCTAGCACTGAACAGCACTTAGTCCGCTGCACCACCGAGGCTCCATGTCATGGGGAGGAAGGAGTCAAGCTATTCTCCAAAGCACCTGAAGGCCAGACAAGGAATCATGGATGGAAACTGATCAAGAAAAGATTCAACCTAGAAATAAGGAGGAATTTCCTGACAGTGAGAGCAATCAACCCATGGAACAGAAGTTGCCTTCGGAAGTGGTGGGACCTTCACCACTGGACTGCCATTTGTCAGAAATGGTGTAGGGTCTACTGCTTGAGCGGGGGGTTGGACTAGATGACCTATAAGATCCCTTCCAACTCTGTTAATCTGTTAGCCTCTATATTTATATCTGGCTGAATATTTGGATTGCAAGGAGCAAGCCCCTCTTTATTTATAGCACTTAGCAATAGCACTTAGACTTATATACCACTTCACAGTGCTTTACAGCTCAGTCTAAGAGGTTTACAGAGTCAGCATATTGCCCCCCCCCCAACAAAAAACCCAATCTGGGTCCTCATTTTACCGACCTCAGAAGGATGGAAGGCTCAGACAACCTTGAGCCTGGTGAGATTCGAACTGCCAAATTGCAGGCAGCCGGCAGTCAGCAGGAGTAGCCCGCAGTACTGCATTCTAACCACTGTGCCACCACAGCTCTTATATCCTTTCAAATAAAACTGCAACATACAGAAAGGGCCATGAGTAACCTCTTCATGCTTCTTTGAGGGAATAACAGAATAACAGAGATGGAAGGGACCTTAGAGGTCTTCTAGTCCAACCCCCTGCTTAGTCAGGAAACCATGTACCATTTCAGACAGATGGTTGTCCCATCTCTTCTTAAAAACTTCCAGTGTTGGAACATTCACAACTTCTGCAGGCAAGTTGTTCCACTGATTAATTGTTCTCACTGTCGGGAAATCTCTCCTTAGTTATAAGTTGCTTCTCTCCTTGATTAGTTTCCACCCATTGCTTCTTGTCCTGCCCTCAGGTGCTTTGGAGAATAGCTTGACTCCCTCTTCTTTGGGGGCAGCCCCTGAGATATTGGAAGACTGCTATCACGTCTCCCCTCGTCCTTCTTTTCATTAAACTAGACATACCCAATTCCTGCAACTATTCTCCATATGTTTTAGCTTCCAGTCCCTGAATCATCTTTGTTGTTCCTCTCTGGACTATTTCTAGAGTCTCAACATATTTTTTTATATCATGGCAACCTTATTGTGAGAGTTTGGAGTAAGTAGAAGAAATCGTGGGTAGGCCAACTTGCATTATATTAGACCTGATGAATTAATTTCCAAAGAATTGTGCTAAGATGGCTGGAGCATTATATAGGGCACTATTAGTTACATTGATGTATTGATGTGTTCAGTAATTTAAGATTACTTAAGACTTACACACCTTCTGCCGGGCCCTCAAGACATTTTTATTCCAACAAGCTGGGCTGGCCTAATTTTTAAATATTTTAATTGTTAACTCTTAATTTTTAAATGTCCAAAACAGGTAGTTTTATTTTAATTAGATATGGGCCAGATTATTTAATATTTCTTAAATTATTCTTTAAATTTTATATCTGTGTATTTTATTCTGGCTGTACACCGCCCTGAGTCCTTCTGGGAGAACGGCGGTATATAAATTAATTAATTAATTAATTAATTAAATAAATAAATAAATAAATAAATAAATAAATAAATGAATAAATAAATAAATAAATAAGATCATGGCACTGGCAACCTTCTTTGATGTTAGACATTTTGGAATTGTAAATCGTGGGGCATACGTGGCAAATACGTAACTTTTTTTTTTTTATTTGATTTATATGCTGCCCTTCTCCGGAGACTCAGGGCGGCTTACAGTGCGTTAAGCAATAGCCTTCATACTTTTGTATATTTATACAAAGTCAGCTTATTGCCCCCACAAACTGGGTCCGCAATTTACCTACCTTAGAAAGGATGGAAGGCTGAGTCAACCTTGAGCCTGGCGAGATTCGAACTTACTTTAATTGCAGACAGCTTGTGTTAAATTACAGTGTTTAGTCTGCAGAGCTATCCAGGCTCCTATCCAGGCTTCACCTTTGATGAATAACCACTCCAAAATGTCAATACAGATGTCATGTGGTACTATATATAATCAAAAATACGTTTTTCACACTTCTGCAATAAATACTCTTTCCACCTGGAAATTGTGTGGTGTAACAGAACAAAATTAGAGAATAGGAGGGGGTGTTGTCTTGGATGGTTAGGTAATTGTGACTCAAATCTTCCAATTTTCAGCATCCTTTTGATTGTATCTTTTTTAATGTCTCTCTTTCCATCTGCTTTTCTCCTATTTGTTGCACAGCCTTTGAATGGTCTCTCCAAGGAGGCTCTTCTTCTCCTCCTCCTCCTCCTCCTCCTCCTCCTCCTCCTCCTCCTCCTCCTGCTGAACTCCTTGAATTGTGTACAGATAAAAGAGACTGACATCTACGCTTGGATGGAAAGATGAAATTGATTGCGCAACATATCAAAGAGGTTGGATCAGATGGGCCTCAATATCTGGATGTCCAGAGGAGCCACCAATGAACAAATGAAGCAAGGGTGATCTAGAACTTTTCAGTTGACTGTTTTTTAATCCTTGCCTAATTTATTTTTTTGTTAGGCGTCATTTCTGAACCTGAAAAAAAATGGAAAGGAAAGAGGCTAGTTATCTACATCTCTCTTGCTCTGTGATATATTGTGTATAAGGGAGCCATTTTGGCTTGAGCTTAGCTCAACTTCCATTTTGTCAATTTTATTCTCCAATGTTAATTTTCCACTCGGATAACGATAGGCAAGATATCTGTTTTCCATATTGTGTTAGGTTGATTCTTGCTGAGGTCAACATGCATCTTAGTAAATTGTGATAGTTCTCATTTGTCTTTTCTTGAATTAGGATATGCATGGTTAGAAACATCTGTGGTTTCAGTTAAAGTTTTACATTTAAAAAATAAGTGTCTTAACTTGCAACGTTCTTTTCCTGTTTCTGCTGACTTGCGAATTCTGCCACCACTAAACTTTTATTCCCAAGTGCTAGATACAGTAGTTACTTCACTGATATCTTAAGAATAATTACGTAGGTCATGACTAAAAGTGCAAAATAAGACATTGCAATATTTTATACCAATTTTCTCTTCAAAGATGCTGTACGAAGCAATAAAAGTTAACTCTAATAAATGCCTAATAAAATCTGAAAGAAAAAAAATTACATTCGTTGATAATGGGAATCGATTTAAGAAACATTTGGCTTCTAACACAATATTAGCTCACAAATGGCTGGGAATTGTCATGAAAGTTTTAATAACTTGGTGGTTATCAAAAGTTGAACTAAACTTTCCCCTATTCAAGAAGTCAACATCGTCACTGACCAAAAGGACTTGCTGTTGGCCATACCCAGAGATGGAACCACGAAGTGACCTTCTCTGAATGTGGCTAAACCTGAGGGAAGGTCAAATCTGTCAATCATTTGATGTTTAGGACTTGGAATGCTTTGGGCGTAATTGCCAATGGTCCTGTTTGTGCAGCCAATTTGTTCATGACAACTGGAAAGAAATGGATGGGAAGAGAAATTGGAAAATGGACCGTGATGTATTGAAGATGGCAAGTATGGATATCTAACCGAATAGATATTCCCATCAGGATGACTGTTTCCAAGAGAGGGGGGGGGAACAGGAGAGAGAGAAGAGAGGGGGGGGACAGAGAAAAGAGTTAGGGAGGGAGAGAGAAGAGAGAGGAGGGAGAGGAAAGAGGGAGGGAGGGAGAGGAGGAGGGAGAGAGGAAAAAGGGAGGGAGGGGAAAAAGAGAGAGAGAAAGGAGAGAGAGAGGAAAAAGGAAGGGAGGAGGGAGAGAGAGGAGAGAGGGGGACAGAGAAAAGAGGGAGGGAGAGAGAGAGAAGAGAGAGGAGGGAGAGAAAAGAGGAGGGAGGAGGAGGGAGAGAGGAAAAAGGGTGGGGGGGGAGAAGAGAGAAAGAGGAGGGAGGGAGGAAGGGAGGGAGAGGAGAGAGGGGGGACAAAGAAAAGAGGGAGGGAGGGAGAGAGGAGAGAGGAGGGAGAGGAACGAGGGAGGGAGGGAGAGGAGGAGGGAGAGAGGAAAAGGGAGGGAGGGGAGAAAGAGAGAGGAGAGAGGGGGACAGAGAAAAGAGGGAGAGAGAAGAGAGAGGAGGGAGAGGAACGAGGGAGGGAGGGAGAGGAAAAAGGGAGGGAGGGGGAGAAAAGAGAGAGAGAGGAGAGAGAGGTAAGAGGGAGGGAGGGAGGGAAAGAGAGGAAAGAGGGGGGGACAGAGAAAAGAGGGAGAGAGAAGAGAGAGGAGGGAGAGGAAAGAGGAGGGAGGGAGAGGAGGAGGGAGAGAGGAAAAAGGGAGGGAGGGGAGAAAAGAGAGAGAGGGAGGAGAGAGAGGAAAGAGGGTGAGAGAGAGAGGGGAGTAATTTCAGTCTCTCTTGTGGGCATTCTCAACTATTTGAAGAATTGAGAGCTTTTGATCACCATAGAATAAATCAACCATATATACTGTACTTTCCATACCTAGGGAAACAAATGACTCTTACAAAGTTGGAGCATCTGAATGGTTTATTAAAAGTCCAGCATTACTTTTTAAAAAAGGATGTAAAGTCCAGCATAGGTTTCCTTCTGCAAAACAGGCTTAAAGCGAACTGAAGAATCTACATTACATTGAAGGGGCTGTTTGTTGGGTTGTGTTGTGTTGTGTTGTGTTGTGTTTTTTTTTTTTTTAATAGAAAATGTCATGCATTCAATGGTACAAGAGAATTTATGGTTATGGCTCATGGTGTAAATTTCCAGCAAGCAAATAAATAAAGCTGGGCCCTCTAATCGTTACTGCAAAGTGTTGTTGTGAGTTTTTATGTCATCTAACACGCATTTTGGAAGAGCATCCTGTACCTGGACCTGGTATCTGAGAAACAAAATTAGTCAAAGAGAACGATGGGGCAATTGTCCCTCCTTTTTTATTTTTATTTTCCTTTTTGGGTGGGTGAGTGGAGGGAGGGGGGTTTGCTGTCATCGCCTTCAATATTATTCACTTCAGAGCCTGATTCTGGAAATTAAATATTCTCTCTAACCTTATTGTTCCTTAAAATCCTCAGTAGAATTAATCCCAAACCAGCACATTCTCTCTCTCCATCTCTCTCTCCATCTCTTTCTCTCTCTCCCTCCCTCCTTCCCTCTCTCGCTCTTCCGCCCCCTCTCTCTTCCTCTCTCTCCCTTTCTCCCTCTCTCCCACTCTCCCTCCCTCTTTCCCTCTCTCTCCCTCTCCCTGTCCCTCCCTCTCTCATGTACACACACACCCTATCTCCCCCCTCTCTTCCCCCCCCTCTCTCTCCCTCTCTCCCTCTCTCTCCCTCCCTCCTTCCCCCTCTCCCTCCCTCTCTCTTTCCCTTCCTCCCTGTATCTCCCTCACACACACATACACACACTCTCCCTCCCTCCCTGTCCATCCCTCCCTGCCTCTCTCACGTACACACATGCCCTCTCTCCCCTCTCTCTCCTCCCTCTCTCTCCCTCTCTCTCCCTCTCTCCCTCTCTCTCCCTCCCTTCTTCTACCTCTCTCTCCCTCTCTCTTTCCCTCCCTCCCTGTCTCTCCCTCACACACACACACACACATTCTCTCCCTCCCTCCCTCTCTCACGCACACACATCCCCTCTCTCCCCCTCTCTCCCCCCTCTCTCCCTCTCCCTCCCTCCTTCCCCCCTCTCTCTTTCCCTCCCTCCCTGTCTCTCCCTCACCCACGCACACACACTCTCCCTCCCTCCTCTCTCCCTCTCCCCCTCTCCTTTTGTTGTGATTTTTTTTTTCCCCTGATGAATCATGAGTAATTGTCGGTCAGCTGATCTGAAAAACGTGGAGATTTCTTCATTGTTTTGCTTTCTCTTGGCTCGTCTGCTAGCAAAGATTAAGCATGTTTACCAGCCCTCTAATAGGGTATTGTGTCACCCTTGGAGAGCAAACAAATGAAGAACCGGGCAACGGGGGGAAAATACGCAACCAACTTGGCTTCTAGTGAAAAGCTATTTTCAGAAACAATTCTTGAATTACTTTCATTTGAGAGAGCCGCATAGAATTCAGGAGGTGAGGCAGCTACTCCTGCTCAGCCAGCGTCCTTTTTCCTGGCCTCGTGAACAAAGTTAGTAGAGGCGATTTCTATACTGCCATCTTGGAATCCTACCGCAGGTTTCCCAAGTTTTCACATTTATTTGCTCCCTGATGTTGCTGCTGGAAAACTGTTGACTTGATTGCTCTGAGTTCTTACCTAAGAAGGAAGGTGAAAAATGCATCCTTCAAGTCATATCATCTAGGGAGTAGGACTATTTCCTAGGAAGTAAGACCATTTCTTCCTCCATGGGTAGAAAAGTAGATTCCTCCCCCCCCCATTTTTTTGGGTGTGGGGCATTTTCTGAAGCATGTTATGCTTTCTCTGATGTTTGATCTAATGACTCCTTTCTCATTGCGTGTCTTTCTCCCTTCAGATTATCAATAGAAATGTTTATAACTGTTCTTCACGGAGGTAAGTCAGCTCTCTCTGTTTTGCTTCTGTTATATTCTGTTTATGAATCTGTCTCTGGTTGAAGACATCAGGAGCATTCCTAAAATTGCTCAGGTAGGTCTCGACTTACAACTGAGACCAGAATGATGGTTGTGAATCGTGCCAGTCAGGAAGCAGGTGACCAAGGGACTGTACCCAATTTTATGTCCTGTTTGTGGCGGTCATTAAGCAAACGTGGCTGTAAAGCGGATGTCACACTTGTTATTAAGCAAACGTGGTAGTTAGAATAGAACAGAATAACCGAGTTGGAAGGGACCTTGGAGGTCTTCTAGTCCAACCCCCTGCTTAGGCAGGAAACCCTACACCACTTCAGACAAAGGGTTATCCAACATCTTCTTAAAAACTTCCAGCGTTGGAGCATTCACAACTTCAGGAAGCAAGTTGTTCCACTGATTAATTGTTCTAACTGTTAGGAAATTTCTCCTTAGTTCTAAGTTGCTTCTCTCCTTGATTTGTTTCCACCCATTGCTTCTTGTCCTGCCCTCAGGTGCTTTGGAGAATAGCTTGGCTCCCTCTTCTTTGGGGCAGCCCCTGAGATACTGGAACACTGCTATCATGTCTCCCCTAGTCCTTCTTTTCATTAAACTAGACATACCCAGTTCCTGCAACCGTTCTTCATACATTTTAGCCTCCAGTCCCCTAATCATCTTTGTTGCTCTTCTCTGCACTCTTTCTAGAGTCTCAACATCTTTTTTACGTCGTGGCCACCAAAACTGAATGCAATATTCCAAGTTATTAAATGAATCCATGGTTTGCAATGGACATTGCCAGAAATCAGATATAAATGCCAGTTTGCAATAAAATGTCATACATTGTAGTCACGTGTGTCCACGGGACACTGCAAACGCTGTCTGTTTAAGAAGCATGCCAAATACAATCACATGACTGCAGGGAATGGGGTGGCCATAGGAGCTTCAAATCTGGGTCAAAATTAACCCTGGGGAAGTCTGTCATAATTTTCAATGCTAAGCGACCGGTCCTGAATCAAGGATTGCCTGCACCCAGTCTCATTTTATGTAAGTCTAGCTCAGAGGTGTCAAACTTGATTTCATTGATGGACGCATCAGGGTTGTGTTTGACCTCGGGGGGGGGGGTGGGGTTGGCATGGCCAGTTCAATGTCATTCATCCAGGCTCTATTTTTCGCCGTGACAACCTCCTAGAGCCCTCTGACAGTGAAAACAGAGCCCGGGGAGGCCGCTGGCAGAGGGCTTCAGAAGTGGAGGGTTGCCCCCGGTTCGAATTGATTTGCAGGAACCGGTAGTAAAACTGGTGGGAGGCCCCGCCCACTGCCCTGGATGTCATCATCACCGATCTGTGCATGCACTGAAGCTTCTGTGCGTGCGTAGAAGCAAGGTGTGCACGCCATCCCGTTGCGAACTGGTAGTAAAGGTAAGTAGAACCCACCCCTGGGCTTCAGGAGGCTGTCATGGCCGAAAATGGAGCCTGGGTGGGCCGCGTGCATCCTCCCCGAGCTCTGTTTTTACTGGCAGAGGGTTGCGGGAGGCCATTGCAGCCGAAAATGGAGCCCAGGATGGCTGCGTGCGTTCCTCCCAAGCTCCATTTCACTGGCAAAGACATCGTGGGCCAGTCCTTTGCTGTTTCCAGAGTGGGCCCACAGGCCAGATCTAAGCACCCCTTTGAGTTTGTCACCCCTGGTCCAGCCTATCAAGCAAACCAAACTTAATACATCGCTGCAGGAATCATCAGAATTGTTGAGGTTCACAATATTGGTTTTTGACTGCGATAAAGGCTTTGAATTGATTTGAACTTGGCTTCGCCCTTGACTGCACATGCTGCAAAATTTTGATAGCCGTTCATTGTGTTTTGCTAGCCATTTGCGTTGATGTCCACTCCAAAGTTGGAGAAATGCTGCAATCTTTGCTTTTTTTTCTCTCCCCGCCCCCCTTTCCTTCCTTCCTAGAACACAAGGCCGATCTTTTTAATATACACTGCAAAGTCCAGATTTTGCTAGACGGCATGAAACACCGCTGTGGATACGAAGATAAAGGTGACCCAGCTATGAATTAATAGACATCATCATCTAAAAATTGGGTTTGCATTTAAACCCAATTTCCGTAATAATGAGCTCATTTGAATTCACTCGATATTTGCCCGTTGGGTAAAGATAAACAGGGACGTGCATGAAATATGATTGATACATTTCTAAGAAAGGAACAAGGAAATAGAAGTCCCTTGTAATTCTACTGATGTGCACTGATTTTGAACTGTATTTACCTTGGTCGGACAGAATAAGAAGTCTATGAGGTCAGGGGACAATTTATATAAGCTGCTTAACTTGTGGGTAAATTCTGAATTTCAGAGGAAATAGAGTTAGCCGATGAGAGCGGCCAAGTCAAGAATTTACTTCAAAACAAATATCACTATGCGACAGAACTCCTGGGAGAACGAGAGACGTACATACTCCTTCGTGTCACAAGTAAGAGATTTGAAGAGATTTGATTTGAATTTCTGCAGAATCCAAAGACAGCCTGGTGCACATGTCCAGTTGAAGACAAACTGCTCGGTTTCTCTAGAATTTAATCCTAGAACCAAGGACATACCATATTCTTTGTTCAGAATAATTGCATGTGGATTGGATTCACTAGAACGTAGAATCAATAGGGCTCGGGATGGAATTCACTCACTTCACTACTGGTTCGCAGATGTGAGCGCTCACATGTGCAGAGGCTTCCGCATATACACAGAGCATCAAAAACAGGACGTGATGACGTCCGGGCGGGTGGGCGGAGCCTCCCGCAGCCGCTGTTACCAGTTTGCTCGAACCGGATAGAACCAACTGAATACCACCATTGATAGGACTGGAAGGGCATCGCAAGGATCTTCTAGTCTAACCCCACCTGCTCAAGGCAGGAGACTTTATACCATCCCAGTCAGTGATGAAATCCAAATTTTTTTACAAAATTTGTAAGATTTTGCCCTCCCCAGGCTCCGGAGGCTTTCCTTGAGACTCCGGGAGGGTGAAAACGGCCTCCCCAGACTCTGGAGGCCCTCCCCTGAACTTCTGGTAGGCCTGTTTTTTGCCCTCCATGAGCCTTTGCACACACCCTGCACTTACCTGCATCCAAAACGGACTGCGTGGGGACTCCTGGGAGGGGCGGGGTGGGGTGGGCAGGGCCAGCCAGGGGTGGGATTTGGGGGTTCTCCAAACTTCACAGAATCTTAGCTAGAGGTTCTCCCGAACCCCTGCGAACTCCCAGCAGCCCATCCCTGAATGTATCTATCAACTTTTTTAAAAAAGAAGAAGAGGAAGAAGAAAATTGTAGAAGGAAGTACATGGTGACAATTTCATTAGTGCTTTAGGGATTATCTTTGAAGGAAGTAGGCAACCAGATTTAAAATACTGGATGTATTCAAATAAGATATTTGCTATCTGGGAAAAAAAAATCACATTTGAAAATACCTTTCAGTTTAAGAGGAAAGTCCGGATTAGTACACCTTATTCTGATTACTAGATTATAGTTGTTTCCATCTTCACATTAATTGCTCTCTTACCACAGATGGAGAAAAACCTTCAGTGACGGAATTTAGGCCACTGTTGAAGGATGAGCACATCATTAACCCCAAGTTTCTAGGTCAGTAAACAATTTAGTTTCCGTTTGTCAGTAAGACCAAAAATTATCTTGAAAATAAAACAGGGAGAGAGGAAAAAAAAAAACTGGATTTCACTTGAATATTTTACAGATGAGATGTGTTGCAAAACATAGCTGTATTCATATATTTTTTTTTAATTTTCATTTCGTATTGTTTTGTTTTGTAAAAATTCAAAACAATGGACCAACATAATATTATTTCCCTTTTTCTGTTTTTGCCATAAGAACAATCCTGTTAGGTGGATTGGGGGGTGAGAGAAAATGACCGGCCCAAAGTCACTCAGCAGGTGCTCCCTAAGGCAGGATTAGAACTCAAAGCCTCCTGGTGATTGGCCCAAATTCACCCACCCACCTTTCCTGCCTAAAACGGGATTAGAACTCACAATCTCCTAGCTTGTATCAACAGCCTGTGAACATCCTTATTCTAATTGTAAGCATTTTTGTAAGTAAGCTGTTGGCCTGAAACTGAACTTTGGTTAAATAATTACCGATCTTGCAATTAGGCTATTGGTTGTATTTCCCAGTTGAAAAAGCTAGGTTGATTCGGGCGAGCTAACCGTGCATTTCTTCTACATAAAGCTAAATTAGGAAGTTGTCAAGAGCACAAGGGACCCTCCCCAAGGATGAAATCCAAAAGGATTCATCGGAAGTCAACCCTTGGATATTCCCACTGCTGAAGGTAAGCTTGTTGTTAAGAAAAAAAAAAATAAGAGAAAGAGAGAAGTTTGGTTCATTAAACATTTTGTGATGCTTTCCATGGGCATTTATAACGAAAGATTGGGCTTACATCTTATTTTGTGAAGTGTGCTTGGTAGAGAGATCTTGTACCCTATCCAGGATACAAAAATTTTAGCAACCGGTTCTCTGCCCGTGTTGCTGGGTGGGCGTGGCCATGGTGGGCGTGGCCTACTCAGCCTCCTTCACCACAGCGGGTGGGGGGCATTTGTTCCCTCCCCAGGCTCAGGAGGCTTTTCTCAAGCCTCCGGGAGGGCAAAAACAGCCTCCCCCGGGCTCCAGAGGCCCTCTGGAGGCCGGAAACAGGCCCATTTCCAGACTTCTGGAACTTCCGGGAGGCCTGTTTTTTGCCCTCTCAGAGCCTCCACCCAGGCCCTGCATCAAAAATGGGCTGCGTGGAGACTCCTGAAAGGGGCGGGGCAGGGTGGGCGGGGCCAGCCAGTCCTTGCAACTACCAGTTTAGTGAACCAGATGTAAAATTAGCATCCGATTCACCCGAACCGGTCTGAAGCAGCTGAATCCCACCCCTGATCCTATCCACTTTCAACAAACCAAGATACTTAGGGTTGCTCCAGTATTAATACTCCCAAAATCAGATTGTTGATTCTTGAGAATCTCCAAGGCAGCTAACATAAAACTGATTATGTTGGTAACCATCTTTGATGGCTTCTCAAACACTGTAAACCAATTGTTTTTGCAGCCTTACTTACTTTGATTTATATAGTTGCCCATTTCACTGACCTGACTCTGGACTGTTCACAAGTTCTATCCATATTTGATTTCTCATTGTTTCTTTCAACTGCAGGCATAAGAAACGCTTCACCCCATGGCAGTAGAACCAATGTTTCTCCAAAACAGAGCAAGAAAAACTGACTGGGTGGGTGAATTCATATCCCCTGCTACATTTTTTGGAAACGTTTTCTCTTTGTTGCAAAATGTGGATTAGAGCTGCTCTTCCTTCTTGCCAAAAAGTAAAATTGCAGTATGGTAAGAATCTGTAGAGATTCTCCGTCATCCAGGTCATGGTTCTCCCAAAGGTGCTTTTTTCAGGAGTCAACTGGACTTTCTTGCTTTTTCTTTGAAGACCTTTCCCTTCTCATCCAAGAAGCTTCTTCAGCTCTGACTGGATGGTGGGGAAGGGAAGGATTTATATTCCTTGCAGACAGCTGCTCATTTGCATCCTTTTAGAGGATCGTTGAAGCACTTGGAGGTTCATGATAAGAGTCCTGTTGGAGTCACAAACACGTTGAAACTCAAATCCAAATTTCGTAATAAACTTCACTACAGGCAAGAATGCCTAAAACAGGAGCCCTAATCTCTCTGGGGAGTCTGTGCATGCAAATGTATGGTGCAGTTGGGTCAAGATTAATTAACTATCGAGATGCTGGCAGAACTTAAATACACTCTCTTGCTCTTTCTCTCTTAAAGTACTGTGGTTTCGTATTTCCCTTTTTCTGCCAAGGCTTGTAAAGAATTGAATGAACATCTTTATTCATAATGAAAGTAACCTTTAGCAATATTTATTATTCAAGGATCCACATGTCTGTCATCAGATCAATAAAAAGACAGAGTAGAGTAGAGTAGAGTAGAGTAGAGTAGAGTAGAGTAGAGTAGAGTAGAATGTTCTTTTTTTTTTCCTTTTTGTATTTCTTTTGTTATTGGGTTTTTGGTTTTAAAAATGTAAAATACCTAATAAAAACTATGTTAAAAAATAGAATAGAATAGAATAGAATAGAATAGAGTTGGAAGGGACCTTGGAGGTCTTCTAATCCAACTCCCTGCTCAGACAGGAAACCCTACACCACTTCAGACAAATGGTTTTCCAATCTCTTCTTAAAAACTTCCAGTGTTGGAACATTTACAACTTCTGGAGGCAAGCTGTTCCACTGATTCATTGTTCTAACTGTCAGGAAATTTCTCCTTAGTTCTAAGTTGCTTCTCTCCTTGATTAGTTTCCACCCGTTGCTTCTTGTCCTGCCTTCAGGTGCTTTGGAGAATAGCCTGACTCCCTCTTCTTTGTGGCAGCCCCTGAGATATTGGAACTTATCTGCTGAATTTTCTTGCATTCTCATGGGGAAAAAATGTGAGCCAGGAAACTATCTTGAGCATTCTATAATCGGCGTTTAATCACCGTCCAACATCAATTAATTCAACAATGTTATTATCTGCTTGATGTGTCATCCATATGGCAGCCCTTGAGTTTCATGTTCTTTTATATACTTTTGTGTTGCCGCATTGTTTCCATTTTCGTTCAATAATTGTGTTGGTATGTCTTCTAAGAAGTGCAGGTAATAAAAATATCACACTGGAAATAAAAAAAAATTTGCATGTGAGCATCCGTATTGCTTCATACAACGCTGAGAATTTAGACTGGATCCATGCTGCATCTTTAATGGGATGGGACAATATTCTTAAAGAAGAGAAGAATAGACACAGCCTAGACCAGAGGTGTCAAACTTGATTTCATTGAGGGCTGCATCAGGGTTGTGTTTGACGTTGGGAGGGCAGGGTGGGTTCCTCCCGGTTCGGTCCGGTTCGGCTGAGCCGGTAGCGGTGACGATATGATGTCACCGAACCGGTTCTCCCACCCCCCCACCCCCCCACGTTATTCTTACCTTTTATTTGGTCCCACCCCCAATCTATTGCTGCCTCCTGAGTCCCAGCTGATGACTAGAGGGAAAAAAACTGTTTAAACTCTTGCCGCGGGGCTTCAAAGGGCCGCCCTACAGCTGATCAGTGTTAAAAGCAAACAAATGAGTCGGGTCGTAAGTGCAAGGACTGTTCGTAAGTGCGGGGACCTTCCAGAAATGACTCTGACCAGCTAGCCATGCCCACCTAGTCACATGACCTCCAAGCCACACCCACAAAATAAGCCGCGCCCACAGAACCGGTAGCAAAAAAAATTAGAACCCACCCCTGGCAAGGTGGGTGTGGCCAGCTTGACGTCACTCATGTTCACTGTGCCTGTGGTGGCCCGAACGCTCTGCCAGCGAAAATGGGCTCCCAAGTTCCATTTTTGGCTGGGACGGCCTCCTGCAACCCTCTGCTAGTGAAAAGGGAGCTTGGAGGGGCTGCATGCGGCCCTCCCAAGCTCTGTTTTCACTGGCAGAGGCACTGCGGGCTGGTCCTTTGCTGTTTCCAGGGCGGCCCCGCAGGCCAGATCTAAGAACTTTGCAGGCTGGAGCTGACCCCTTGGCTTTGAGTTTGACATCCTTGGCCTAGACCAGTGATGGCTAACCTTTTTGCCATCACGTGCCGAAAGTGGGGGGAGCTGTGAGGGTCATGTGTGCACATGCCCACATCATAATTCAATGCGCCCCACCCCCATGCATGCACAAGTGACCCCTCCACACTCCCCCCGCTTTTGGCACATGATAGCATGTGGGCCCAGTTGGCCCATTTTTCGCCCTCCTCTGGCTCCAGAGCCTTTCTAGGAGCCTGGGGAGGGTAAAAACAGCCTTCCCACTCCCCCGGAGGCCCTCCGTAGGCCGGAAACAGCTGGTTTCCTGACTTCCAGTCCCACCGGAGCTGAGCTAGGGCAACGCTCGCGTGTCCACTGATATGGCTCCACGTGCCACCTGTGGCACGCGTGCCATAGGTTCGCCATCACGGGCCTAGACCATGGTCAGATAAAAGGAAATCCCAGCCCAACACAAGATTGAGAAAGCATCTCAGACTTGACCTAGAGAAGATGAAGGGAAAAAGGCAGTTTGGCCTAGTGATTAAGGCATCCAGCTAGAAACTACTGTCTTTTCCCCAAAATAAGACCCTATCTTATTTTATTTTTTTTGAACCCCGAAATAAGCACTTGGCCTTATTTTTGGGGAGGTCTTATTATTTTGAGGTTCGTGGAGCAAGATGGGGCTCCTCTTGCCGTCTTACCTGATTTCCAGCTCTGTGTTTAAATATTTTCAGGGAGGGCTTATTTTCGGGGGGAGGCTTATTTTAGCACATGTGCTCAAATGCCCAATTGGGATTATTATCAGGGGATGTCTTCTTTTTGGGAAAACAGGGTAGGAGCCTGAGTTCTAGTCCTACTTTATGCCATCAAAGCCAGCTCAGTAAGTTTGAGCCAATCACCAGAAGACTGTGAGTTCTAGTTCTGCTGAAAGTTGGCTGGATGACTTTGGGCCAATCAAGAGGAGATTGTGAATCCTAGTTCTGCTTTAGCCATGAAAGCCAGCGTGGTGAGTTTGAACCAATCACCAGAAGTCTGTGAGTTCTAGTTCTGCTTTAAACATGAAATCTGGCTAGGTGCAGTGGTGAGTTTCAAATTATTTTACTACTGGCTCTGTGGGAAGGTTACTGCAAAATCCCCATTTCCTCCTGATCAGCTGGGACTCGGGAGGCAGAGGATAGATGGAGGCGGGGCCAGTCAGAATTTTTACTACCAGTTCTCTGAACTACTCAAAATTCCTTCTACTGGTTCTCCAGAACTGGTCAGAACCTGCTGAAACCGACCTCTGGCTGGGTGACTTTGGGCCAATCACTAGGACACTGTGAGTTCTAGTTCTGCTTTAGGCATGAAAGGTGACTGGGTGACTCTGGTCCAGTCATTCTCTCAGCCCAATTCATCTCACAGGGTTGTTGTTGTAGGGAGAGGAAGGAGTATATTAGGTATGTTCAGGGCCTCGAGTTATTTATAAAAATAATAAAGGCGGGATACAAATAAATATATAAAGAGGAGGGAAGCCCATCCAATTTGCAAGATTGTTACTGTAACCTTATAATAAAAGCAGTTTTAACATTCATAACTTTGGTATTCAGATCTGGTCAACCTCGGTGACATCACCTTCTGTCACCGCTCATGTTTTGCAAAGGCAGTGATTGAGTTCAAACACTAAGCCAAAATCAAACCAAACCAGCTTTGTTTTCATTTTGCACCATTATCTGAATGCAGCCATTGTGGGGTATATTATTGCCAACATTTCAAGTTTATTTTCTTATACAGTAGTGGCCAAAACTGTGGAAACCTTTTGGGGAAAGTGTATTTTTGAGGTTTGATGGCTGATAACACCATTTTTGGGGGGGAGTTTCAAGATAATCCTATTCCACTGCTGGAATGGCCTGGGAATAGCCCAGACCTTAACCCAGTGGAAAATCTATGGAGCTGACTAAAGAAATTTGTTAGTCAGAAGTGACCCAGCAATAAAACCCAGTTAATAGAAGCAACCATTCAATCTTGGTTTCACATGATAACAGCTGCAGAACTAAAAGGCTTGGTTCTCTCCATGGGAAGACGTTGTAAGGCCATCATTCATGCTAAAGGTTACCCAACTAAGCATTAACTGACTTGGTGATCATTTTTGTGTATTTCGTTTTTTCTACGTGTTTCACTTTTCTTCTTTATACTGTAACTGCTATTCTAATAGCAAATCCTTAATAAAAGTTATTTCATTACATTCTTAATTAAATTATCTTTCCATTGATATGCAATTTTATGGTACTACTCAAAAAAAAAAAGTGGTGTTATTAGCTAGTTTTAGAAAATACACTTTTCCCAAAAGATTTCCACAATTTTGGCCACTACCAAAATTGTGGAATTGGGATCGTAGAAACACCCAGGAGCATAGAAGAGTTCAGAGGCAGATGCATAAATAAATGTCTTAAACGTATTTATTCATATGATAAATCATATTAACTATGTACAACAGAGATCAAGTCTCATGAGGAACAAACATGAAAAGAGAGAGATGGAGAGAGCATGATGGAAAAGGTTGGAGGGGGTTTTATACTCGGGGTAAGCCCCTCCTTTCCACATAGGGGTGGAGACACTCTCTGCCTCCACTGGTGTCTATATGACACATGTGCCAATGGCTTGCAAATACTTGATACTACTGTAAGCAAGGAAGAGAATAAATTTGCAGAAGGACCCAAGCTTACCTTTGTAATATCTCCAATCAGTAGGACAAAGTTCAGAGACAACACCAGGGGTGAAATCCAGCAGGTTCTCACAGGTTCTGGAGAACCGGTAGCGGAAATTTTGAGCAGTTCAGAGAACCGGTAGTGGAAATTTTGAGCAGTTCAGAGAACCGGTAGCGGAAATTTTGAGTAGTTCGGAGTACTGGCAAATACCACCTCTGGCTGGCCCCAGAGTGGGGTGGGAATGAGGATTTTGCAGTATCCTTCCCCTGCCCCACCCACCAAGCCACACCCACAGAACCAGTAGTAAAAAAATTTGGATTTCACCACTGGAAAACACATTTGTTAGAGACGTAGGCAAATGGCTGGCCATTAGACTGATCCAGTATTTCTCAATCGTGGCACCTTTAAGATGTGCGGACTTCAACTTCCAGAATCCACCAGTCAACATGGTGGCAGGGGGATTCTGGGAATTGAAGTCCACGCATCTTAAAGGAGCCAAGACTGAGAAACATCGGATTAGTCAATGCAAATCAAGATGGAAAAACACCTTATGTGTATGAAT